CTCTGGTCATTCTGCTCAATTCCCTGTAGCACTCCTAGCCGCATCCCTGCGAGATGCCTTTGGGCGTAACCGAGCCCTAGCATACAAAGGTCCCAACCACAGGGCAGGCCCTGGCCCTGGCCCTCCACCACACGGAGCTAGAGCAGGCAGCCGGCCAGGTCAGGGGTGAGACTTGCCTTTCCTTGCAGCTCACACTGCCTTTCGCCAGGAAGTATGGCCGCTGTGTGGACCTGCTCATCCAGAGGGGCCTGTCCAGGTCTGTCTCTTACTCTGTCCTGGGCAAGTACTTACAAGAGGGCTAAGGTACCTGGATATACCACCTGTGCACACCCCCAGAGAAATCACCCAAATGCATGTGCCCATCCAAGAGTACATATCAGTATATCTTTATTATAAACAAATAAAAGTAAATCACGAGTCAAGGGCCTACTACACTCCTTCTTTGAGATGCCAAAGGCCTAACAATCATGAGATAACTTAGACAACTCTAACTGAAAGCAATTCAAAAGGCATCAAGTCAAAATAACCAAACTGGTCCTGTGAAAGAGAGGTTAAGCCTGGAAGCCAGAGCAGGCAAAGGTAAGGGCCCAGAAGGGGTGGGCTGGCTTCTGTGTTTTGGGGAGCTTGGCTTTAAGGCTAGGGATTGGGAAGTAGCTGCTTAGAACCCACCTGTGTCCTCCTCGGGGTGAGGGACAGCCCCAGCACTGCCTAGAGCACATGATGCCTCACCAACCTACAGCGTGGAAAAACACTGCCCTAGCTGATTCCTAAACCACAATTGGAGTGGGAACTGCAGAGGAGAGATAGGGACATGAGGCCAGCAACCTGGGGACAGGGTGCTCATCCAGGCTCAGCTGCCAACCCCGCTGCAGAGGTCCCATGACAGTCAACAGCCAGAGACCTCAGAGAGGGTGGTCAGCACAACTGCAGGTGTGTGCAGGTGTCTCCGGTGCAGTCACAGCAGATCCAGAGGGTGTTCCATGGAAGTACAGACTGCTGGATTCACGGCTCACCTTCAAGTCCAGGCTCAGACCTGTGGTGCCAGGCCAGCCATGAATGTGTGTTTCCCTGGCTCTGGACCCAAAGGAGTTTTGGGGGAATGGCTTTAGCCTACCCACCCCCAATTTCACCCAAAGGAAAGGCAGCCACAGGCCTGAGCAGGGCTGGGGAGGGGCTGGTGGGTTTAGGGTAAAGTGGCACTCACATAGGATAAGTCCTCAAGGCCCCTGCCCAGGGTCTGCCCTGACACACAGCTGCTGTCGGAGCCACTGGATCCACTGGCTGACGGGCACTGGGATGAGACCTCGGAGTCCTCAGGAGCTAGGGAGGGAGCCTCAGTGAGCTGTCACCGGGGAGGGCCAAGACCCCAAGCCACACCTCCTGCCTCTGGCTAAGCTGGGACATACTCAGGGAGGGCTGGCTGCCCAGCTCCGCCTCAGCCTCCAATGATGCTTCCTCTGGGAAGTTGTGGGGATACAGGGGCCAGTGGAGGCCCAGAAGAGCTGGATCTCTGTACAGGTGCAGGTTGAGGGGCCCCAGAACAGAGCAAGAAGCAGGGTCTCCGGGCAGGGAGCTTGAGGCCCCCATGTAAGGGCTGTCATAATCAAGCGGTGCTACAGCAATGGAGGCGCGAGAGCGAACTTCTGCAGGAGAGAGAGGGTCCGGCTGCCCTGAGGCCCTGCAGCCAGCATGGGCCAGGGCAGACGGAGGTCCACATTGTCTCCACGGTTTCCACTCCCCATGCCCCACCCCCCGGCAGCCTGCCCGCTACCTCGGCACTTTAGGACATAGTTGATACTGCGGTCGTTGATAGCTTCCTCACTGGGGGCGATGTCCCGGAAGGCCTTGTTCCCCACACCCATGGACACCATCTCAGCCATGCGCACCTCTGGATGAGAGAGGGCAGAAGTTGGGCCCCTCTGGTCAGCAGCACGACCCTTGGGGCCTTTAAATAAGCCTTTCCTGTCTACCCATATCCAGCAGATTAACCATCTCGGCCTTTCTGGTGGCAGGCTCTCTCCCAGCAATCTCATGGGGCAGGAGACATAATTCCCTTTTTAGAGATATGGCCTCTGATACTCAGAGAGGTTGAAACTGCATCCAGAGTCAGGGACGGTGACAGCGGGGCCATCTGAAGCTCTTTCCGCTGCCCTGGCTGTTGTCCATGGGCCGCTTCCTCACTTGCCAAGTGTCTCCTAGACCTTGGGCTTTCCCTGTAAGCTGCCCACAGAGGGGAATGTGATGAGAAGTAGGGGGCAGGGAGGGACCCACCCTTATTGTGGACAGCCTGTCTCCAGAGCAGGCGGGAGATGTCAGCCGTCCAGGCTTGCTTGGTGGCCAAGTTGGAGGCCTGAAGCACGAAGGTGTCCCTGGCCTTGCGGCGGCGGAACCAGATCTCAAAGCGCAGGTTGTGATCCCCACAGCACTCGGTGAGGCCAAGGTCTGCCATCTGTGTGGCCAGGAGAGAGGCTCTCGGTGAAGCAGGGGACAGGGCTGGGAGGGCTGTGCAGCAAGGGGCAGGAGCCAGGATTGGGCAGGAATACCTTGAAGGAGCGCTTGTAGGTAAACGTGTCGACACCCGCAGGCCCACGGCGAGGCTTGCTGAAGAGTAGCAGTTCCTCAAAGAGGAAGATGCGGCGCAGGGACTTGTGGCGCCCAGCACGGACCATGAATTCATCCTGACGCACCAGCTGCCCCTGTTCCTTGAGGTTAACCTGCAAAGTTGGGGTGTGACGGGTGCCCAGCCCCTCCTCCATTCTTCCACCCCCACAGCACTTGCCCACCACAGCCTGGGATGGCTCACGTCACAGCCCTGGATGGCGTCCATGGCTAGCAGGTCATTGCCGTGTCGCAGCTGGAAGTGCACGAGGCTCTGAGCTGCCCGCAGGGCACTCAGCTCCTGCACAGGGCCCCCGCAGGCCCGCGCCAGCTCCTGCAGCAGCAGTGCATACTTGGTCATGCGCTGGATGGGCTTTAGCAAGTAGGAGGCCAAGTCCAGGTGGTCCCCCAGTGCTTGCTGCTTGTCCTGCCGGGTAAGTGGGAGACCACTAAGTGGTTTCAGGGTCCTCTCCCTATCCTACTCCTCCTGCAGTCTCAGGTTCACCTACCTTGAAGAAGGCATGGCCGTAGCTGGACATCAGTGCATCGGAGCGAGGTTTATTCTTGCTGTAGAGTGCATACATCCCAAACTGCACCCTCTATGAGGATAAGAAGCTCAGCCCAGGTATGAGGGGGCTGGATGCCCCTAAAGGCTAGCCCCCTGGGCCAGACCAACTTTCAACTTGAAAGGGCCAAAGTGCCAAACAGATGGTTCCAGAGAGGTCTCCCCTCAGAGCCAAACTGCCCTGTTTTGAATGAGGGGTGATCCGGCCAGAGGGGCTTACCCACAGGCCCTCTGCAGAGCTCCCTGCCTCCCCCCCTCCCCCAGACGGAACCTTCCCTGGCTCTGAGAACTTCTCTCTGGTTTCACCTCACCTCAGACTCCACCCCCCTTCTCTTGCTCACTACACTCATCCAGGTCCACTGGTTTCTTCCTTGATGGCCAGGGCTCCTTCCTCTGGATGGAACCCTGTCCACTCCTGCCCTGGCCTCGGCTCAAACATGAGCTCCTCACAGCTACCTGCTCTCTCTAAAGCAGAAGCCTTCTTGCCAGTAACTCAAGCATCTCTCCTGCTTCTCCTCCTAACCCCAAGCTCGTTGGAGAGTGTATGGCTTACGTGGCGCAGGAAGGCATAGGCCACACGGGGTGGGTGCCGGGTGCAAGCCTCCAGTTCACGCAGGAAGAAATGGCAGTGGAAGTCCCGCAGCTTCTCCAGGTTGCCAAAAAGGTGGGCGCGCTGGCCACGGAGGCCCTGGGGCACATCAGGGCGGTCCAGCTCTGGGAAGTAGTTCTCCATGGTGTAGTCAAGAGCCCGTACATACTCCTGCTCCGTGGCCACCATCTCTGCCAGCACCAGCTGTAGCCTGCCAGGTAGGCGGAGTGAGGACCTAAGACATTCACTTGCCAGTACCCTCCCTGCCCTGTCCACTGCCTGCACCTGTTAGGGCTCCTGGGGTCACAGCTAGGGCCTGGTAGAGGCATAGCAGGGGATGACCCCGGCTGGGCACCTTCTCCAGCCTCTGTCCTGCGGCAGGCGGTAACAACGGCCACACGGTGGCAGTAGTGGCCAGGCTCACTGCTGAGACTCTTCCCCAGATTCTGATCAAAGCTGTAGGCCTTCCTCAGAGGAGGGATAGCAGGTCCAGCGGGGACCCTGCTGGCACGCAGGCTAGCTGTGCTACCCGTTGGTGCTGGCTTCAGTGCAGCCTCTAGCTTCTGGTCCAGGCCCAGCCAAGTGTCCTGGCACCGTGTCCAGGCCCAGCGGCACTCCTGGCGAATGCCCTCTGAACCCAGCCCTGTGGCCAGAGCCCACATCTTTCGGAAGTGGGCAGGAGGCAAGTCAGGGTGCTTGGTCCAGTGCAGCTGCAGCCGCTGCAGCACGACCCCTGGGCGCTCGTGCTCCAGCTCGGCCAATACCTGCTGTCCCTCCTCAGCCCACGTCGAAGCCTGCAACCCCAAGGCCAGACAGACATTAGAGGAAGACCCCCACCAAATCCACTGAGCCTTCTGCCCCTCTGCCCACCACCCATCCACACAGGATGCTGGCCCCAGGCTACATCCTTAGTGGCTGGACTTTGGGGTCAGACTGAAGACAAGGAGAGAGCAGAGCAGGACAGTCACCGCTTAACCCCACCGACCACAGAGCTAGGTCAGGGCTGCCCGCTTACCTGCTTGAGGAACTGAAACAGCCGCTCCGCATCTGTCAGCCGCTGGCGCCGCTGGGCCAAAGCCTGAGAGAAGTCGGTCAGCTGGGCCTGCAGGGCCAGGAAGCGCGCCCCCAGAGGACCCAGTTGGGCCGCCTCCCAGCCAGCCAGGGGCTGCAGGAACTTCTCCCCTCGCCTGATCTGCTCCTGGAGAGACAGACTGGCCTCAGCCATCTCAAACCCTGAACCCAGATCTATTCCAGTGATGTCTGCATGTCAGCCATCAGGGCTCCGCCATGGTGGAGACCTTCCCGCCACCCACTCCCACTCCTCCTTCCTCTCAGGCCTCCAACTCTACCTCAACAGCGTTCCACCTTCTCTCCTGGGCTCCCCTTGTCCTCTGGAGGTTCTTCCTCCTGCTCCCCTTCTCTCCCCAGGCCATTAAACACTGGGGCTCCTGAAGCCAGTGCACTTCTCCCCCCAGGCAATCTTGTGTGACCACACTGTGTCACCCACACACCCATACGCACCAAGTGACTCACTCTAGCCAGACTTCTCCTGAGCTCCAGGTCCAAGATCCAAGGACCTCCCTGTCACCCAAAAGCAGCCCCAGGACTGGACTCATGAATGCCCTTCTCTGGTTCTCAGAGAACAGCATCCACTCATCCTTAACAACTTCCCTCTCCCATGCCCTCCTATATGAGTCAACCATCAAATTCTATCAACTCGTTAATTTAAAAAAAAAAATTTGAGAGGCAGAGAACAAGCAAGCGAGCAAGATCTCATTCCCATCTGCTGGTTCACTCCCTAAATGCCTGCAACAGCCCAGGCCAAAGCCGGGAACCCGATCCATGTCTCCCATTGTAGATGGCAGGACCCCAATATTACTTGAGCCATCACCTGGGAAGGTCTGAATTAGCAGAGAGCAGGAATGGGAGCTGGAGTCAGGTCATCAAACCCAGGTAACTCCAGTGTGGGGCACTGGTGTCTCAACCAGCATCGTAGCTGTCAGGCTAAGCACCCGCCCCGTCCACTTGTCCAGTCTGTTTCTTTGCCACAGACGACATTCCAGTCAGCCCTCTGCATCCCGGGGTTCCGCATGCATGTGTTTCTGAGACTAAAAAACTATACTGAAGAGGTGCAAGCTTTTTTCCTTGTCATTATTGCCTAAACAATACAGAGCAACAGCTGTCTCCACAGCACCGACCTGTGTTAGGTAAATTATGTATGTGCAATCTAAAGATGACTAAACTACAGAGGATGACACCTGTACATTATATGCGAATACCATGCCATTTTATAAAAGGGTCTTGAATGTCCTTGGATTTGGCATCCATAGGGGGATCTAGAACCAATCCTCTGTGTTACTGAGAGAAGCCTTACAAGGCACTTCAGAAAGTTCATGGAAATGGAACTGAAACATGAGTTTCTTTTGGTGCAGAAAAAATTTGAAATCAATGCATAGTATTTTCATAAAATGAATTTTCTATGAATTTTCATAGACCTCTCCGATTTCCCACACGGACCCTACAAGTGCATCTTTTTTGGACTCTTCACATCACTGTCTAACTAGAAACTGAGGCTGTATTAGATAGTCCTAGAACACAGATATGATTATGCGATTCTCTTCCTTAAACTAACACTGGGGCCGGCGCCGCGGCTCACTAGGCTAATCCTCCGCCTTGCAGCGCCAGCACACCGGGTTCTAGTCCCGGTCGGGGCACCGGATTCTGTCCCGGTTGCCCCTCTTCCAGGCCAGCTCTCTGCTGTGGCCCGGGAGTGCAGTGGAGGATGGCCCAAGTGCTTGGGCCCTGCACCCGCATGGGAGACCAGGAGAAGCACCTGGCTCCTGGCTTCGGATTGGCACAGTATGCCGGCCGTGGCGGCCATTGGAGGGTGAACCAACGGTAAAGGAAGACCTCTCTCTCTCTCTCTCTCTCACTGTCCACTCTGTCAAAAAAAAACAAAAAAAACAAAACAACAACAACAAAAAACTAACACTGGTACAGGGCCCAGTGATCTGGCCACTGACCAGTCTTCCAGGCTCCACTCACCTCATCTTATCCCACTCTCCCTTCTCTGCTCTGCAATAATCCTTCACTGGCCCCCAACCCCTGCCACAGGATCTTTGAACATACTGTCTCCCCAGCCTAGAATGAAACCCCAGCCTCAACCCTCTTCAGCTGGACTGACCCCAGCTTGTCCTCCAGCTCTCAGTTCAAAAGTCATTCAAAAAAAAAAAACAACAACAACAACAACAAAAAACCTTGGCTGACATCGTTGCTGGGTCAGGTCTTCACTACAGAGCAGATCGAACCACCTGCTCTGCTTCTCTCCAGTTTGCAAACACATAACTGCAAACCTCTGATTAGAACTGATTTCCTTGGCTGACCAAGAAGCAAGGGATCGATTTGCTTTCACTCACTCCTGACTTCCTAGTCCCTGGCCCAGAGGACACAGTATCTGCAGAATGAACACGTGACCAAACTTACCTGAGCAACCTGGTCCAGCTCCTCAAAAGGGCCTTGGGCCTGGAGCAGCCTGTCCAGCGAGGGCTCCCTGGGCTCCTCCAGCGCTGGCCAGCCCACCTGCTGCAGCCACACTTCAATCTAGTGGGGCATAAGCAGGAAAGGTGAGGTCAGCCGCTGTAGTTAGGGCCACACCTCAGACCGAGGGCAGGGCCCCTCGGCAAGCAGTCCCACCTGGTGCAGCTTGCCCTCCTGGGCCTCCAGTGTTTGGATCAACTCTAGCGTCTGTATTTGCCGATTGCTCTGAAGGGTCAGCTGGTGCAACAGCCCATCCACGCAGCCATACAGCTCATCGGCCTTGTCCACAGCCGGCCTGGTACAGGGTACATGGTCTTACTTTGTGCTCTGCCAATCCTCTTGCTCCATTCCATGCTCCACCCTGTCCTGAGACCCTGAATCCTGTCCGGTTCTGGCCAGCTGGTTGAGTCCTTCGCATGGGCTATGGCAGGCTGGGCTGGGCTTGTGCCTACCTGTAGTCCGGGCTCAGGGTCACCCCTGGGACCTCCTGCTTCAGCCATGTCAGCTCCACAGCCCCCTGGCATTGTAGCCAGGAGAGCTGGGGCGAGTCCAGCACCTGCTGCATCAAGACCCTTGTTTGCCGCAGCAGCCCACCAGCTTCCTAGGATGGAGGGTGACAGACAGTGGAAGTAGACACGGCAGGGGAGGAGGCAGACAGGGAGCACTCTGGAAATGCTGGGAGGGGACACTCACCCCAGACTCCGTGGGCTGGGGAATACCCTTCACACTCTCGATGGCCCCCTGGAGCAGGGCGCAAACCACCTGGCAGTTCTGCAGTAGGGCTTCCAGACGCTGTGAGCAGAGGAAGCGTGACCAGAGCAGTGTGTGTGCTGCTGGCAGCCCTCATGGACTCCAGGGCACTTCAGCCAGCTCTGTCCTGCTCAAGCCGGCCCAGGAGAGGTTCCTCCACTGGCCCATGTGGCCTGTATAAGCCACTATTCCCCCAACCCCAGGGCACTGACCATCCGGAAATCCAACCAGGCCTGGTGAGAATAAGGCAGGCATCCTCCCAGCAAAGTGGGCAACCCTGCAGTGGGGATGTGTGTCAGCAGGCTCTGATGAGAGGGCACCTGTGCAAGCTGTGGAGAAGAAGGGGCTGTGACTCAGGCCCGGGTGGGGAAGCACCGCCACCTCCCCCCTGGCCAACCTGGCTCAGCACCTGCAGCTCAGAAGGCACCTCCTCCGGCATCTTTCCCACTAGCAGCACGTGATGCACCGCGCCTGGGGATGCTTCCTGCAAGGAACCGGAGCTCAGCCCTGTTCCTAACTCTACACACATGGAATGGGAAGCGAGGGTGCCTACAATCCTCTACTCACTTGTAGTTGGCTGAGTCCCCAGAAGAGGGAAGAGCTTGGAGAACAAATTCGGGCATCAATTAGCACGGTCAGTCCCAGGGCCTGTATTTGGGGCCTAAAGGGGTATGCTTCAGTTCAGCACCTGGGTCCCTGATCCTGACATCTCCCAGGTCAGGCTCAGTCCCCCAACCTCCTCTCCCAAACCTGGGGATGCTTCGCAAGTAGAGAAGGAGGCGGACGAGTTCAGGGCTGCTGCATGTGGGGTGAAGCCAGGCGGGGCTGTGGGCACACAGAAGCAGCACTGCTCGGCCTTCTACATCCCGAGTCCCTGCAGGGAGGAGGAAGTGAACACGGCCCAGCTGGGCTATCCCACCCCTCCCACCTCCTAGACCCTCCAAGCTACCTGGCAAGGCGGCCATGCCACTGGCCAGCAGCTCCCAGGTGAGGTCTCGGGCCAGGAGGCAGTCGGCAAGCTTAGGAAGACGGCATCCATTGGAGTCTTGGGAAAGGAAACGCTGGGTCTGTACTGGACCACCTACCCAAAGACCCCTCCGCAGACCCGCACTTCAGCCCGAGCAGGGCCAGAGACCTCCCCGAGGAACTTGACACCCACCTCCAGGGCGTCCCACTTCCTTGCCCTGGCCCAGCCTCCCTTACCTGCCTGCTGCAGCTTTGATGAGGTCTCTAAGAAAGGGTCTCCAAGGTCCACAGAGTCACTGTCCAATCCCCCAGGGCCCAAGCCGGCTGGCACTGCCCTGTCTGGCCCCGAGTCCCCTGTGCAGCCTCTCCCTGGGCTGGCACCCTCACCCGGTGCCAGGCTGAGGTGGCAGGACATGGGGCACAGGAGGCTTTCCACACCATCGCCATCAGGGGCCACCTCCTCCACCCGGGCTGAGGGGCCTCCTACTGCTCCGCTCGGGCTGAGCCCCGGCCCAGCCGCAGCCATCTGTCCTGGGGATAACTGAGGCTCCCCGCACAAGGGGCTGCCCTGTGGCCCTCTGCCCTGGGCTGCTCCCACTGTGGGGCTTGGGGGCTTGGGGTCCTCCTCCCGGGTATCCCTGAAACTGCACACCGTAAACTGCCGGTCGGTGGCATGACTCCGGGGCTCTGGGGACTCACTTCCATCCTCCAGGGGCCCTTCCATCACCCTCCGTAAGGGTGGGGCTGCTCAGGACAAGCGGGGGCTGGGCTGAACCGCGGTGTGGAGGCCCCAGCTCATTCAGGAACCGGGACGGCGGTCTGGTAGGACTCGGCGAGCACAGGCAGTAGGAGATGTTTGGCTTGGTGCCAGCCCACCCGAGGACCTGGGGAGGAGAAAGCACGTCAGGGGTTTCCTGTGCTGTCCAGCCCGCGTCGCGCTCCCAGGAGCCTTTGCCCGGCGGGCCCCACCCTCGGACGCGCCCCCACGGCCACACTAAGCCGGTCGGACGCCCGTGGGTGCGCGTGGCGATGCCTCGTGCTGCCTCATGGCCGGCCCAGCCTGGCCTTGGCCCTTGCGCGGGACCGGAGCGTGCCTTCTCACGCCCCCCGGGGACGCGCCGCGGGAAACCCAGGAGCTCGAGTGGCGGCGCAAGCGGGGCCTCGAACGAACCGACAGCAGCCCCGACGGCGGCGACAGCGTGAGCGCGCGGCGTCCCAGGGCGCCGCCTCCAGGCCACGGGCGAGAGAAGGCCAGGCCGCCAAGGACGCCGCGCCGCCCCCTGGGGGCCGGAGGACGGCACTACAGCCCACCTCGCGGGTCCCGACGGCAGACGGCGCCTGGCAGCGGGCGCCGACCCCTGCAGCGTCTCCTGCCCGCCACACTCCAACCGCGGGCCGCGCGGCTCGCTCCACCCTGCCCTGCCGCGGGCTCGGCGCGCCCCGCGCTCGGCGTTTCGGCGTCTCGGGCCCCTTGGTGCCCAGGGTGAGTGGCGTGGGGAGCCCGCAGGTGGGTGGTCGCGGAGCTGGCCTGGGCGGGGGCGTCTGCTCACGCTAGGGGGCGGAGGGGAGGCAGAGGGGCGCTGCCTTGTCCTCACTGCCTCAGCAAAAGGAGACCACTCACTCCTCACAGCCCTCAAGGCATGCCCAAAGAGGGGGAAAATGTGAACCCCTGGAGACTCCATAAGCCCAGCCGGCTGCTTGGGGCTGCTGGGGACCAACGGGGAATCCTCCCGGGGGCTGGAAGTGAGGGGCCCTGTATTGCAGCCCCACCTTCCTTTAAGTCCGCAGACCCAGGCGCTGAGAGACAACCCCCTGGGAAAGGGCTGCTCTTCAGGCTGGAGGATGGGTGGGGGGTGGTGAGGGCTCTGTGGTGGGAGCTGACCCAGGCCTGCCAGGCCCAGACCCTCCACCCCTTTGCCCCCTTGCCACGCCTTTCTGCCCTCCCCCACAAAGTCCAGTAAGGCTGGGATCCTGGAGCCAGTGGACTGGCCCAGGCCCGGCTCCTCCACTTACCTGCTGCCAGGTTCCAGGTACTCTTCTCTCTGAGCCTCACCTGTAAAGAAAAATGTCATTCCTCTCTCCTGGGGTTGCCGTGAGGACTAGGGAGACCCCAGATGTCACACTCCCGCTCAGTGTTCCTGCCCTGCCTCCTCTCTCACCCTTAGCCAGGCCATCCTGAACTGGGGAAAGTCCCTTGGAAAGCGGGGAGAGCCCTCCCAGCTCTGACGTTCGGGGTCCCTCTGGGACGTGTGGGCCTGGCCTGCCTTTCCCCCCAGATTTGTGGGGAGATTGTGAGGAGATGGGACGTGTGACGAGGAGAAGGTGCTGAGTCCCACAGCACGCCCAGACCCCTGGTCCCCGGGCAGGGGGAGAATGGGTGGACTGGCTTCCCTCTTCTAAGGTGGGAGAGTGTTCCTTGTGGACCTGAGCATCAGGAGTAGGTACAGTGGGAAAACAGCAGCCTCCCACCCAGCCCAGCCCCCAGAATCCAGACTCCCACTACCAAGGAGCCTTCTTCATGGCCCGGTTTGGCTTTGAGAGAGGAACCTCAGAGCTGCCCTGCTCCGTCCCCAACCCCTAGCCAGACCTCCCTCCCCACCTCCTCTAGCTTCAGTGAGCACTGGGTCCAGTGCTCCCTCCCCAGCTCTGTCCCAGGGCCGCCCTCACTGAGTCACCAGCTCCTGCTCCCTCCCTCCCCTTCTGCTGCTGCTACCTCTGCCCATTAGCACCCCCACCCCCGCCCGCCCAGGCACACTTACATGAGCTGGGCTAGACCTGCTGCCGGGCACATAGTCCTCCCGATGCCAGAGGCAAAGAGGCCTCAAGCCACAGGCCCTAGCAGACCCTGGCACCTGTGGGCACAGCGGACAGGTTCGGGGACACACTGAGGGGCAGGGCTTAGCCCTGGTTTCTCCACTCCTCATAGAATGTGCATTGTAAGCGTCACGGAAACAGATTACATGTTGTCCACTTCTGTCCTTCCAGCACGTGGCCTGGCGCGGAATAAACGCTCGGGGGTGCCTGAGATGCGTCACAGCACCCCTGCCTTCCTGAGGCTCCGCATCTGTGAGTCGACAGAAGCCAGAGTCACAAGAAGAGAGGCAGATTCAGAGGCCGTGCCTGAAAGGAAGCTGGAGAAGATGCAGAGAGCCACCCAGTGCACAGCCCAGGACGGCAAAGGTACACACAGAAACGGGGACAGACAGGCCGAGGGGAGAACCCTGGGGGGCTGGGCCTGGAGCCAGCCCGGGGCGGTTGACCACAGCAGGCTGTATGGGCTGAGCTTGCAGGACCAAGCAGTGACTCACGAAGCCCATCTCTGTGGCTCTGCTGGCAGCAGAGTCTGCCCTCAGCAGCCTTTTCCACTGAGCTCATAAAACGGGGATGGACTTTGTTCCCATGCCCCTTCCCCACCCTCCCCCAACCTCCCATTCCTTGTCAACATAAACCCAGGCAAAAAATAAAATGGGAGCTGTGGGCCTGCTGATGAGACCCACTGTCATTCCCCTGACTCTGCCCAAAACCTTGCACTCCCCTCTTCAGGACTGCCCCCAACAGGGGGAAAGTGTGGGAAAGGTATGGAGAAGGCCAGAGGGGCTGAAGTCCTGCCTCGTATCTGCTCTCTGTTCTCCGTCCCAGGAGCCCTGGGCCAGGCGGTTGGAAGTTTCCACTTACTCACAAGATGCCCTTGGCACTCCCGCCCCTGGAGCCCACAGACACACGCACACAGGACACCTGTCCATCTGAGAGATGTTTAATGGATGTTAGGCTCAAGGTACAAAACACAAGGCAGGTGCTAACCCCAGGAAAATCACCTGCCACTAGTCAGCCCCCCATTACCACTGCAGCCAGGCATCCCAGCCCCCAGGGCAGTGGAGCAGCGGCCCTGGGAGGCCTGGTTCCTCCCCTGTTTGGGGAAAGCGGAGGTGGTGACACGGGAGCCCAGAGGCCATAGCATCCCCTCCTCAGAAAACCCAGACCCAAGCATCGGGAAAGTCCAGATTGGACTCAGAGCAGCTGATCCCCGGAGGGACCCTGGCTGAGAAGCACCCCTGAACTGAAGCCTGGCCTGTTCCCCTGGCCTTGAACTACTGCCCTGATACCTGGCAGCACAGGGAAGAGCTGAAGCAAGAAGTGGAGGCAGAGAGTTCCACTGCCCTGAAAAAACTGACCGGGTGCCTGACCCTACAGGGCAGTCAGACCCAATACTGAGGCCTGCTCTACCTCCCACCCCAACGCCATGGAGGGCAGGCAGGCCAGCATCTGCTGAGGAGTGATGCCTTTGTTTTGGGTCAAGAGCAGCTGCCTACAGTAACCCCAGGAAGACCCACTGGGGAAGGGCTATCAGCTACCCAAGTCTCTGGACCTAGCCCTTAGAAATTCTGGACTGGGTCCTGAGCCAGGGTAGGTACCTTACTGAAATGGAAGTTGGCAGGGGTTAGGAGCAGGGAGGATGGTGATAAGGGTCCCTGTGAGGACCAGCCCAGGAAACCCTTTTGACCAGCCCCAAGGAGACCCAGTTGCTACTTCAGCCCAGGCCCCTCTGGTCCCATGTCAGGCTGCCCATTGCGCTGAGAACACTCCACCTCCTGTTCCTCCCCCAGACCCTGCGCTACAGCCGGCCCCCTTTGTTGAACTGGATGCACCAGTGGGAGTTAGCCGTGCCCGGGCTGAGATGAGTCTGGTCCTTGTGGCCCATGAGGGGCTGCAGCTCCTGCTGCTGGGGGATGTCAGCACTGCTCTCACTGCGGGAGCGGCCAGCCTTGGCCAGGCTGGGGGGAAAGGCAAAGCCAGGGCGGGGATCAGAAAGCAGGTCGAGAGCGGCCCGGGGCTCTTCAGCACCCAGGGGCCGGGGCGGCAGGCGGGTCAGAGTTGGGGCCTGGGTACAGGGAGGGGATGCCAGGCTCTCCAGGGATGAGATGCTCTGGTTCCAGCCCGTCTGCATGTCCACGGGCACAATCTTGGTGGTTTCTGAGGACACATACACCGCCTGGTCCCCCTGCCCACTCTTCCAGGGCAGCTCCTTCTCTGCACAGGTTGGGGACGGGGGGATGATGCGTGGGCTTGGACACACCTCAAAGCTTCCTGGGGACAGAGAATACACACAAGCTTGTTACCAGTGCAGTGCGATCTTTTCGAGTAAAGACACATTCTCATAAGTAAATTCACCCCACAGTTGCCATCAGACATGCATTTGTGATTGTTTGATGAGTGCCTTGCTAAGGGGAAGTGCCACGACTGGTTTTGTTCTCTGTTCTAGTCCCCAGCACCTAGCACAGGGCTGGACACGTAGCAGCTGCTGGGGGCTGGTGTGTGGCCCAGCAGGTTAAGCTGCTGCCTGGAACACCGGCATCCCATATGGATGCCAGTTCAAGTCCCAGCTGCTCCACTTCCCATCGAGCTCCCTGCTAATGTGCCTGGGAAAGCAGTGGAAGATGGCCCAAGTGCTCGGGCCCCTGCACCCATGTGAGAGACCTAAATGGAGTTCCTGGCTTCTGGCTTTGACCTGGCACAGTCCAGGCCATTGCAGCCATTTGAGGAATGAGCCAGTGCATGGAAGATCTCACTCTATATATCTCCCCCCTTCCAACTTTGCCTTTCAAATAAATAAATAAAAGTAAAATCAGGGTCAGGCATTTGGCCTAGCAATTAAGATGATGGTTAGGACACCCGGAGTGCCTGGCTTTGACGCCCAGCTCTGGCTCCTGACACCAGCTTTCTAGCAGTGCAGACCCTTGGAGTTAGGGGTGACGGCTCAAGTAACTGGGTCCCTGCCACCCACATGGGAGGCCTGGGTTGAGTTTCTGGTTCTGGCTTGGACTGTTTCAGGCATTTGAGGAGTGAACAAGCTAATGGGAACTTACTCTGTCTCTCAAGTTAAAAAAAAAAAAATAGCCTCTCTTGAAAAAGAAAACAAGTAAAATTATACCTCTTGAAAAACCTGGAAAAACAACAATACAAAAAGCCAAAAAGCTAAATAAAACAGGCAACTGGCGTAGCGGGTAAAGCCGCGGCCTGCAATGCCAGCATCCCATATGAGCACTGGTTCAAGTCCTGGCTGCTCCACTTCCAATAAAACTCCTTGCTGGCCAGCACCATGGCTCACTAGGCTAATCCTCCGCCTTGCGGCACCGGTACACCGGGTTCTAGTCCCGGTCAGGGCGCCGGATTCTGTCCCAGTTGCCCCTCTTCCAGGCCAGCTCTCTCCTGTGGCCAGGGAGTGCAGTGGAGGATGGCCCAAGTGCTTGGGCCCTGCACCCCATAGGAGACCAGGATAAGTACCTGGCTCCTGCCTTCAGATCAGCGCGGTGCGCCGGCCACAGCACACCGGCCGTGGCAGCCAATGGAGGGTGAACCAACAGCAAAAGGAAGACCTTTCTCTCTGTCTCTTTCTCACTCACTGTCCACTCTGCCTGTAAAAAAAAAAAAAAAAAAAAAAAAAAAAAACACAAAAAACTCCTTGCTAAAGTGCCTGGGAAAGCAGCAGAGGGTGGCCCAGGTGTTTGGCCCCCTGCACCCAAGTGGGAGACCAGGAAGAAGCTTCTGACTTTGTAGCCATTTGGAGAGTGAACCAGAGGATGGAAGATCTGTCACTCTGTGTGTCTCTGTCTCTGTCTCTCTCTCTCTCTCTGTAACTCTGCCTTTCAAATAAATAAAATAAACCTTTTTTAAGAAAAAAAAAGTTAAAACAACAAAAACCTCATTTTCTTCCTAGAGGATTCCAGGGAACTAACTCATTGGTGTGAAAATTGATAAAATTATCCATTATTTCCTACATGAGCTTCTCCCTCCAGATAACCAAATAATTGATGAGGAAAGTTTTTTCTTTTCTTTTTTTTTTTTCCAGAGGTAGAGTTAAGAGAGAAAGAGAAAGGTCTTCCATCTGCTAGTTTGCTCCCCAAATGGCCGCATCAACCAGGCCTGGGATGATTCAAAGCCAGGAGCCAGAAGCTTCTTCTGGATCTCCCATGACGGTGCAGGGACCCAAGCACTTGGGCCATTTTCTACTGCTTTCCCAGGCCATAGCAGAGAGCTGGATTGGAAGAGGAGCAGTCGAGAGCAGAACCAGTGTTCATTTGGGATGCTGCTGCCACAGGTGGAAGCTTAGCCTACTACATCACAACACCGACCCTGGAAAAGTTTTTTTTTTTTTTTTTTAATAGAATGACTGCTAATAATGCGGATGAAAATATAGATACAGAATATCGCCATCGTGTAACCCCTAATGTAGTGCTAGATGTGACAATGATCATAGAAGACTACAAAGACCATTTTCTTTTTTTTTTTTTTTTTTTTGACAGGCAGTGTGGACAGTGAGAGAGAGAGACAGAGAGAAAGGTCTTCCTTTTCCGTTGGTTCACCCTCCAATGGCCGCTGTGGCCGGCGCGCTGCGGCCGGCGCACCGCGCTGATCCGATGGCAGGAGCCAGGTGCTTCTCCTGGTCTCCCATGGGGTGCAGGACCCAAGCACCTGGGCCATCCTCCACTGCACTCCCTGGCCACAGCAGAGAGCTGGCCTGGAAGAGGGGCAACCGGGACAGAATCCGGCGCCCTGACCGGGACTAGAACCCGGTGTGCCGGCGCCGCTAGGTGGAGGATTAGCCTAGTGAGCCGCGGCGCTGGCCTACAAAGACCATTTTATGAAAAGTTGATGGAGAACTTGGTAAAGGGCGGACCAGGGAGTAAGGTCTGATACAGTCATCAGTGTTGTTAGCCTTTGGAAAGAGAGACAACCAGATGGTACACCTTTCCAGGAGGTACACCATCACCACCTAGTAAGTATTTTTTCTTCATCACCACCTAGTATTTAAAAAAAAAAAAAAAAACAGATTTATTTATCTATTTGAAAGAGCAACAGAGAGAGAGAGAGAGAGAGAGCTTCCATCTGTTGGTTCACTCCCCAAATACCCTCAACAGCCAAAGCTGGGCCCAGCTAAAGCCAGGAACCCAGGACTCCATCTGGGTCTCCCAGCATGGTTGGCAGGGGCCCAAGGACTTGGACCATCTTCCTCTGCTTTTCCAAGTGCACTAGCAGGGAGCTGGATTGGAAACAGAGCAGCCAGGACTTGAACTGGCACTCATATGGGATGCCAGTATTGCAAGTACACTATACCACAACCCAGTCTATATATATATATATATATATATATATATATATATATATATATATAAAACTTTCAAATTTATTTGTTTAAAAGGCAGTGTTACAGAGATGCAGAGGTGGAGGCAGAGAGAGAGAAGTCTTCTACCTGCTAGTTCACTCCTCAAATGGCTGTAATGGCCAGTGCTGGGCCAGACTGAAGCCAGGAGCCAGAAACTTCCTCCAGGTCTCCCACGTGGCTACAGGGGCCCAAAGACTTAGGCCACCTTCCCCTGCTTTCACAGGTGCATTAGCAGGGAGCTGGATCAGAAGTGGAGCAGCTGGAACTCGAACCAGTGCCCATATGGGATGCTGGTGCTGCAGGCTGAGGCTTACCCTACTGCACCACAGTGCCAACCCAAGCATTTTTTAAAGATTTATTTATTTATTTGAGAGATGGAGAGAGAGAAATTCCATCTGTGTGCCAGGAACTCCATCCTGGTCTCCCACATGGGTGGCAGAGTCCCAAGTATTTGGGCCATCTTCTGCTGCCTTCCCAGGTCCTTGAGCAGGAAGCTGGATTAGAAGCAGAGTAGCTGGGAGTTGAATCAGCCCTCTGACTTTGGATGTCAGTATTGCAAGCAGTGGCTTAACGTGCTGTGCCACAGTGCCAGCTCCTATTAATGATTCTTACCCCAAAATTTAAATAAATCTGATGTAGATTTGATTATCAGTTTAAAGGAAATATAAGGGACAGAGAAGTATATTCAGTAACATTTAGGGGATGCAGTCAGCAAAATCCAGACAGTAAAAGACTGCAAGACAAATAAACTGGTTTCTTCAGTAAATACATAGCCAGGGGAGAGAGGGGGAGAGGGACTTACAGATCACGGTTTTGCAGATTGGCACTATTGACATTTTGAGACAGCTGCTGCTTTGTTGGGGGCTGCCCTGTGCATGTTTGGATGTTCAGCAGCGACAGTGGCCTCCTCCCACTCAATGCAGATGCATCCTCTCCAGTTGTGATAACCAAAAATGTCCTCAGGAGGCGAAAGTCATTCTGCCACTGCCACCCCTTGAGAACCAGTGCTGAAGTTTACATTTTACAGCCAAATGCAGTGTGTGAACTTTATCTGAGTTTTCATGTGGACAAACATACTAAAACACAAAAAGAAAAACAGGAAGGGGCTGGCGTTGTGGTGTAGCAGGTAAAGCTGCTGCCTTCAATGCCCACATCCCATATGAGGGCCAGTTCATGTCCTATCTGCTCCACTTTCCATCCAGCTCCCTGCTAATGCACCTGGGAAAGCAGTGGAAGATGGCCCTAGTGCTTCAGCCATTGCATCCACTTGGGAGACCTGGAAGAAGCTCCTGGCTCCTGGCTTTAGTCTGGCCCAGCCAGCCCTGGCCATTGTGGCCATCTGGGGCGTGAATCAGCGGGTGCAAGATCTCTCTGTATTTCTCCCTCTCTCTCTAACTCTGCCTTTCAAATAAATAAATTTTAAAAATTTCTAGGGCATAAATAAAATTATTTAAAAAAAAAAGACCAGGGAAATTTGAATACTGACTAGGTATTTCATGACACACATTTTGGATATGGTAATGGTATTGTGGTTATAAAAAAGAATCCTTATCTAGGAATAGGTGTTTAGCCTAGCAGTTAAGATACCCGCATCCCATATTGGCAGTGCCTAGGTTCAATTTCAGGCTCCTGACTCCAGCTTCCCACCATTGCAGACCTGTGAGGCAGCACTAATGGCTCAAGTAATTGGGTCCCTGCCACCCAAATGGGAGGCCAGCCCCAGCCCAGTCCCAGCCATCGGAGGCATTTGGGGAAGTGAACTGGTGAACTCAGTCCCAGCCATCAGAGGCATTTGGGGAAGTGAACTGGTGAACTCTCTGTGTGTCTGTCTGCCTCTCTTTCTCTTTGCCTCTCAAATAAACAATAAACAATGTATAAACAAACCCCAAAAAAGAATCCTGGGGCAGATATTTGGCCTAGCAATGACAACACCAGTTAGAGTGCCTGTGCCCCTTACAGAATACCCGGGTTCAATGTGCTCCTCGGCTCTTGATTCCAGCTTGCAGCTAACATAGCCCCTGGGAGGCAGTAGTGACAGCTCAAGTAATTGGGTTCCTTTCTACCCGTGGGAGACCTGGGTTCAGTTTCCAGCTCCCAGCTTCAGCCTGACCTAGTCCTGCCCATTTTGGGCATTTAGGGGGTATGAACCAGCTGCTGGAAGTGCTCTCTCGTGTCTAGCTGTCTCTTGGTCTTTGTGCTTCTCACACTATAATAAAAAAGAATCCTTATCTTTTAGGGATATCTGCTGAAGCATTTATTGATAAAGTGGCGAGATGTTTGAAATTTGCTTCAAAAGAACCTAGTAGGGTGCCAGCGTTGTAGTATAACTGGTTAAGCCACTGCCTGCAACACAGGCATCCCATATGAGTGCTGGTTTGAGTCAAGGCTGCTCTACTTCTGATCCAGCTCTCTGCTAATGTGCCTGGGAAAACAGTGGAAGATGGCCCAAATCCTTGGGCCCCTGCACCCATGTAGGAAACCTGGAAGAAGCTTCTGGATCCTGGCTTCAGCCTGTCCCAGTCCTTGATGTTGCAGCCATTTGTGGAGTGAACCAGCAGATGGAAGATTTATCTCTTTCTCTTTCTCTCTCTCTCTCTCTGTTACTCTGCCTTTCAAATAAAGAAAAATAAGAAAGGAAGAAAGGAAGAGTGAGGGGCCTGAGTGAGGATGTAGGTGAAATAAAATTGGCTATGAGTAGGTTATTGCTGAAGGTGGCTCATGGGTAGATGGGAGTTTATTTTACTCTTATATCAGTGTATATTTTTTCAGTTTTCTGTAATAAAATTCTTTTAAAAGACACCTGAAGGTTGAGCCCACAACCAGTGATCTCTAGCATTGTAAGTGAATTAGGACTTTGCGTGCAGAAACATGCAAATAAGTATATTGTTTCTTAAATCTGCAAAAATTCCATTTTGAATAGCTCAGGCTCCTCCCCCAAGTCAAAAAGCCACCCCCAGCCAGGGCGCTACCTGAGGGCAGGTGGCTGAGCAAGGTCACAGCTGAGCCTGTTAGGTGTGTTTACTACCATTGGTGAGAGAGGCAGTGAAAGGCTGTGGGTTTTGCTATCAGCTAGGTCAGTCACAAATCCTGGTTCTGCTGTATGACACTGAATAAGTCACAAGTTTTTTAAGCTCTGTGAGCTCAGCTTACCCATCTTGTTTGTTGTGAGGATTGCATCAGCTCACAGGTGTCAGGTTTCTCATATAAAAGAGGTGCTCGCTAAATGCTAGATGGGGAGTAAATTGGTGAACAGGAAAAGGGAGTTTTCTGGAGTAGAGGCCCTGAGTGAGGAGGGAGGAAACCAGCTGGCTGCGGAGGGGAGGGAGGCAGCAGGCGGCCATTACCTGAGACCTTGCCCTCTTGGAGAACCTCACTGGTGGCCCGAGCCACAAAGATGATCCCCTCATCGTCTTCCTTCTCTGTCTCTGAACTGTCGCTCTCTTCCTCCTCCGACTCCACCGTTAATGTCACAGCAGCTGGACAGGGACAAGAGCAAGTCAGGGCAGCCAGTGCAGCGGCTGCCTCCGGGCAGCGCACACTCCCAAGCCAGCTCCCTGTCTTCCTCAGCAGAGCCCACACCAGCAGAAGCACCTGCCTTCTCCTCTGGCACTAGCCTAGCAGGTGGGAGGCTTGAGAGAGGGAGAAGACGCAGAGCCTGAGGAGGCAACCAGAGGAAGCCATGATGGTCACATCCTTCAGCTCCCCGACACTCTTCTGCCAGTCCCAGATCCAACCACCCACTGAAAACAGGAGCATCTGGAGCGCTCAAGGCCCGTAAACACTCAGCTCATACAGAACTGGCTTGGCGGGCAGGGTGTGGGGCCCCAGGCCCATGGTGCTTCAAGGCCAGTCCAAGGTCTTCCTTCTCCATGGCACCTCTTCCAAGTCCTCAGGGCCTGTAGTGCATAGCTAGCAACCAGACACCTCCCACCACACATTACTAGTAACCTTTGAACATTTCAACCTGGAGATCAAGGGTACCCATCTAGGCTCTGAGGGGACAAGCCCAGTTCATGGTGCTGAGTGCACCCCAAAGGAGGCCCCCCAGGATTCTGGTGGCTATGGTCTGCCCTTGCTCTTCTCCCTCCCACCCCCAGTGCCACTCCCCACTTCCCGCTCCCTGCTTGCCTGTGTCCTGAAAGCCCAGGTCTCGAGGAGGTTTCCCGTTTGTAGCGTCAGCATTAGCGACACCATCCTTCTGAGAACCAAGAAAGAAGACCTGAGCCTCCAGCCCCACTCCATGCCCCACACCCCAAGCCTGTCGTCGTTAGGGTCAACAGGAGGAGGGGATCTTTATCAGTCCTAATGGTTCTACCATCCCTTGGCCAAGCAGGCGGTAATGGTGGAGTCTGAGTAACATACCCCCCAGCAAGGCCTCTGGATGCATCAGGCTGGGCTGATGGAGGTGCCCATGGCATCGCCCCTCTGAGGAATCTGCCCATCACCTGCCCAGTAAGAGGCCCTGCTGCCTCCCAGCAGGTGACCACGTGGCCAAAGGGCTGCCTTCCTTCTGAAGGCATCACCTACTCTTGAGGGGCTCCAGGAGACTCTACAAGGGAAACTGACCTGCTGAAACCTTAAGTCCCTGAGGACTACCCAACTAGGAGATGCTCTAGGCTAGATTCTAACACTTGGGGGTTTCAAACTGTGTGCTGTCAGCCTCCAGCCCCAAAGAGGAGTCCCAGAGAAAGGACGTGCCTTCTTGCGGCCAGCCTTGCGTGGTCGGGGCTTGTTCTTGGTGAAGCAGATGTTGTGCTTGGTGGACTTAAAGGACTCCAGCCGCCGCTTCATGTTCTGCTGGAAGATCTCCTTGTCCTGCCGCTCCTGTGCATCCTCTGAGATGAAGTGGCGGCTGCAGCTGGCTTTGTACTGGCAATGACAGCCCCGGCCTGCTGTGAGGCTGGGAGCCTTGGCCTATCCCAGGAACCCCAGGCCACAGCCCTGCGTGTTCACCGCAGAGCTGCCAGCCCAGAGTTTCCATAACTAGCCACGGATTGAAAAACAGAACAGTGCAATAGGAACCCAGCCAGAGGCTCTGTGTTCTTAGTTCACTTCACAAAAACTTCCCTTTGTCCAAAAACTTATTCCCCCTAACCCTGGCCTTTCCCATTCCTGGTGCCCTTTTCCCAGTTCTCCTTTGAAGTGGACAGGAGGCGGGGTCCTGTGTCTTATACCTTGGGGCTACCACAAGACCAGGTGGAAAATTTCCTTCTTTGTTTTTCCATTTATCTGAGCCTGGCCCACACACCTGGCTCATCTGCCCCCTCCTCACCACACAGGACCCCCTCCCCAGCTAGACTCCCCATCTAGCCATTTCTACAACCATCATGACACCCTAGGCCGTGCTCTAGACGTTCCAAATATAACTTCTGACTTCTGACACCTCTCAGTCCCGACGGCCTGTGTCTAACTCAGAACCACCCCTTTTCTCTGCTCTTTTTACCTTTCCCACTACACACTCAGCTGGATTGCCGCCATCTCTGCCACCATCTGCTAAGCAACTTCTCCATTATCTAGCGCTAGGTAGTCCCCCAGAGTACTGCCCAGGGAGTTCGAGGTCACCTGGTATCGTCTCCTGTCCCGTTTGGTCCCTTTCCTGTCACTCACAGTTCCTGCTTCCCTGGACCACCTGCCCTCCTCTCCAGGTACCCGTGCCTCCTGAGGATGAATGGGCCTGTCACTCGTAGCCTCCGCGCAGCTCCATGCTCTCCCTGTTTGTCCACTCTCCGGCTGCTTCCCTCCTTCTCTCACCACCAGCCCCTCCTCTCTGCTCCCAGTTACCTCCTGCCTTTGCTTCCTCGAAGAAAGCCTTTCCACTGATGCTAGTATCTCTTTTGCTGCCAAACTTTTATAATTTGGTTCTGGCACTATCGCTCATCCCAATTCTAAGGTCCACAGCTCCACAGCTCGGCCTTCTCCCTGGTCACCAGTGCCGTGGTCTGTGCCTAGGCGCTGGTCTGGCCTCTGTGTGGCATCTAGCCCGCTCTGCTGCAGGCCTGAGACCATCCGCTACTGTTCCTCAAGGTGGTTCCTCTCTCCTCTTTGCTGACTGCCCCCTCCCCCCTTCCATGCGTATCCTCAGAGTTCTCCCGGCCCTCCTCCTTTCCTCTAAAAGCTCTTCCTGGAGAACTTCTCATTCTCTTGGCTTTAGCTGTCCCAGCAGGATTGCTCTGTGATCCCAGGCGTGAGCCATAAGACCAGCTACTTGTGAATCAGCCTGAGCCTAGCAGATGCGCAAGTGTTTGGTCCTGCTCCACGCTATAGACTCAGAAGCTCCGGCAGGAAAAGCCAGGAACCTGCATTCTAACACACAGCCGGGGGAAGCCGAAGAAGCTGAGTAAGGAAACCTCTGCCATCAATTCCTTCCAAATCTTTTCTCTCCAGGCCTTATCTTTCTTTCAGACTCATTGAATCTTACTTTTTCAGTTGCATACTAAACACTTCTGTCTGTCTAATAATACTTCTATGATGAATATGAGAAAGTATGGATTGTGTTATGGTATAACCAAGTGGATTCAGAACTAGTTGAGTAACCGTACCCCAAAATGCTTGATCCATGTCAGTCTGGAAGAAATTCTTTAGTAGCATGCCACAGGGCTGTGTCCTCAGCTCTATCCTGTTCAACATGTTTATGTTGATTTGGATGAATACTAAGTTAACAGGCTTAGTGAATTTTCAGATGATATGAATCTGAGAAGGAGACATTTGGTGGCAGACATGGGATCCATGGACGATGGAATGATGGGCTAAATCAAATGAAATGACATTTAACAGGATAAGCACAAACTTATTCCAGTTTAAAAAAAATTTGCACAAGAACTGACTGGACTGAACTCACAAATCTTACACATGTGCGCACACACACAAACACCAATCAATAGTAGCTTCTTCATGGCACACAATAAGAAATACATAGCATACCTATTACATGCACATAAATCTGTTGGGCCACTAGATTTAGTGACCAGGAAGTACTCATACAAGGGATGAAGGAACATGTTACACACCACTGGAATATAACCAGCAAAAATACAAAAAATGGGAAATTCTCCAAGATAAAGTATAAATAGCAAGGGGGAAAAGGTGAGGGAAAGGAATGTTTTTTTAATTAAAAGACATATTTCCCAAATACAAAGTATGGACTTTATTTGTATCCTGATTTGAACAAACCAGCTAGAAAAAAAATATATTTATTGAATACTGACTGCATGTTTAATGCAAGAATGAGTTATTGTTATTTTGGAAATAATGTAACTTTGGTTTTCTTTTTAAGAGTTCTTGACACTTTAAGAGATACATACTGAAATATTTAGAGATAATGTGGTATGATGTCTGGAGATTGCTTTAAGATGGAATATGGGTGGGGTATGGTGTGGCTGCAGAATATAGCAAAATTAATCAAGCATTTATAATTACTGGAACTGGGTGATGAATAAATGAGTTATTTTATTATCTCTACTGAAATTTTGCTTAAGAAAAATTTTTAAGAAACACCATAGGTTGGATAAATAAGGTTTGACAACCATTAACTGAGAAACACATAGGGTCTGGCAGACTGTAAGGACAGCACAGGCCCCAGGTGAGCCTGAGGGACCCTGGGCTGCAGAAAGAGGGTGGCAGGCCCCAGAACTCGAAAGGTGAGAGCACCCCTCTGCCCTGGCTGGCCAACCACAGCTAACCTTGCACTTTCCACCCCATACCCCATTTCTTACGGCCAAAGAAGACCCACCAGGGGCAGGAGATGCTGGCCTGAGAGCAAGAGGGCTTGTGTGGAGGGAATCTGGTTTGGAACTTCTCAAGACTTATTCTGCAGAGTTACAAAGGTTCAAATCAGGCCCAGTGGCTTCAAGGAAGCCAGTTGTGCCTCGATAGTAGGAAGAGGCCTGACTGTTCAAACTGCCAGGAAAGGTAACTGCTGGCTTCCCAGTTCAGAAAAAAGATTCAAGGTAATGGCTTGCTGCCCCCTTGTGGGATTGTAAGAGACTCTCTTCCTGGTGGGTCCGGCCTGTCCAGCCCCAAAGCTTCATGATCTGCATTGGATTCATTCACATGACCTAAAATAAATGTCTGCCTTCCCCAAGCTAAGCCGGCCCTGCAGGCTTCCTCACCGCCCCCACACACCCGTCTGTGACCCTGTGGTTCCCCAGCGACCCTCAAGGCTTCCTTTGTGCTGTTCTGCTGTTCTCCCTTCCCACCCCCAGCTCTAATCCAGAGTGTTTCACACCAGCTGCCCAACCGCCTCTCCTAGCCTCTCAGCTCACTCCCTCCAGTTTGATCTGCTGTCTGCTCCCAGGGAAGGCATCCTGAAAAAATACTGTTATCAGGTCAGCCCTTTCTCAAAAAAGAGAGGAAAAAAAAAGTCAAGGTTTCTTATTGCTGACCGGATGAAGCCCACACTGTCAGCCTGGCATCTGCAGCTCTCCTCCAGCTGACACCCACTGCCTCTTGAGCCTCTGCTCATGGCCTTCCCAGACCACCCCGCCCCCGTTGCTCTCACCCTGCCTGCTCTCACCCTGCGTCGCGGCTTGTAGAGGCCTCCGCACAGCAGATGGTGCATCACAGCATCCTCCCGGTCCCGGCCGCTGCGCACCGTGTCAATCACCTGCAGGTCCAGGCACGCGCCGCTGCCGCTCTCCCTCCTGCAGGAGCGAGGGACATGGGCACTGGGGAGGGGGGCACAGGCCCCAGGAACGGGAAAAGCAAAGGCACTGACAAACTCTTCCCCCAGAAGGAAGTTCTCCTTCTAATGGGGGAGGGCCCATTAGAGAGGAGTTTGGGGAAGAGAAGGGGGCCTCACAGACTCACAGCAGGTTGGTGACAGAGGTCTCTGCCACAGAATTGCGGCTGGGCATAGAGGGCAGAGAGAGGCCTGTGGAGGACAAGACGTGGCCTCCCTGCAGGAGGCAATACCAAGGTCAGATGACAGTCAGGTGGAGGGTGGCCCAGTCAGCGATAAAGAGAGTAACAATTGTTAACACTGATTGTGCTCTTTTGATGCACCAAGTACTGTGCAAGGCACTTTACATATTGAATTCACAATATCTAAGACATAGGCACCCTTACTCCTGCTTTCTTACAGCTGAGGGAACTGAGATTCAGAGAGTCTAAGTGACTTATCCAAGGCCACAGCCTGTAAGTGATTACAATTAAGCTTTTCCTGCTGATTCGAGTCCAGCTGTTTCTCACCTTTCTGTACTGCCTGCCAGGCTCTGAATGGCCCCACCAGGCCAGGCTGGTTCCCACAGCCACCACTTCACAAGACCGTGGAGCCGGCTGGGAATTCCCAACTCCTTGTGAACAAGCCTGGCTGCCAGTCACCCCTGTGTGTCCTCTGCTGCCCATTAGCCCAACTGCCACTGGCCCACCTGGTCCACAAAGCTGATGGCATCCCGGATGTTGAGTCTGTAGTACACATCCCAGATCTGGTCCCGGATGCGGTAGGCTGATCGCCGCATCAGCAGCTGACTCAGGTACTTCTTGTCAAACTGCTCCCACCTACAGAGGATGCCAGGTCCGGCGCTGAGTACCACCCCTAATGCCCGGCTGGCTGGCCCTGCCTCAGATGGGGCAGGGACACTGCCAGCACTGACCTTGCTTCCTTGGTATGGGCCTCAACCAGGAAGGATCTCAAGGCTAGTCCCTCCCTTTGGGAAAAGCCTGGCATGAATTGAAGTTTTTACAAATAACTGTAGAATCGCAACCATGGCAATAACTACAGAGGGCAATTACAGAGCATGATGAGGGTTTGCTCTAGTCGGGGAGGCCTCCCTAAGGAGTTTTTGCCTATGGTGAGATCCGGTGAATGAGCAAAAGTTAAGGAAGTGAGAGGGAGGCGGGGAGTGTTCTAGTACAGAGAACAACATAGGCAAAGGTCCCAGTGGCCAGGCTGGGGAGCATGGAGGGTCCTGAGGCTCTAAAACAGGGTCCTTGTAATTAGCAGACAGGCAGGCAGAGAGTGGAGCACAGTGAAGCCGGAGTCTGGCAGGTGCCAGGCCACGCAGGGCCAGGCAGCCCACACTGGGGAGTCGCGTATCCTGCAAGCACTGGGGTGCCACTGAAGAGCTTCCGGCAGAGGTCTCCCTGCCTGAACCTGACTGTCCCTTCTCAGAACAGTGGCACCTCCCCCCATGCTGCCCTGGCTGGTGGGGCTGCTACTGCTGAAGGAGCCTCGGGGCAGCTCCCTCACCTGTCCCTCCAGTAGTGGTAGCCATGGTGCCCCACAACGTCCTCCACTGCAGCCAGAATGTGGTCAAAAGTCTAGAAGGGGGGTGGGTAGGGGGACTGGATCAGGACTCTGCTCAGAATAGGAGAGGGGAGAGAGGGACAGGGGGAGGGATGGGGTGCTGGTACCCACGTGCTCGTGCAGCTCCTGGTTCAGGGTGGGTTTGTGGTGCTCACTCCTTTTCACCTTCAGCCACTTGACTAGCGGCTTGATGGTCAAGCCCTATGGACAGGTAGGAGGTGAGCCCTGCCCTATTCAGTTCCTGCTGCCTTCTCTACCCCCACCCCAGTGCACTCAAGGTCTGGGAAGTCAGGCCCCTGCATCCCCCAGCAGGAAGAGGAGACTCCCCCAGTGCCTGCCAGCCCTCTTCCCACCCAGCCTCATGGGCATTCCCACCTGCACGATGACTGTGAAGAAGACCACCACAATAGTGGTAGCCACAAAGTAGTCCTTGGCAGGGACCTTGTTCCTGTCCAGTAGAATGACGAGAGCAAAGGCCACAGCCCCCCGCAGACCCCCATAGGACATCACCACCTGGTCAATCTTGTCCAGAGGGACCAGCCGGAACTGATTCAGCACCCACGTCTGCAGGACTACGCCTGCAGCAGGAGGGAGGCCAGCGGGGGCAAGGCGTTGGGAGTGGAAGACATTGGGAATGAATGGCACCAAGTATCTGGGCTAAGGGCTGATGGGCTGGGAGAGGTGAGCTACAGGGAGGCTTAGGAATTGACAAGGATGTGGGCTCAGAATCAGGGATGAGTTGGGGGAGTGGGGACAGGAAGGAGAGTGGGAAGGCAGGGGGTGCCAGCAATACCGAGGGCTCGGAAGAACAGGATGAAGAAGAGGGTGCCCAGCACCAGCCCAGAGTCCCAGGCCCACTTAGAAGAGTCCACGGCCGAGATGCCAAGCAGCATGAAGATGACGGTCTCAGCACAGCTGGCTAGGGTCTTCATTGTGTATTTGACAGTCGTGCGGGACTTATGGGAAATGTTGGCCTCCACATACTTCTTACAGCCCAGGCCACACATGGTTACCCTGGGAGAGGCACAAAGAGAGCACATGAAGAGGGGTCCCAGGGGCTCAGGCATGCTGCAGGATTGGTGTTGCCTGTCAGAGGATGTCAGCTGCTCAGAGCCAGGAAGGCATGAAGACTGCTAGTTAGCGGTGTTCCTAGGCTAGGAGTCCAGATCTCCAGACTTCCCAGCCAGTGGCTCCTGGAGGGGAAGGGGAAGGGGAAGGGGAAGAAACCTGCTCTGACTGGTGGGCTCTCTGAGGCACCTGTTGGAGAGCTATGGCCATTAGAGACAGTGACCCCGGACTTTGAAGTCCACTTCCAGCTCTGCCCACATCCCAGGGAGCACTGGAGGCAGGAGACTGGGTTCTAGGCTGCCCAGGATAGTTCTAGAGGAAGCTTTGAGAATATTGCCTGAGGATTGCTGTCTTCCTAAGAGAGTTTGAGACTCCCACTACTCTAGGGGCTCAGGGAAACCTATGGCTCCTCCGAGTCCTGCTTCTGAACGTATGAAGGGCATGCGTCTCCAGCGCCCCCTCCCAGCAGCCTGCCTGCGAGGCCCCCAGGACTCACGCGAGTATGGCAGACAGCGAGGCCATTTCAGCAGTGAGGTAGGCTGCGTAGGCGAGGAGGAACACCAGCAGTGGCTCGATGATGCGGACCCGCTTGGTGAAGCGTGTGGTCAGGGCCAGGAGGAAGGCAAAGACTAAGCCCACGGCTGCCCCGCCCAGACTGACCACAAACAGGGAGGCTGGGGGAGGAGTGGGTTGTCAGCATGACCCCTGACCCAGACCCTACCCGAGCTGACAAGACTGCTGCCTGCCAGGGAGAGGGGGATGATGCCTACTGTACTCCCCAAGGCTCAGGATCCCAGGGCAAGCCCCTCCCGGACCCCACGTCTCCATAGAGGAGGGGAGGAAACAGCAATGGAACAGATTCCTGTGACCTGATGCCAGGTGGGAGGGTCTCAGACCTCCCAGGACAGCCAAGATGGGGGAGATACTGACCGACACCCTTCAGGTAGTCAGTGGCCTGCACTTTGGCAGAGCCCATCTCCACAAAGGAGTTGCAGACCTTGTACAGCACCTGAAAGAGGAGAGGAGAGGCGGCAGCGAGTGAGAAGGCAGCAGCGGGGAACCTGTTTCTCCCTGAGGGAATAGGGGAAGGATCTGAGCCTGGTCAGAGTGGAGCAGCCTGGGATTGGGGAATGGCAGCCAGCTCAGCACTCACCACAGTGACTGCGTCATTGAGCAGGGACTCGCCAAAGACAATGATAAAGAGCGTCTCATTGACGTGCACCTCCTCAAAGACAGCCAGCACAGCCACAGGGTCCACCGCTGAGATGAGGCTCCCAAACAGCAGGAAGTCCAGCAGGCCGGCCTGCACCCTAGGGGCTATGGAGGGAGAGATGGAGGACAGGCCAGTGACCGGTGAAGACAGCCTGTCTCCTGCAGCATTCCCTGGGACAAACCCAGATGCCACCCCCGCTGATAAACAACTAAGCCCAGAGGAAAGATGGTGAGGAGAGTACGGGCTGAGGCCAGGAAACTTGAGCCAAGCCATCTATGGTGAAGGCCTGGCTTTGCCACTTACCAGCTGTGTGATGTTAGTGGCTTTTTCCCTGTCACATGACTTCTCTAAGCTATGCCTCCTCATCTACCTACCTCACAGGACTGTTGCAAAAACCACACCAGGAGATGGTTGGAAGCTCTATATAATATGAAAAGCTAAGCTAGCACTGGCAATAAAAACTGCAGCAACAGTAATAGTAACAACCAGCAGGTTGCAACAGGCTGGTGATTGGCCTTATCAGGGACAGTGACAAGAGTGCTTTGCTGGGGCTAGCGTTTGGCACGATTAACAGTAGTTAATCTCTGCTTGAGATACCTGAAACCCATATTGGAGTGCAGGGTTCAAGTTCTGGCTTCTCCCCTTCCAATCCAACTTCCTGCTAATGTGCACCCTAGGAGTTAGCAGATCATGGTGCAAGTACTTGAGTCTCTGACACCCATCTGGGAGACATGGGTGGAATTTTAGGCTCCTGGCTTGGGCCTGGCCCATCTCTGGCTGTTGAAGGCATTTGAGGAGTGAACCAGCTGATGGAAGAGCTTTCTCTGCCTCTGTTTCTTTCTCTCTCTGCCTCTCAAGTGAAAAAAAAAAAAAAAGAAGAAGAAGAAGAAGAAGAAGAAGAAGAAGAAGAAGAAGGAAGAAGAGGAAGAAGAAGGAAGAAGAAGGAAGAAGAAGAAGAAGAAGAAGAAGAAGAAGAAGAAGAAGAAGAAGAAGAAGAAGAAGAAGGAAAAAATAATTTTCTTGAAAAAGTGCTCTCTCCACACACCAGTGGTTCTCAGCCAAAGGGATGTGAAACTCACAATTCTCAGCAGGAGTAGGAGGTCTGAAAATAATATGGAAAGCACCACGTGGGACTTGGACATGTCATATAATCTCTGTGAGCCTCAGTTTCCCCATATATAAGTTGAGAATAACAACTGTATATGCCTCAGAAAGTTCTTTATTTAGCCAATGCCTCATACAGGGTAAACACCCATCTATTATTAGGAGTCCTACTATCATTATACTCTGATGTCTACTCTTCCCTTCCTGCCCCAAATATAGTCCATGATCTCAGTAGGGAAATCAGTTTGGAGTTTCCTGGTGGGAACTGAAAACCTCTCCTTGTACTTTTTTTTCTATTATTATTATTATTATTATTATTATTTGATTTTGAAATGCAGAGTGACAGAAATAAGGAGAGGGGGTGAAAGAGAGAGAGAAAATCTTCCATCCTACTGGTTCACTCTCCAAATGGCTGCAACAGCTGGGACTGGTCCAGGTTGAAGCCAGGAGCCTGAGACTCCATCTGGGTCTCCCACAGGATGGCAGGTGCCCAAGTACTTGGGTTGTCATTCACTGCCTCCCCAGGCACATTAGCAGAGTGCTGGATAGTAAGTGGAGCAGCCAGGACTCAAACCAGCACTTCAGTAGGGGAGGCCAGTGTTGGAAGCAGCAGCTTAACTGCTGTGTCACAACACCGGTCCCTCTCCTTGTACCTTGGAAGAATTATCAGCATTATCAGCATTCAGGATTGGATGAATTTCTAGGGTCAGGAAATGAGAAAGCAGGTAGTGAGAGAGGGCAGCCTAAAGACACAGAGCCTCAGTACAATGGACCCCTCCAGCCAACCTTGGACCTGATATAACATGAACTTAGGGCTCTATTTTCTCCTCCATTAAGTGGGTCAAATGATAGCTTTGAACAAAATTACTATGAAGAGTCAGTGAAATAAGTAAGGAGAGAATGCCCAGTGCAGTGGCATTTTGTGAATCTATAATATACACTTGTTAAAAATGAAGAGCAAAAAAAGGAAACCACTCTGACATGGCCTGGGTAGAACAGCAGGCTCCTACAGAAATGGTGAATTGTGCCTCAGGGAAGCAGGGCTGGCAAGTGGCAGTGTGGTAACAGGGCGGGAGGCAGGAGAGTGCTAACGCAGGTTCCCCAGCCTCTGCAGCCCACACACAGCTGGGAGCCAGACCCCTGCTCGGCTGTCATGCTGCAGAAGTACAAACTCGACTGGCAACTGGCGGAGACTCAGTGGGAGCTGATTCCTTCTGGAGCATTGCCTCGCGCTCCAGGTGGGAGGGACCCAAGATGGCATGCCCAAGGCACGGCTCTTGCCAGTGTGGCTTCGTGGTCAGTTTGGAGGAGACGAGAGTAAGGTGATGGGTCTGACAAAGCCTCCCTCTGCCCAGGTCTTAGGGTCACTCACCCACAAGTCCAGCCTGCTGCAGGCCCCAGAGGGCAGCGCCTGTTGTGAAGGCATTCCAGAGCGTGCCCACCACAGCATAGGTGAGGATGGCACCCAGGTTGTCAAAGAACAGCCGGCTAGGCATGAAATAGCCCGAGTCCAGCACGATAGGAGGCAGCAGGAAGAGGAAGAAGGTGCCCGGCTCCAGCTGGTACTCAGCTTTCTTGGCCACGGCCAAGACAACGCCCCCTAGCACCAAGCCCAGCAAAATCAGCAGGCAGCTCTCCGGAACCAGAGATGTTACCTTCCGGGACAGGTGAAACACTGCAATGTAAGAAGAAGGCAGGAGGTATCAGTTTACGAAGCACCCTCCTACACACACCGGCCTATAACCTCCAAGTGCAGCACTTCTAGAACCTCCAAACTCCACGGCTACAAACTGCAGTCAAAGTTTTCTCTTTCTGGGTCAGGCATTTGGCGCAGTGCTAAAGTTACCACTTGGGACACCAGCATTCTATATCAGAGTGCCTGCTTCCTGTCCCAGTTATTCCACTTCCAGTCCAGCTTCCTTCTAATGCACTCTGGGAGGCCGAGATGATGACTTAAGTGTTTGGGTCTCTGCCACCCATGTGAGAGACCCACATTGAGATCTCTGCTCCTGACTTCTGCCTGGCTGTCGCAGAAATTCGGGGAAGTGAAATAGTGGATGGGGGATCTCTTGTCTCTGTGTGTCTCTCTGATTTCAAAAAATAGTTAAAGAAAAAAAAAATGGGATTTGGGTTGCCTGGTCTTATCACTTTGTAACTGTGTGATCTCAGACAGATTATTTATTTGAATTTCTATTTCCCCTCCTATAATTTGGGAAAATCACCCATCACAGTGGATGAGGATAAATTGGTACAAAGTGTGCAAATGTGCGTGGCATGATGTCAGACACACAGCAGGTTCTCAACATACGTTAATTAGTTGGGGAAGATAATAGCAGACCTTTCTCTAGGAAAAAGGGTGGTGAGAAAAGGACTTCTAGCATGATTGCCACTCTTTACCTCTGTCCCCTAAAATAAACCCTTGTGGCCCTCACTTGGGCCTTCAGGCCATGAGTGAACACATTTCCTGGGGTGTTGGTAGAGGAGGCATCCATGTCAGCCTGTGTGAGATCCTATGCCAAGCAGTGTCCTTTGAAAGCTGCACCCAAAGGGCTTAGGACAGTGCCTGGCACACATAGGTTCTACATAAGTGTTGTGTAAAGGGGGTGGTGGTGGTGGACTCCTTGCAATGAAGCTGAGGCAAGGTGTTCCTGAACATTCTGCCTCTCTTTCCCCTCCTCTCTGAAGTCTTTTTTTGGCAGGTGAGGAGGCTCTCTGCTGCTGTCTCCATAGGAGGTGTCATCCAAACTCGAAAAATCACTGTGACTTATTGGGGGAACCCACAGTTGTTGCTAAAACCCTAGGAGAGACAGGTACTCTTCTGCCACTCATAGACTTCTCAGCAAAGCCAATTCTTGGCTGTGAATCTGAGGCCCCTCCCACCTCGCCCTCCTTGCTGCTGGAACTCCAGTTGGTAAGTTCAGTCTTACTTCTAGGCCTCTGCACACTCATCCCTACCCCTGTTCCTCCTCTCTTCTCCTTCAGAGACCCCCATCTCATGCTCATCTCCTCAGCATGCACCAGCCCCAGCGCTGCAATCCAAGGCCCATCGCAAAAGCCCACTCTCTGGCAGAACCACGTTCGTGAGCATCTTGAGCCCCACTTTCGGTGTCTAATCTTGGGCTGCCACAGCAGAGTGTTGAGTCCTGTTCTTGCCCAGCTCCCCAGCACCCCCCAGCAGTGTCCCTGGGGGAGAATGGTGGCCAATTCTAGGCTGTGCAGTTCCTACATGAAGGCTCTATTGGTGAGACTGGAGTACAGGCTGTGCCAGCATAGATAGGGTGTGAGTAGCAACGCTCAGCTATAATTAGTCACCCCCACGGCAGAGCCTGCACACAGGGAGGAGGAGGGGGGTCTCTGCTGGGAGGAGGGGCCACTGGCTGCTCACAGAAGAGGAGGCAGGGGCAGAGGGGCGGAAAACCAGCTCTATGGTGGTGGTGGGGGGGGGAGGGTAGAATGTGAAGCACAGCCTTCAATCTGAAGGAGGTGGATGTCGGAAAGCTCCTAGGGTAAGCGGCACACTGAGAAGCCCCGAGGTGTGGAAGTTTCTCGTGCCCTGGCGTGGGAGGAATCTGAGGGCCTCACCCCCTAGGCGCGAGACCCAGGCATCTGTAAGAGAGGAGCTACTTTAAGGAGAAGTGGCAGTTTCGTATCCCAGGAGAATGGACGCCTGGACGTGGTCTCCTAGGACAGCCGCTTCCTCGGGACCAGGACGCCTGGATTTACCGGAGCACATCATCACCCCAGCGTCCTCGTTCCTCGCCGCGGACAGGGGTTTCTGGGAAGCAGGCTGGGGACGGCTTAGGCACAGGGGAAGGGAAACGGAGAGGGCAGAGGCGCCTAAAGATGGAGCTGGAGAGCGCGGGGGCAGCCCTTCGGGAAGGCAAAGTCTCAGCGCTCCCACGAGAGAGGGGAGGAGGGACACCCACAAGAGGCGGCGCAGGAACTGGGTGGGAGCCCGGATTTGTGGAATCGGAGCCCAAGTCCCAGCAATGTGGGAGAAACCGGCCCGGATCTGGGGACCCCAGGCTTGGGGGCGGGTCCGCCGCCCGAAGCCGGCCCGCCACACACGCACACAACGCACTCACCGATTTTGGCCAGGCTGGCCACCAGGATCCACAGGGCCACCAGGTAGGGCGCCTCCACCTCGTGCCACTGCCACCGGAAGAGCGCCAAACCTGGCGGCGGTTCGCCCGGCGATCCCGGCTCTTGGGTGGGTTCTTCGGTTATCCCCGCTCCCGCCAGGGGCAGCCCGAGCAGGGGCACCGCGGCGCGCAGCATCCTGCAGCCTGCCCAGCCGCCCTCCCGCACCGCACGGCCGCCGGCCCCGCGTCGCCGCCGCCGCCGCCGCCGCCTACCGGGCGCCCCCGCGTCACAGGCACGTGGGACCCGCACCCCCCAATCCAGGCTCCGTTACCCCCAAGCCAGGTCCAGACTCTGAAACCCTGCCCCGGACGCCCGTAGTGGATACCCCCTCCTCCATCCCCTCGAAACCAGTCCCTGCTGCAAAAATCCCCTAGTGCAGCCCTCCCCCAAGTCCCGCAACCTACTCCTTCGAGTCCGTCCGCCCAAATCTTCCCCAAATCAACCCTCTCCCGGACTCAGAGGTGAGCAGCCACCGCCCTCCAGGGGCAGCTCGCCATGGGAGGGGCGGGGGTCCGCGGAAGGCGGGGTCCGGGCAAGAGTGGCGCGGCGTCCTGGCTTGTGCTTCCCGGCGGCCAGCAGCCAGCCCCTGCAGCTGACACCACGGGCCCCGGCGCGGCCAGGTGCAGACGGCAGGGGGCAGTGTGCGCCCGCCTTGCGCGCCGCCGTCTGGAGCCTGGGACCCCCTTCGGGCCCCCGCCCGGACCAAAGCTGCGCACGCGCACTGCGCGCTTGCAGAAAACCATGACGGACGACACTGCCCCCAACGTCCCTGGAAACTCCAAGGCCCAAAATGCGCGCAGCTCATTGAGGCTGAGCAGGAGGCTGTTCTTCGTCTCCCAAAACGAGGGGCATCCGGGCGTCCCCTTCCCTCAAACTGTAGGGAACTCTTCCCACCTTTTCCATGAAACTAAGCGGAAACCTATGGAAAACCAAGCCTATTGATTATCTTTCATCTAGGAGGGGTCCACCCACATTTTCCACAAATTTCAGGGGCATTCGACTCATCTCGCCCCAGAGGTCATCTCCATTTTGCATCCAGGCTGGGGGCACCCATCCCACCCCTTCCCCCAGAGGGGAACATTTTCTACTGGCTCATCCCATTCTTCCCCTCCTCCCGCCCCCGACCTGAAGTGCACTTGCCCTGCATCCCACCGGTTACTGAACTGATCCTTCAAACTGAGTGAAATCTCTCACTGCTTGCTCTGCACGGAAAGGGACCCCTCCCACTGCTCTTCCCAAATGAGAGCGACGCATCCAATCCGTCCGAAAACTGAAAGAACGAAGGCCGTTTAGTTCCTAAACTGAAGGAAACCTGGCCAGCCTCTGTCTGAAGAAGCTTTCCTCCAACCTGCCCTCAAAGAGGGCGCGGCCTCACCTACTCCGAGCCCAAAGAAACCCTACCGCTCTCAGGGCCCTCTCGGGGGCGGGGCGCGGTCCCGGGCTTTCCCGCCCTCCTAGCCCCTGAACTAACGGGATCACCACCGGGCCTTCTGAGTGGCTGGCGTAAGTCCCGCCTCCGGCAGTGGCTCTCCGTACCCGCCCCCCGAGCCGCCAGGGCCTCGTCTTGGCTCCACCCTCTTCCTCGCCTCCCCCCAGCCCCGCCCCTCAGGAGGCGTCCGGCCCGGCCCGGACCAAACAGCAGAGAGAGTTGACTCGAAGCTGCGGCCAGGCCGGTGGCAGAGCCATGGCCGGCGGGGACGACCGCGGGGACGGAGAGCCGGCATCACTGGTGACCGTGAGGGTGCAGTACCTGGAAGACACCGACCCCTTCGCATGCGCCAACTTCCCGGAGCCGCGCCGGGCCCCTACCTGCACTCTGGACGGGGCACTGCCCCTGGGCGCGCAGATACCCACGCTGCATCGCCTGCTCGGGGCGCCGCTCAAGGTGAGAGGCGAGTCGAAGAAAGGTTGGGGCGATCAGGGGGTTCAGAGTCGGCTCCCTGAAAGCCCTGGGAGGTGCCCCTCGGGGAGAGGCTGGAGCGAGTACTCGCCCCAGAAGGGTCTTGGATGGGAGCACAGGGTCCGCTGCCTCGCCTGCCCGGGGCCCCATCCCAAGTTGAGGGGAAACTGCAGAGGGGAGATGGGAGCTTGCGGTCTGTTCCCCCCTGGCTGCTTCTCCAAGTGGGGCACGCCCGGGGAGATGCTCGGGCTCCACTCGCTGCCTGACTGCCTGGGCAGCTACCCCACTCAGGGTGGCTGTTGCGGACCCGGGATCAGAGCCGAGGGAGGGACCTGCCTCCACCTGCTTCAGGTGAGGAGGCGGGACCACGAGGAAGGGCGGGCCCTGGGGGGCCTCTGGTGGTGGCAAAGGCTTTGAGAGGTGTCAGGACTGGGCTGGGTCCTGCCGCTGAGGGTTGCCCCCGCATGTGGGGGGCTCGCCCTGGGAGTGCCGGCGAGCACTCACTCCCACGGGATGAGTGGAGTCCCGGGGGAGCGGTCGGGTCCGGGATACGCGGAGCGTGGGAGGAGGAGAAAAGCCCTAGAGTCACCGCTCCACCTCCCGGTACACCCGCCGCCCGTCGGCCCGCGCCGGGAAGGGAGAGGGCGGGCCAGGCTAATTTTAAACCGCCGGCCTGCCCTCGTTCGCCAGCGCCCGGGAGCCGACTTGTGCCCGGTGCGGGAAGAGGCCCTTTCCCATATGGCCAGCCTCCCCTCCCCGCCCGCTAGCAGCCTTCAGCCCCTCGCAGTCAGCCCTTTCCGGCGCGCTGTTTCCGGGCCGGGACTCTCAGAGGCTTACTACCACCCCCCAGGGTTCCCCACCAGCCAGTCCGCTCCTACGGGTGGCAAAGGAGGGAGAGGCGGCGGGGGCGCCTCCCCTGCTCCCAGCCTCAGCAGGGCGCCCGGTTGCGTAAACTTGCCCCCTGGGCCCGGGGTCTCCCGTGGAATGCGCTCGGGGCGCCAGGCCCCCAGCTTGCATTCCTCCGGCTGCGGCCAGCCCCGCCTCCGAGCGCTGGCGGGAGGGGTGGGGAGATTATTGTCCTGGGGAGTGGTGCGTGTCCAAGCCAGACCCTACTGCAAGGCTATAGCTGGAAGGCTGCAGCATACTGCCCACCTCCAGACTTCCATGTAGCCCCCTATCAATCTCGTCCTTTTTCAGAGGAGCAAACTGAGGTGGGCCCTGAACAAGGTGAGAAGTCACCTCCCATTCAGGATGAAAACTGGGGTGGGGGTGGGGCGGGGAAATGGGTGCTGCGCTGAGCTGTTCCTGCCCTGGGCTCCTGGTCCAGAAATAAGTCTGCAGCATTAAAGAGAGTATTCTTCCCACTGCCTTACTTCAGGACAAGACCCAACTGAGACATCTGTCCTTCCACTGGGAGAGATGGGAACTCAGCTGCAGGAAAGAGGCTCAGGACCACCACCACCACCCCCCGCCCCCACCGCTCCCCCTCATTTAGAGACCCATCCCTGGGGCCTGCGTTGTGGCATAGCAGGTTAAGCCCCCACCAGGAGGCCAGCATCCCATATGGGCGCTGGTTGGAAACCCAGCTGCTCCGCTTCCGATCCAGCTCCTTGCTAATGTGCCTGGGAAAGCACATTAGTGGCTCTGCACCCACGTGGGAGACTCTGAAGAAGCTCCAAGCTCCCCCTGGCTTCTGCCTGGCCCAGCCCCGGCCCTTGCGGCCATTTGGGGAGTGAAACAGCGGATGGAAGATCTCTCCTCCTGTCTCTGTAACTCTGCCTTTCAAGTAAATAAAAAGTAAATGTTTAAAAAGAAGAGAAGAAACCATCTCTGCACCCCACCACACCAGGTGCTCTGCTATTTGTCCTCTGCTCCATGGCTGAGGACGCTATGGTGCTCAGATAGAGACAGGCACACTAGGTTACCACAGTGCCTGGAGTCAAACAGGACTCCTTGGCGCTGGCAGATTTGCCAGGAATGGTCAGATGCACTGTGATGTGCTCTTCCCAAATATAAACCGTGACCACAGCCCCAAAATAGAAGGCTGGAGGAAGAGGGACTGAGATGAGAGCAAAGGCAGGGACATCACAAAGCTGAGGGAGGGGGAGCGAGGCTCCTTCTTGCAGGAAATGGCAACAGCTGGTTCCTCCCCTAGTCCTATAAGTGATGATACCCCAGAGGCACATCTGCAGAGGAGAGTTGGTGAGAAACCCAGGCGTCCCTACCCCAGGCTGCAGGGCAGAAATAAGAGACCGGCTCTCCACTACTCACTGCTTCATTCTGTGCAGTTGTCTAGCTGGCAACAGGACACACCAAGTGACTTCTGCCCTTCAACACTGGGCACTGGACCTCACCATGCCTGTAGTCCCTGCCCCCTCCCTGCTGATGCACAGAGGCCCACCTACTTTCTCCCTGAGGCTCCGCCCCACCACCACATTGGGCTATGCCTAGCTCCAGAGTTCCCCTGGGGGCTTCCTTTTTACAAGATTCAGAGTTTGCAGGTCTGAGAAAGCCTTGCTCATTTCCTCCGAGTCTAGGAGGAAGCTCCTAGCCACAGCCTCTGACTCATCTCCTGGCCCTGGTTGGTGGGGGAGAGACTGGCAGTGCCCTGTGCCAGGCCTAGTGTCCCCAGGGGAACTTGGCAGTGTCTTTCTCCTCTCTGTGCTCTCCCAGCCCAGGGACCTGCCCCCGCCTCTCATCTCTTAATCCAGAGCTGCTCAGTCTCACCCTCCCGTCTGGGGGGTGGGGGAGACCTCAGGGAGCTTGCTCTGAGGTCCAAAGCTCTGCCCTATCTGAGTCAGCACTGGGTTCTCCCTGGGCTCTGGGCAGAGGAACCTGGGATGCTTCTCTGACCTTGCTGCAAGGGCCAGACAGTGAGGCCAGCCCTAAAAATCTGGTCATTGCCAGCAACTTTTTTTTTAAGATTTATCTATCTCAAAGTCGGAGTTACACAGAGAGAAGGAGAGGCAGAGAGAGAGAGAGAGATGGAGAAAGAGAGAGAGAGAGAGAGAGAGAGAAGTCTTCCATCCTCTGGTTCACTCCCCTGTTGGCTGCAATGTCTGGAGCTGCACTGATCCGAAGTCAGGAGGCAGGAGCTTCTTCCAGGTCTCCCACGAGGGTGCAGGGGCCCAAGGACTCGGGCCATCTTCTACTGCTTTCCCAGGCCGTAGCAGAGAGCTGGATCAGAAGTGGAGCAGCCAAGACTTGAACCCATACCCATATGGGATGCTGGCACTGAAGGCGGTGGCTTTACTCACTACACCACAGTGCCAGCCCCTACTAGCAACTTTGTTTCCTAGCTAAGGCTAAAAATCAGAACATTCAGGGGTGGCTCTGTCCCCCACCTCAGCCCACACTAGTTCTATCCACCCCTCAGAAGCCCTCGCAACCAGGAAGCCTAAGTGTGAACCTGAACTGCTGGGATATGGACAACTGGGAGGGTCCCCAGGGATTCTTAACGGGCAGATGGGATGCTCTGATGTTGAACTATGCTTTTTAGACCCCTGCTATGGGAGTCTCTTTGGAAGACTGTAGAAGATTGGGGTGTCGGGGCCAGCATGTCCTATCTGGTGGTCATTCTGGGTAACAGTAGCTGGGCTGCATCCTGGTGAGGGACTCCAGGACCACAGTTCTGGCATAGACAGGCACTGTTGCCCTCATGTGTATAGTGTATGTGTGGTGCTCTTTTGCTGGAATTGGGAGAGCCAGTTTAGGGTATGTGCAGAGTCCAGAAAGTTGAGGGCCATTCTTCAGCCCTTGACGATCCTGCAGGCCCCAGCTCTCACTCCCCCTCCCCTCCATGGTTCCCTTGATAACTTCCAAGATCTGGCTCTGTTAGCTCTGCTACCATTCCTGGCTGTGCTACATGTGGCGATTCATTGCTTTTCTGAGGTTCATTTCCCTCCCCTACAAAAGGCTTATCAAGAGGACCAATTGAAACAGGCAGCCCAGTGTCTTGCACAGAGTAAGTATATCTAATGTAGATTTCCCTCCCCATGGTCATCCATGTCATCTCATCCAGGAAGTCACAGTCTAGTTGGAGAGTAGATAGCAAGAAATAAGGTTTTTTTATTTATTTATTTAAAGATTTATTTATTTGAAAGGTAGTTACAGAGAGAAAGAGATCTTCCATGTGCTGGTTCACTCTCAAGTGGCTGCAACAGCCAGCTGGGCCAAGCCAAAGCCAGGATCCTGGAACCCCATCCAGGTCTCCCATGTGGGTAACAGGGGCCAAAGCACTTGGGCCATCATCCACTGCCTTCCAGGTGCATTAGTAGGGAGCTGGTTTGGAAGTGAAGCAGCTGGGACTCAAACTGATGCTCTGATATGAGATGCCAGCATTGCAGATAGTGGTTTAACTTACTGCGCCGGCCCCAGAAAGATCTTCAAAGTGAGTATCCTATGTTTATAAAAGTCAAAAGAAGCAGTTAACCAATTATTTTCTTTTTTCTTTTTTTTTATTTTTTGACAGGCAGAGTGAGAGAGAGACAGAAAGGTCTTCCTTTGCCGTTGGTTCACCCTCCAATGGCCGGCGCACTGCGCTGATCCGAAGGCAGGAGCTAGGTGCTTCTCCTGGTCTCCCATGGGGTGCAGGGCCCAAGCACTTGGGCCATCCTCCACTGCACTCCCGGGCTACAGCAGAGAGCTGGCCTGGAAGAGGGGCAACCGGGACAGAATCCGGCGCCCCGACCGGGACTAGAACCCGGGGTGCTGGCGCCGCTAGGTGGAGGATTAGCCTATTGAGCCGCGGCGCCAGCCTAACCAATTATTTTCTACAAGAGTCCTTCAGCATATACTTCTGCCCTCTCCTTCATCTCCTTGTTTCATGCCCCTGGTATGTTCATTCTCAACGGATTATATTGTTGTAAAAAAAAAAATCTGAGGGTGGATGCTATGGTCCCCTAAACTTGACTCTTTATATAAAGCCCCTTGTGACCAATTGATTTGGGTTGCCAAGAAAGCCTGAGACTGCAGGCTGTAGTAAGGGGCCCAGCCTAGGAAGGGAGGATAGAGACCAGAGAAGTGAGGGAGATGAAAGCCAGGAGGGAGTGGAGGGATGCTTTGTGTTGACCCTAAGCTCCATCAGCAGAGTTTGGGCTTACTCAGGCCTGGCTAAGCCCCAGGGTGTGAGAAATAAGGCCCAGAGGTTTGGCTCTCAAAGTGATGATCCCAGGAAGGAGCCAGAGCTGTGAGAGATAAGTGCCATCCTGCTGACCAGAAGTCTCCTCTGGGCTGCTTGCCTGACCTGCTGGCCCCCCAACCTCCACCCAGTACAGACAGCTGAGGGACTCTGTCACAGAGTCATTGGGATGGCTGTGTCCTCGGGACCTGTCCTGCCTCCAAGTGGAGTCAGGTATCCCACCATCCTAGCAGAGGGCCATCCTGTGTACCCTTGGGATGAGAGCATGCAAGTGTTCGAGCAGGAGGAGAGCAGCACAGTCGGCCTAACCATCCTGTGGCAGTGCTACTTTGAATTGTGTGTGATCATTCCTGACAATATACCTGGGTGTGTAAGCGGTTATCAGGAGTAATACGATTACCTGTCCGACATCTACAGCGTTTACAGCACTCCGCCCCCTGCTTTCCTAGCACCCATTGGAAGCTGTGATCCGATATTTATTTGTGAGCTGTTTCTGAGTCAGGCCTGTCTGTCTCCCCTACTGGACTGGAAGGAAGAGAAAGCAGAGACAGTGTCTTGTTCTTGCTATGTCCTCTGCGCCTAAAACTAGTCTGGTTCATGAATGTTCACGTGAATGAGCTCATCTAAATTTGGGGAGATTCCTGAGGGGGAAAGTGGCTCCAGGGGAGGTATGTTTTTCTACAGAATCCTCCAGTGCCAGGTGGAGGGACACGTAGCTCGGGGTGGGGTGGGGTGGGGTGGGGGAAGGGCCGGGGCAGAGTTTGCTGCTGAGTCACCACGTGGGAAGAGGGACCATGCAGCATGTGGGGCTGCCCTCCGCTGAGCTGGCCCTGGACAAGATGCCCCAGCCCTGCGGCCTGCAGCCCCTCACAGGCCTGTTCCCAGTAGATGACTCTGCTCCCAGGGAGGGGAGAGAGGCCAGACCCGCCCAAGGCGCCCAGGGGAGGGCAGGCAGCCAGGCAGGAAGTGGGACAGAGAACAGGCTGGAGTGTTTGTCATGTGTCCCATGTCCCAGGCGGGGGGAGGGGGGTCACCCAAGGGCTCCACAGGCTAAGCTGCCTGCAAGGAGCCAGGTCAGACCCTGAGGCATTGGCAGGGGTGCTAAATAGGGACCAGAGGAGGAGCTGGACTCCCTTTCCCCCTAGGGAACCCAGGGCAGCCAGAAGCCCTTGGGCTGGGTCCAGGGCAGGGCAGGGCTGACCAAACAGCGGGACAAATGTTGGAGTTGACTTTCCCAGCAAGATGGAGCCGGAAGACCCTCTGCCTCTCCAGAGGTGGGCTCTCCTGGGGCCGCAGCCTGACCTCAAGGGCCAGAGACACTCACGTGGAGGGGCCTCTGCCAAGCCCTGCATGTGGCCCTGTGCCATGAGGGAGGTGTCTGGGAGAAGCAAAGTGCAGCTCTCGACTCCACAGCCACCTCACTCAGGCCTCAACAGGCACTCGGGGGCCAGGTGCCATGACTGGCGCCGGGGGAGGGGGAGAGGGAAACATGGGAAGTGGATACAATGACAGAGCACATGCCTTCCTGCTACAAATGCAGGTTTCAGGGTCCCACTGTAGGCTGACTATCGGGCTGGTAATATGCCTCTTGGAGGCCTCTGAAGTCCTGTTAGGACCATTGTTAACTGCACCTGCTTTGAGGGGAAGGCAAAAACCCTGGGGGCCTAGCGGGACTACAGGAGAAGAGCTGTGTGCTTTCGGGAGTGGAGCACAGGTGCACACACACACACCCTCTCTCAGCCATGCACACACACACAGCCTCTCCCAGCAGTGCACACACACAGCCTCTCCCAGCTGGGCTTGCAGCTCTCCACGCTTTTTTTTTTTTTTTTTCCCCACACTCTTAATACTTTCTGGGCTAATGTTTTGTGGCTGCAGCTTATCACCTCCCAGGGCTGTGAGCTTCCTCGAAGGCAGGAACTTCCTCCCATCTTCTCTCCATCTCCCCACCACCACCAGTCTACATTTGTGTCCACTGCTTGACCAAGCCTTTAGCAGGCAGTTACTATGTGCCAGGTGCTATGCTAGGCTCTGCAGATACAGCAAGGAGAAAGGCAGGTGCCTGACCCAGAGAACAGTTAGTGGAGAAGGCAACTGGAGTTAAGGGGTGGGTATTGGCCTGAGGGGCTCCAGTGAGATTTTCCAACAATATTTATCTAATCCTAAACCAAAAGAATGGGTAGGTGTTAGCCAGAGAGGAGCAGGAATGTACAAAGGACAAGAAAGCCTGGTGCCCAAGACAGATGGGCTTTGCACATAGTAGGCACTAAAGAAACTGCTGGTGCTGTGATACAGTGGGTTAAAGCCCCAACCTGCAGCACGGGCATCCCATACGGGCACCGGTTCGAGTCCTGGCTGCTCCACTTTTGATCCAGCTCTCTGCTATGGCCTGGGAAAGCAGTAGAAGATGGCCCAAGTCCCTGCACCTGCAAGGGAGACCTGGAAGAAGTTCCTGGCTCCTAGCTTTGGATCACCTCAGCTCTGGCTGTTGCGGTCATCTGGGGAGTGAACCAGTGGATGGAAGACTCTCTCTGTGTTTCTACCTCTCTCTGTAACTCTGTCTTTCAAAGAAATGAAATAAATTAAAAAAAAAAAACTGCTAAACTTCAGCGTATACCCTGTGTGCCAGGGGATCACAGCCCTGACAGCTGTTCCCTTTGTCCCCAGTTAGAGGATTGTGCCTTGCAAGTGTCTCCCTCTGGATACTACCTGGATCCCGAGCTTTCCCTGGAAGAGCAGCGGGAGATGCTGGAGGGCTTCTATGAAGAGATCAGGTGAGAGCTGATGGAGCCAGGGAAGTGAGGCCAACCCCCAGCCTCACCCCTACCAAGAGCTGGCTCAGGTGGCAACAGCTGAGCCACTCCATCTCCAGCCTGGGCCATAGGTCACCTCCTGCCACCCCAGGGAACTGTAGCAGGGGAATCCCAAAGCCTGGCTAGTGTTACCTGCTGCCTGGGACAGGAGTCAGGAGCTCTCTAGCATACCTGAGACGCCTGTGTTTACACAAACCCTCTGGTCTGGCCAACCTTCAGGCTCTTGGAGGAACAGTTGGGGAGGAAGGAGCTGGGCCAGGGCTGACACGTGGAAGTCTGGCTGCATTGGTGTGTGGGGAGGGACCCTGGGGAATGGGCTACAGTTGCTGACTAGGCCACTTGATTTCAGCAAAGGGCGGAAGCCCACACTCATCCTGCGGACCCAGCTCTCTGTGAGGGTCAATGCCATCTTGGGTGAGTGTGTAAGGGCAGCCCCTTTGCAGCCCCCCACCCCCAGCCCTTAGCCCCTCTCCTCCCTACCCTAACCTCTCCTTCCAGGGCCAGGGAGCAAAAGAAGAGATGGAGTGGGGATGGGTGGTGATTCAGGAATGCTAGACTCTCCTTCGGTGGGGACTGATGGTTGGGTCACGGTGGAGGGAGACGGTGTCTGTGTCCCCTTGAGGATTTCATCCCAACCACCCCTTGCAGAAAAGTTGTATGGCTCCAGTGGCCCTGAGCTCCGCCGCTCCCTCTTCTCACTGAAGCAGATCTTCCAGGTGAGGCCCAGAGGTGGCCTGGGGCTGGGTGTCCAGCCCAGGCTTCCCTAAACTGCCCCCATGGTACCTCCAGGAAGATAAGGACCTGGTACCTGAATTCGTGCACTCGGAGGGGCTGAGTTGCCTGATCCGTGTGGGTGCTGCTGCCGACCACAACTACCAGACCTACATCCTCCGAGGTCAGCCCCACCCCTCCCTCTCCCACCACCTGCCCCCACGTTCCCCACTACCACACCACTGACCTCTTCCCATCCCTGTGTCTCCAGCGCTGGGCCAGCTGATGCTTTTTGTGGATGGGATGCTGGGGGTGGTAGCCCACAGTGAGACCGTGCAGTGGCTGTACACACTATGTGCCAGCCTGGTGAGTAGCCCTCCACCCAGCCATGCACGCTTTTCCCACGGCTTCTCTCTTGGCCTCAGTCTCCTCTTCTGCAAAATGGGCTGGAATGAGTGAGTCTGAGCCTAGAAGAGACTTCAGCACCTGGGCCTGGAGCCAGGGTGTGCCTGGCCAGACTGTCTTCTCCAGGCCCAGCCCCAGAGCTGGCACAGATCTGGTCCCAGCCCCACTCGTACTTGGTGACCTCTCCCCCCAGTCCCGCCTGGTGGTGAAGACGGCCCTGAAGCTGCTGCTGGTGTTTGTGGAATACGCGGAGAACAATGCGCCGCTCCTCATCAGGGCTGTCAACTCTGTGGCCAGCATCACAGGTCAGAGCCTGTCCCTTCCCCACCCCCAACTCAGAGCCCCCTCGCCTACCTGTCTCCCCTTGACTGCTCCCCTCTCTGTGCCAGGCGCTCTTCCCTGGGCCAATCTGGTGTCCATCTTGGAGGAGAAAAATGGTGCTGACCCAGAGCTCTTGGTGTACACCGTCACCCTCATCAACAAGGTGTGGACGGGACCAGCACCAACCCTGGGCCCCGTGGGCTCCTGACCTCTGGTCCCCACCAGCCTCAGCCTGGCCTTCCTATCCTCACCCTCCAGACGCTGGCTGCGCTCCCAGACCAGGACTCCTTCTACGACGTGACAGATGCCCTGGAGCAGCAGGGCATGGAGGCCCTGGTCCAGCGCCTCTTGGGCACGGCGGGCACTGACGTGGACCTGCGCACACAGCTCATGCTCTACGAGGTGGGGCCGGGCAGCCAGACCCTGGGGCAGGGGAGGACAGAAGCAGAGGTGCAGTGTCCCGGAGCCCTGCCCGCCCTTGTGGGCCTCTAACACTAGCTCCTGTCCCGGTCCACCTAGAGCGCCCTGCGGTTGGAGGACGGAGACCTGGAGGAAGCCGCAGCTGCTGCAGCTGCAGGTGGGCGGCGGGAGCGACGGAAGCCGTCTTCAGAGGAGGGCAAGAGGAGCCGCAGATCTCTGGAAGGCGGGGGCTGTGCTGTGCGTGCCCCGGAACCTGGGTAAGCACGCATCCGGGTAGATGCGGAGGGGTTGGATCCGCCAGGCGGGTGGCCCTGCGCTCTGACAGGCCCCGCCTCCAGCCCCACAGGTCCCGCCTCCCCGACAGGCTCCTCCTCCTCCGTCACGAGCCCCGCCCCGCTGGCCGGCCCGGCCTCCAGCCCTGTGAGCCCTGTGAGCCCTACCTCTGGCCTCCGTACCTCCGTGAACCTCTTTCCTACCATTTCCACGGCGCCGTCAGCGGACAGCTCCTTTGAGAGGAGCGTCTACAAGTAAGACAGGAGCTAGAGGCCGCCCCTGGAGTCCTCTTTCCGACTGTCCCTTCGCTTTGTGCCCCTCCATGGGCCTTCAACCTCCTCTGCCCAAACGCGTGCTTTCTCTCTCTTTCCAGACTTCACCAAACTGCTCCCGTTTGGTAAGTGAGTGCTGGGGGGGTGGGGTGCAGGGTTCGGCCGTGACCGGACCTCCTCTTCCTGCGGCTTCTCTGATCTCCCCGACATTCCGCCTGTCTCTGCCACTTGTCATCTGCCTCTCATCCCTGCTGCTCTGTCTGCTTCTTTGTCACTCTCTCGGTCTGTACCCTGTCCTGCTTCATGTCAGGTTCTCCACTTCCTGTTTCCTTGTGTCATGCCACCCCCCACCTCCTCTTCCCACTGTGGCTGAGAAGGAAACTTGATAGCACTGCCCAGCGCTGTGTGGATGTGAGCAAGAGGCACCACAGTCACCATCTCTTCCTCTTGCCCCCTGCCCAGCACCCCTGAGAGCCCACCTGTCCCCCAGTGCCCTACTGGGCAGGCCAGGCTGGAGTAAGTACAGAGGCCAGCTGGCCGCGCCTGCCATGCGCTCAGGGCTTCAGCATCGCTTCCCCTGCAGGTGGGCGGGGTTTCCACGGGCCCAAGGCACCCCAAGCTGGGGACTCTTGGGCTTCTCCTCTCCCAGACTTAGGCCCCCTTGGTACCTAAGGACTAAGCACGGGGAAGCAGTCCCTGAGATGACACTGTAACAGCTTCAGTCTGACATGGGAGGTGTGGATGCCTAACCTGGGCCCGTTCCCCACGTCCTCAGCTCAGGACTAGACAGGGAGGGGAACGTGCTGTGCTATGTCGGGGTGGAAGAGCAACCTGTGGCTAAGGAAAGGGCGGGGACTGAGGCCTGAGAGAAGCCAGGCGTGCCAGAGAGGAGGCACGCAGTCACGTTCATTATTTCAACATACATTGGTGCCCACCACTTGCCAGGCCCCTCCCTGGGCGTAGGCCATAGCTCTTAGAAGCTGCCAGTTATACAGAAGGAGGACAGCCTGGTGTGCCCATCGGGACAGCTGTCCTCTTCTAATGCTCTAAGGGTCCTTATCCAGAATCAAGACAGTGGACATGAACGTGAATAGCAGTAAGGTTACAAGCTGGATGTTAAGTAGAACTTCTCCCGAGTTGGTGGTGACCCTCCCCAGATGTGAGGACTGAACGGGAGCTGGCCTTAAGGGAGCAGATCCTCAGACTGCTTGGTGCATGGACTGTTCCCTGTGTGTCTGTGTGTGCCTGCAATTGGGGACAGTACCAAAGGCTCAGCAAGGCATGTGCAGTGTCCTGGGCTATAGCTGTGTCCGACGCCATGGCTGACAAGTCCTTCCCCTCAGAGCCCGGTTCCTGGAGAATGTGGCAGCAGCAGAAACAGAGAAGCAGGCTGCACTGGCCCAGGGCCGGGCAGAGGCGCTGGCTGGGGCCGTGCCTGATGAGGCTGACGGACACCCAGGTAAGCAGGTGGGTGGAGAGTGTCCACTCCCATTGCTGTTGCCCCACAGATGGCATGAAACTGACAGCTGCTTCCGTTTTTCTAGACACTCGAGAACCATGGGACTCCCCAGAGGCAGCTCCTATACCCAGAACACCCCAGAGCCCTACCCCCCGAGTCCTGCTGCGGGTCCAGCGGAGCCTTGAGTCTGAGCCCAAGGAACCCCCGACACCACCAAGCCCCAAGGATAAGCCCATCCAGGCGCTCCCTACCCGTGTACCCAAGCTCTGCATTGGGGACCTGGACTTCTCAGATCTGGGGGAAGATGAAGACCAGGACATGTTGAACGTGGAGTCTGTGGATGCTGGGAAAGGCGTCCCACCCCCACCCCCCCTGCTCCCTGGAGGCCCCCCACCTCCACCACCTCCCCCTCCCCCACCCATCAAAGGCCCCTTCCCACCACCTCCACCCTTGGCTGCCCCATTTCCCCCCTCAGCACCTGACGGCCCAGCCCTCCCCACCAAGAGGAAGACAGTAAAACTCTTTTGGCGGGAGCTAAAGCTGGCTGGGGGCCATGGAAGCCCTGGAAGCCGCTTTGGGCCTTGCCCCACCCTGTGGGCCTCCTTGGAGCCAGTGTCTGTAGACACAGCGCGGCTGGAACACCTGTTTGAGTCCCGTGCCAAGGATGTGCTGCCCTCCAAGGTAAACTCACTGATCTACAGGCAGCCCCCCAGAAAGCGGAAGGTCTGAGACAGTGGAGCTACTCACTCATTCCCACTGGGGGAAACTGAGGCAAAAAAAAGCATAGGCACTTGCCTGAGGCCACTCAGCAAGAGATCAGCAGAACCCTACCTAGAATCTCAGCTCATCCCAGTGCCTTGCGTATCCCAGATCTCCAGTTGTGGGATCATCTGGCCACTGAGAACCTTGGGATACCCCCATAGATTGTCACTCCAGCTAGTCCCTTTCCCAACCTTGCAGAAAGCCGGAGAAGGCCGCCGGACAATGACCACAGTGCTGGACCCCAAGCGCAGCAATGCCATCAACATTGGCCTAACTACACTGCCGCCAGTGCACGTCATCAAGGCTGCCCTGCTTAATTTTGATGAATTTGCTGTCAGCAAGGATGGCATCGAGGTGATTATTCCCAACGGTGGGTGTGGGAGAGAGGTGGGAACTCTGGTCCTCTCCTTTGCTAAGTAGGCACTTCCTATCCCTCCAGCGGTATACATGGGCCTGGGGGTTCCCTAGATAACCTGGGGAGGGGTCAAGACTGATGCCTGGGGCCTCAGGCCAGCACTGAGGAGCCTACTGGGGCAATGGCTGCATCCTTAGAAGCTACTGACCATGATGCCCACGGAGGAGGAAAGGCAGAAGATTGAGGAAGCCCAGCTGGCCAACCCTGACATACCACTGGGCCCAGCTGAGAACTTCCTGATGACTCTCGCCTCTATCGGAGGCCTGGCTGCCCGTCTGCAACTCTGGGCCTTCAAGCTGGACTATGACAGCATGGAGCGGGTACTTGGGTCATGGAGTGGGACAGGCAGTGGGGATAAGTGAGCATGATGACCGTGTAGTCTGAGTCCCTGGTCCCCCACACCAGGAAATCGCAGAGCCACTGTTTGACCTCAAAGTAGGCATGGAACAGCTGGTGCACAACGCTACCTTCCGCTGCATCCTGGCTACCCTGCTGGCTGTGGGCAACTTCCTCAATGGCTCTCAGGTGAGTGAGGGCACACGAGGACGAGGGTGTTGGGCTCTGGAGCGAGCCAGGCCCAGGCTCAGACAGGGTCCTTTCAGAGCCGCGGCTTTGAGCTGAGTTACCTGGAGAAGGTGTCAGAAGTGAAAGACACGGTGCGCCGGCAGTCGCTGCTGCACCACCTCTGCTCCCTGGTGCTCCAGACGCGGCCTGACTCCTCCGACCTCTACTCAGAAATCCCCGCCCTGACCCGCTGTGCCAAGGTGAGCACCAGCGAGACAGCGGAGACTGGCCGAGGCGCGGCGCCGCGCTGCTGGCTGCTTCCTTCCCCTTTCCCCCACTGGGGCTGCTGCGCCAGGGCTTGCTCAGGCTGCAGGTAAGTGTGCCAGGTCCTCTGCCAGAAGCGCTCTTTCCTCAGTCTGGCCAAACCTACTCATTCTCTGGGTCTCGGTTTAATTGTCCCTTCTGCTGTGAAACCTCTATTTGCCACTGGAAGTGGATGTGTGTGCCTCTTGCACTAGACCAGGAGCTTGTGGAGCAGGCCCAGGCTGGCCAGCCTGGCACAGAAGCTGCCTCAGGTAGGGGCTTGTCTGGGGGGCAGGGGGGCCAGCACATGAATCCCCTCCCTTTCAAGGTGGACTTTGAGCAACTGACTGAAAACCTGGGGCAGCTGGAGCGCCGGAGCCGGGCAGCAGAGGAGAGCCTGCGGAGCCTGGCCAAGCACGAGCTGGCCCCTGCCCTGCGAGCCCGCCTCACACACTTTCTGGCGCAGTGTGGCCGCCGCGTTGCCATGCTGAGGGTAGTGCACCGGCGTGTCTGTAACAGGTAGGGGAGTGGGCCAGGGAGCGGCAGGATCGCCACCACTTCCCCTCAGACACCAAGAAGGACCATCCCTCTCGCCTAGGTTCCATGCCTTCCTGCTCTACCTGGGCTACACCGCACAGGCAGCCCGCGAAGTCCGCATCATGCAGTTCTGCCACACGCTGCGCGAGTTCGCACTTGAGTACCGCACTTGCCGGGAACGGGTGCTACAGCAGCAGCAGAAGCGGGCCACGTACCGTGAGCGCAACAAGACCCGGGGACGCATGATCACTGAGGTGGGTGCCCTTCCAGGTGCTGCCTGCCACCCCTGTGACCGCCCTCCCCTGACCCCAGCCCACCCTTCTCCCCTCTCCAGACAGAGAAGTTCTCAGGGGTGGCTGGAGAAGCCCCCAGCAACCCGCCTGTCCCAGTGGCTGTGGGCAGTGGGCCAGGCCAGGATGATGCCAACAGCCATGCCAGCATGAAGAGTCTGCTGACCACCAGGCCTGAGGACACCACACACAACCGCCGCAGCAGAGGTGGGCCCCACGGCCGCTGGGGGCACTCGGGTGGGGATCTGGTTCCAGGGTTACCCTGGCTTGATCTCCTTCTCTGGCCTCCCTCAGGCATGGTACAAAGCAGCTCCCCAGCCACGCCCACAGCAGGACCCTCCACTGCCCCCTCAGAAGAACCGCCAGGCTCCAGTGACACATCAGATGAGATCATGGACCTACTGGTGCAGTCAGTGACCAGGAGCAGTCCCCGAGCCTTAGCTGCTAGAGAACGCAAGCGTTCCCGTGGCAACCGCAAGTCTTGTGAGTACACTGGCCCCTCTTCACTCCCCCTAACAAAAGTGCTGCCTGTCTTAACCTTGTCCACCCCCTCTAACCCTGCTCTGTCCCTGCAGTGAGACGGACACTGAAGAGTGGGCTGGGAGATGACCTGGTGCAGGCACTGGGACTGAGCAAAGCTCCTGGCCTGGAGGTATGAAGGCGCTGCCTCCAGGAAACCTATCTGGACCCTGGCCTGCAGGAGCAAGGAGGGCCCAGAGCAGAATTCTGGTCCCAGGACTCTATGCCCAGGGACCAGTGCCTTGAGCAGTATTAGCTGTATGTGTGTGATGTGTGTGTGCTTGTGCTCCAGGGACCCGTGGAGCAAAATAAAGTTTTCCTAGTTATTCCACGAGCTCTTTTCTTTCAGGGTCCCCACAAGGCTGAGTCTGTAGCACAAGGGCAACACTGCAGGATTAGCCCTTCCTGCCTTGGCCCCTCAATATCACCCGCAGGCAGGACTCGCATCCTAAGCCGTTTATTCAGCAATCCTATACTCCAGACTGCTTTGACCCTGGACCAGGCCCCTCATAGCTCCAGGCGTGAGGGCCAGGCAGCCCACTAAGGGCCACCCAGGGCTAACAGCCTGTGGCCACGTCAATGGTTACAAGCGCTTCATCTGCCGCCGCTCCTGTCGGCGCTGCCGTTTCTCGTTGTGCTCTGGTGCTGGGGCAGCACTGTCTGCCGTGAACCAGGGGCCTAGCACATTCACCCACAGGAGGTAAAGGGCCCGGCCTGGAGCCTAGGAGAGGAAAGGTAACTTGAGGCCACGTGTAGGAATGGAAGGTGGGGAGGGTCAGATGCCCTTTACTGGGACCCCCACCCCTACCCCCGGCCCACGCACCAGAAGCCAGAAGGACCAGATGTAGAGGGAGAAGCAGCTGAGCACCTGCACGATGGCTGTCAGCAGGATCACATCCTTAAGGTGCCTGTGGATAGAAGGGAGGCTGCCAAAGACAGTGGATGGGCCCCGCTTCGGCTCCCTTCTGCCCTCCTCCAGGTACAGGTAGCTGTGGCTCTTGGGCTATGTGGGCCCCAGCGCCCCAGCCCTGGGGCCGCTCACCTGGGCTGGCGGTGGGGGACACTCACTCTGCCATGCCCTGTTCCATGTTGAGGTCCATGCCACCATCCATCAAGGCCCCATCCTCAGAGAAGGCTGCCCGTGCCATCGAGCTCATAGAGTGGTAGCTAGCCCCATATACTGCCAGACTAAAGCCCAGGGCCATCTGCAGAACAAGAACAGGGATATCAAAGACCAGGCACTGACCCCTTGACACCTGCACTCTTCCACCTCCTAGGAGGGGATACTTACCCAGGCCCAAAATGAGGCAGATGAGTAGAAGAAGACCAAGGTCACAAGGCAGTAAATGGCCTGTAAGCAAACACAGGATCAGGCTGAGGTCAGAAGCTCCCCCGACGTGGGTTTTAGCATAGCAGCCAACACAGCCAATTGGAGTGCCTGGTTCTGCCTCTAACCCCAACTTCCTGCAGGTGCACACCCTGGAAAGCAGCAGGTGATGACACAAGGAATTGGGTCCTCTACCCTCTGGGAGACATGGTTTGAATTCCCAGCTCCTGGCTTTAGGCTGGCCCAGCCCTGGCTGTTGCAGATATTTAGGGAGTGAACAGGCAAATGGGAGCTCTGTCTGTCTCTCTCTCCAATAAATCAATAAGAAAATAAAAAGCTACCCCAAACCACGGGCCTCTCTCAAATCTAAGAATTCGAACAGATTATGGAAAGACAAAGTTTGTTCTAGTGTTGGGGGAGGAGCCCTGCTCTAAGACGCAGGTACCCAGACTCTCCTCTGACACCAAGTCAGCCCAGCAAAGAAGTCTTTGTGATCCTTTTAAAATTTTTTATTATTTACCTGAAAAGCAGAGACGAGGGTGGGGGGGAGTTCTCCCATGCACTGGTTCCTTCCCCAAATGCCTGCAACAGCCTGGGCCGGGCCATGCTAAAACCAGTAGCCTGGAATTCTATCTGGGGCTCCCATGTAGGTGGCTGGGACCAACTACTTGAGCTGTCACCTACGGCCTCCCAGGTGAGGCAACATTAGCAGGAAGCTGAATCCAGGCGCTCTGACATGGAATATGGGCATCCCAATTGGCAGCTTAACTACTGTGCCAAGTGCCCACCCCTAAAGAAACCCTGTGCATTGGGGTGGGAGGGGTTCTCGAGTCCAGCAAGACCTCCTGCCCTCAATTCCACTTCGCTTGTGCAAGGACCCTTTCTCCTTTCTCCTTGGATGCTGCTCTCTGCTGGTGCCTTGGCTTTCAGATGCCACACCGCCGAATGGTGCTGAGGGCTGTGGGTCTTTGGATGGATACAGAAACGAGGAGGCAGCACTTACATTAGCCCCCAGGATGATGCGCAGGTAGAACTTCAGCGTCTCTCTGTTCTCTTCAAATATCTGCTTTTTCCCTCTCGTGCCCACTTTGCCCTTGGGCTGCAGAGACATGATGTGACACTGTCAGAGCTCGTTCCACTGCCCCCACCGTCAGGGTTAGCTCCCGAGTTCCCTGACACCGCAGGTCCCCTGGTGCTCAAGCCCAACACAACCCCTGGGGTATCCGCCCCTCCTCCAGTCCACCCCATCGAGGACTCACAGCATCTTTCCCGCACCCCCAGCTAGGACTGGCCTCCTACTCGACCTGGCACAATCCAACCATAGGCCAATACTTTCCCAGCCAAGTCTAGTTTTAGGCCGACAACTCCTTCAGGGGTACTCTGGAATGGAAACGAGTGGCGCCTCTTCGATCTCCACGGGAGTAGCTCGGATCTAGCACGGAAGCCCACCCCCTCTAGTTCTGGTACGGTCCTGCGCCACCATCTCCCCCCATCCCTCGCTCGTTCTAGTATAGTCCAGCCATGGGATGGCGTCCCCCGGGGCCACCACGTATCCCTTGGTGTCCTTCCACGGATTTTACTCTCCAGCCCCGGGGGCGCTTTGCCCATGTGGACCCTACTCTACTCGTCCTCCTTACCGCCATGGTGAGACGCAAAGACCCAGCAGGAGAAAGAACCGAAAGCGAGGGAAGCCGCAGTTAGTAGGTACCACATCGGCAGTGCATGGACTTCCGGTGCAGAACGAATTCGTCAAGATCATGGACGGAAGTGGGGTCCACTTCCTTCCCAAGTCCCACCCCTAGCGCAGACGGGACTACATTTCCCAGAAAGCCTTGCGCGGGGGCGGAGGCGGCCGGGATGCGATGGCGGAGTCGCTGCCCCTGGAGGTGAGAGGAAGCGGCCCTCAGGCCTAGGTCCGGACAGGCCCCGCCCTCGGGGTCCCGGGCTTCGGGGAGGGGCTGTGAGACAGCTAGCCCGCCCTCCCGCCTGTCGGCAGTAACCCGCCCGACGGATCCCGGGACCTGCCAGCTCTCGGTAACGGCCGCGTCTTTGGGCCACTCCATCCCCTTAGCTGGGGGAGTCACATCCCTCCCCTTCTTTATCGGCCCCAGGAGACGGCTGCTGTCACCTCAGCAAGGACGGGCCCTCGGCCCGTGCCCTTCCCTCGAGATGGCCGTCCCCACCCCCTCATTTCTGGAAGATGTCCGCTCCACACCATCATTCCCGAAGGGTGACCCATCTTAACCCCGGTGGTCCCTTCGGATGTTCGCTCGGTTTCTTCCGCCTGGTGGAGACGGCTGCTTCCCCTTCCCGGCGGTGGGAAAGAACCTGCTCCCTTCGCATCAACTCCGGGTTTGGTGCTGAGGTCCTGTGGTGAGGACAGGCCTTCGACGCACTCCCTAGTCCCCTAGTGATGGGCGCCTCTCTCTCTCACCCCATAGGAGAGTTCCATCTCCGTAGCTGGTAGCTGCCCACCTTAGCTGGGAGGTAACAGGCTTTGTCCCCAGTGGCTTTTGGAATGGCCTCCCCCTCTCTTGCCCTGAGGGTTGGCAGCCCCCTCCTGCTGCCCTCAGAACACTGGCCACCCTTTCCTCTCAGTCCTGGAATGATACTCCCTGTCCTTAGCAGAAAACAGGCCTGTTGCCACCCCCACGGAGACCCATGCAATGGCGTCTGTTTCCCCCTTGGCCCCAGAGAATACCCGTTCGTCTCCATAGATCCCATGGATGACTAATCCTATCTCTAGGAGCCCCTCGGGGTGGGCTCCACGAGCTGGCACCACATCCTCACCACTGCCTAGAGTCTACAGAGTCCAGCCCCACCCCAGCCTCGTGAATCGTGTCCCTGCTTCCTCCTGTGGTGACAGGTTTGATCCCTCTCCCTTTGCTCCTGCGCTTGGCAGCTCATCCCCCACAAGATAGGCTGCCCTGCTCGGTCCATCTCAGTCCCCGTCAATTCTTTCTTTATATGCTAGCCCCCCTGTCTCCAAAGCCTGTCCTCCCAGTCATTCTGCTCTCAGTAATCATCTTTTATATCCCCACCCCGTCCCTGAGCAAACTTTTGGTGAAAATAGAGGTAGAAGATTGTCCATCCTTGACTTAGTACAGTAAGTATGGACTGAGCCCCTCCTTTCTCTGGGTGTCTGAGGAGGGAAGGAGAGGTCAGAGCAGGCTCGTGAAGTCAGGGTTCAAGAAGGCCTGGCAGCCCAGAGGCCCATGTAGGCAAGAGGGAGTGGACACGCTGGGCTTGCGTAGGACAGGAGGGAGATTGGGTAGGGAAAGCTCTGGGACCACGGGTCTGGACAGGTGTGGAGGCCTGGCAGTGCTACCGCAGGAGTGGAGACTTTATCCTGAGAGTTCTGGGGAACCCTGGAGGTTTTCATCAGGGGTGTGTGGAGGCTGAAAATGTTGTTTTTAAAAAAGGAAATTAATCTTGGGGCAGTTTGCAGAATGGATTATCCAGGATGAAGGTGGAGGCCAGGAAAGCAGGTGGAAGATTGTGGAAGGAATCCAGTTCTGGGGTGGTGAAAATCTGAACTACTGAGGTAGTAAAATTGCAAAGGTAGAAATATTGATAACAGCCACCCACCTGTCATTTATGGATTGTCAAGCATTATGTATCATATATAATATGTATATGTTAATACATCAATGTGTATAAAATTCAATTCTCATAAGACTATCATCTGGATTTTTTTATATCCGCATTTTGCAGATATGAAAACTAGAGCTCAGAGAGGTCAAGCATCTTACCTGAGGTCACCCAGCTAGGAAGTAGTAGAGCTGGGGTTTGACTGAATCTAGCGCAGAATGAGATGAGCCTGGCCTAAAGCCTGTGCCTCACATGAAGAACATGAAGAGTCCAAATATATGGACCTTCCAGGGGGTGCGCTGGTGCCACGGGGCAGTTAGGAGGGAGGGGCTGTTTTGGACTGAGGGCACGATATGAATCTTGGTTGAGATTGGCGGGGGAGGGTGATAAGCATTTGGGTGAAGGATTCAGTAGACAATTGGTAATACTGGACTAGCACTTGGATAGTAGGAGGAGAATATGGGGCTATTAAATTGCTTGTTATTCCTGTATTGGTAAATGGAACATCAAAAGCCCCAGTTCTCAACCCTGGTAGCCACAGAAGAATCCAGAAACAGGGCAATTGGAATGCCAGATGAAACCTTAGAAAAGCATCTGACAGCACTCAAGGAGAGAAGATTCTAGAGGAAAGAAATAGTTAATACCAATCATTCCTAGCCTCACAGCCATCCCTTTCCCAGTTCTCTTTGGATTTCTAATCTTACTACCAGCAGCCTTGAGGCCTCCTGTGTGGGTGGAGAGGAGCCTTCCAGGCTGGGTCTTGGTGGGCCAAAATCTTCATAGCCAGCTGAGGAGGCAAGTTGGCAGTGCAAAATGGAAAAGAAGGTGTGTGAGGTGTGTGTGTGTGTGTGTCTGTCTACCCCAGGGAACTTGCCCTGGGAGGACTGGAGGAAGAGAGAAAAGAAACACCTGACTTGCTATGCAAGCTCTTTTGCTATGTTAAATAATTCTTAGAACAGCTCATTTGCATCTCACTACAACTGCCATCTTACAGATAAGGAAAACAAGGCTCAGCCTGAGATTGAACTAGTTTATCTGGCCCCAGTACCCAAGCTTTTTCAATCCAACTGGGCAGGAAGCTTGATTTGGGAGAAGTCTGCACCCCACCAGGTGTCAGAAAAGATTTGTTCTCAACAGATTCCTTGAGGCTGGAGAGAGGAAGTGAATACTCCATGAAGCTTTGGATTCAAGATGATCTAGAAGCCAGTGCTTGGTACCCCCAGAGCCACGGTGTTTATTAGCTGGGGTAGATTCCAAAGGCCCCAGTTTTTTTTTTGTTGTTGTTGTTGTTTGTTTTGTTTTGTTTTGACAGGCAGAGTTAGAGAGAGACAGAGAGAAAGGTCTTCCTTTTTCTGTTGGTTCACCTCCCAAGTGGCCGCTATGGCCTGAGGAGGTGCTTCCTCCTGGTCTCCCATGGGGTGCAGGGCCCAAGCACTTGGGCCATCCTCCACTGCCTTCCCGGGCCACAGCAGAGAGCTGGACTGGAAGAGGAGCAACCAGGGCAGAACCGACGCCTCAACCAGGACTGGAACCCTGGGGTGCCGGTGCCACAGGCGGAGGATTAGCCTAGTGAGCCGCGGCGCCGGCATCGGCTGGGGTAGATTCCAAAGGCCCCAGTTCTAACAGCCCCCAATGCCCTGTCTTTTTCCCTTAGATGCTTACGTATATTCTGAGCTTCCTGCCTCTGTCAGATCAGAAAGAGGCCTCCCTGGTGAGTCGGACTTGGTACTGTGCAGCTCAGAATGCGCTTCGGGAGGTAAGGACCCCACCCCTACCCAGTCCTTTGTCCGTTGTCTCCCCGGTTTTCTCATGGTCCTACTTACATATCATCCGTCCATCTATCCGTGTGCATATGCACATACATACATACATGCGTACACAAAGGGCTTGGGATACAAGGCTGGGGCCCAACAGGTGAAAAAGATGCAGTTCCCCCACGGGGCTCACAGTCGAGTGAAGGAGAAGGGTGATAGGAATGATCGTGCTATGGTGCGCTCAGTGCTGTGACACTGGAATGCGAGGGTACAAGAGGAGCATGGGGAAGGGCAGCCAGAGGCCAGTGGCAGCCTCAGGGAAGGCTTCCTGACAGCAGAGGATGAGGAGAAGGTTGGTCTTCCAGGGGAAGGCACCAAGGTGTGGAATGGTTCTGGCAGTGACCACGCAGGTTCCCTGTGCCTGGAGCTGAGCTGTGTATGGCGTGGGTGGTAGACGAGGCGGCTGGAACCAGGTAGACTGTAAGCTGGCTGATGGGCCCGGCCCCAGAGCCTGGGCTTTTTCCTGAATATGGTCATCTTAAGGCAGCTAGTGACAAGGTGTGTTGTGCCTGAGAAAACTGCAGTACAGAATGGACTGAGTCTAGGGAGGCCGCCCAGCTGGGGGACAAATGCAGACATCTGAGCTCGTGGTGGCTCACTGTTCTCCTTCTGACTCACCTGACTGTTAGTGAAGGTGAGCAGTTCTCACCAGCTGACCATTTGTATTTCCCCTTTCTGTTTACTCATCTTTATCCACTTAACTACTCAGTTCGTGATTTTCCTTCTCAATCTGTGTGTGTGAACTTTTTACATATTAAAGATATTTGTATATTTGTTGAAATACATTCCTATTTGTCTTTTGATTTGCAGATATGTTTTTACGTACGAGATACAGAAATTAAATTTCTAAGTTGTTGATTCTGAACATCTTTTTCTATTTCTTTCATTGTTTTTAAACTTAAAGATCCCTTTGGAGATTTGGTAAATATACACTCTTCTGTTTTTTTCTTTAAAATAGACTATTTTTAAAGGCAGTGTTAGGTTTACAGTGAAATTGTTTCTTCTGTCTTGTATTTTTTATTGGTGACATCTATTTTGATCTATGCTATGAGATAAGAAGCTGAACAGATTTGTTTTCAAACAGTCCAGGCGCCGTGTATGTCTTATCTTCCCTTTCCCTGTTTGTTTGGAAGCCTCCTCTGTCATATATCAAATGAGTGTGTATAAATAGGTCTGTTGTTGAATTATCAGTGTCATTGATCTTCCTGTCCAAAGGAATTTGATTTTAGACTTGATGAGCATTTGAAATATGAGACATCTGTGTGCGATAGTTAGATTTCTGGGTGAGGAATTCAAGGGAAGTTTCTGGGTAAGACATAGATATGAGTGTCATGAAGGAACGGATGGAAGTTAGAGCCACAGAGCTGAGCAGCTTCTCCCAGGGGACAGCATGAAGCGCCAAAGGCACTGCAGGCCAGAGAATTCCCCAGGGCTGGACACCAGTCCAAGGTCACAGGAAGGAGAGGGGGCCGAGGAGCCCCCAGAAAGAGGAGGGCCTAGAAGTCAAAAGCAAGAAAGCGTTCTAAGGGCTGAGTGGATAATTAGTGTTAATCCCAGAGTCCAGCCGAGTAAAAAACAAGGAATGTCCATGATATGTGATACCCAAAGAGGTCACTAAAGGCTTCAGGAATATTTGGAATCTGGGAGAGAAAGCCAGGTTGGTCGAGGAGTGAATGAGAGATGGAAGGAAATGGAGGGTGACCTCAGTTGCAAGGAATTTCCCCTAGGGAGGAAGGAAATCAACAAGGCAAAAATGGGGGGAGGACATTGTGACACAGCAGTTAAGGCCTCCACTTGGGATGCCTACCTCCCCTATCAGAGGGCCTGAGTTCAAGTCCCACCTCCATTTCCAATCCAGCTTCCTGCTAATGTACACCCTGGAAGGCAGCAGATGATGGCTTAAGTAACCTGGGCCAAGCTGCCCCCACATGGGAGACCTGGATGGAATTCCTGTCTCCTGGCTTCAGCCTGGCTCAGCTCTGGCTGTTTTGGACATTGGGAAAGTAAACTAGTAGATGGAAAATTCTGTATCTCTCTGTCTCTGTCTCTGTCTTTCTCTCTCTCTGTCTTTCGAATAAATAAACTTAACAAAAAGAAAACAGGGCAGAAATGAGAGTTTGAGGTGGGCTTGACAAAGGGATTTTGATTGGGAGAAATTCCAAATGTGCTCAAATGCTTAGAGAGTCACTAAGGAAGGGTGCGTGTGGGGAGAAGAGAGGTCAGGGCCGGCGGATGCCGCCTGAGGTGGTGCAGACACGGGCTTCAGAGCACAGGGCTGACCTGCAGAGGATGCAGAGGGTGTCACGTCTTCCTGAGGAAGCAGGGGAGTCGGGGGATGCGGGGAGCTGTTTGTGGAGGAAGTGTCTTGGAGGCATCCACTTCCTTAGCTGTTCCTGTGTGTGCCTAGCACTGTGCTGGGCGCGTGGGGGCGGGGCGGGAGGGGCGCAGCATTGAGGAAGACACAGCACTTGGGAGTTTGTGCTAAGAGGGGGCCAAGCACAAGCTAAAAGGGGCCAGGGTGCTGCGTTCGAACTCTACATCTCTGAGACGCATCCAGGATTCAGAGAACATTCAGAAAGGACTCCGTGGAGGAGGAGATGCTCAGCCTGAGCCTCAAGAGAGGAAAACATGTTTGCCAAACAGAAGTAGGTGAGGGGTGGGCTCTGCTCCCTACACCCCCAGAAATGGAGAACCGCTAAGTAGAGGCAGGCAGCATGCCACAGCATTTCACATGAGTGAGCCTCCTCAAAGCTGCCAAGGAAGGGGAGTGGGCGTGGGAAGATACGGGCTGCAGAAGGAGGTGGGGTCTTGAAGGCCGCCCAGGAAACCTAGCCCTGTCCTGTGGGCATGGAGACCTGCCTGAGGGTGTGAACAGCACATCCAGGTTTGCCTTCTGGAAAGTGTCTCGGTGTCGAGCCCGAGGACGCCTGGAGTCAGAAAGACTGAAGGAGGAGGACACTGCTGCGATTGACTCTGGGCCAACCACACAGGACCGAAGGGAAGCAGCAGCAGTGGCATTGGAATAGAGGAACGTATTTCAGTACAGCAGAGAAATGGCATTGTAGGGACTTCGGACATTGGAGACGCGGGAGTAAGGAGGAGTCTAGGATAACTCCCAGATTTCCCACTTGGGTGCCTCAGTGGAGGGTGGCGAAAATTTACGAGAAGGAGCAGGGTTTTGGAGAATAAGATGGTGAATTGAGATTTCGGCATGTTGAATCTGTTATCTGGAGAGAGTTCAGGAAGCAGTCGGCTCCCAGGAAAATCAGATGGATCAGAAAGAAAGCAGTTGGAATGATTGTCCCCCAGGACCAAGTGCACATGGAGAGGGACATAGATTGTGTGTGTTATATTGCATGGAACAGTCTGGAGGGAGCCCATTCATTCATACTCATGGACTGGTCTCTCTTTGGTGACCCCAAAAGAGGCTGATGGAAGTAGGCTGGAAGAGAGGCGGAGAACCAAGAGGGCAGAGTCACTGAGTCTCCAGGGGCAGAGGACATCAGGGACATGAAGGGCTACTGGCATTCATAGCAGGGCACAGCTGAGAGGATATCGTGGGAGGTCTTGAGAGAAGCCCTCACATACTGGTGGCCTTACCAGAGGGGCGCTGTTGCCAGGAATGGTTGATTCTGTGGGGACAGTGGTGGAGGGGCAGATGAGCGAGGCAAGGGGAAGTAGGGGTACCAGCCCAGGTGTGGGTGTGCCCTTTGCTCCCGAGAAGCCAGACTCTGGAGGAAAGGGAGAAGCGAGGGTGAGAAGAGGGCGACAGGCTGAGGGAGCCTTTTTGTTGTTGCTTAGGGCTCTGGGGTGTTTGTGGCCTCTGAGGAAGGAGAAGGCAGAAACAGCAGAGTTCCTAGAAGGGAAGGTGGAAACAGCCCAGTGGGCCAGAAGAGAGGGGCCGACCGGAACCAGAAGTGCATGAGAGGGAAGGAGGTTAGGATGGGTGCTGCCAGGGGCCAGCTGGTGACCAGGGAAAGGGGAGGACTCCCACCTGATGGTTTTGCCTGCTTTTCTGAGAAGGCTGGGGTGAGGGGAGGCTGCTGCAGCAGGCCCAGGAGCTGAAGTTGGTGGGCTTGAAGAGAGATCTTGGAGGCCGGGAGTGGACAGGGATCAAGGAAGAGAAGCAGGGGAGGCGATGCTGGTAGTGCAGGTGAGAGGGAAGAGCCTGGTGTCCTGGGCAGCATTCCATATCCCCAGCACAGACCCAGAGGAGGCATCTTGTCTCATCATACCTGGCTGGGCCAGGAGGATGGGCACAGTGGCTTGACAGAGGCAGGGCAGCTGGGCCCTTAGGACAAGCAGTCTCAGGGTGAAGCTAGTAGAGGCCAGCAAAGGAGAAGGCAGAGGAGGCAAAATGGGAAGCCAGGCCCCTGGGCTTAGGTGATATTGGAGGAGGAGGCTGGGGCATTGTTTAGGATCTTAAGGGTCCACCATTTTTGAGCTCGGGTTGCTCCCGCTAATGGTAGACTCCACATAGAATTTTTGTCAAAGACCCATCCGATGCCTCTGCAAACCTCAGCCCCACCTGATTGGCAGCATTAGGATAGCCAGGCCACAGGTTCTTAGGCACCTGGGGCCCTGCCCATTCCTCACCACCATGTCCCGCAGAACAGGCTGCAGAACCTTATTGACAGGAACCATCTCCCAGGGCCCGGATGTGGGCAGGCAGATAAGGGGATCGCGCCCCCAGCCCATAGGTGCAGTGGAAGATCCTGGCTTACCAGGGCCAGCTGGGGCCTCTGTCTCAGCAGGCCAGGCTGGAGGCTGCAGTTGGTGACTTCTTTTTTCTCCAGATCTACCCTTAGTTAACTTAATCTCAGTTTTTGTTAAATAGGGTTCAGGCAAAGCCAGTGCCCCCACAGGTACCCGGGTGCTGCCCATTGCTGGGAAGAGCCGTGGTTGGCTGCCACTAGGCTGCTCACTGTGAAGCAAGAGCTGAAGACAGCTCCGCCCTCAGCTGCCCTCTCCCTCCTGAGCTGTTTATTCAAGCCTGGATGAGCCTGTAGAAGCAGACTCCTCTCTAGAGTCCCCTGGCCCTCGGTGCCAGAGCAGGCATTTTCCCAGTGTCTTCTGGAGGAGAGTGGGTGTGGTAGCTTTGGTTCCTGTGGTGCGCAGGAGGGAGAGCATTGTCTCCATCAGATTCCTTTCCCAGCCCGAACCAAGGTCTGTAGGCTCAGCCAGGGCTTCGCCTGATACAAGACCCTGGCCTCCTGCAGTCCAGGGCCATGTGTCACCTTTAACAGATCCAGGGCATTCTCCAAGTGACTTTGCAATTACTCTTTTTAATAAAGATTTATTTATTTGAAAGGCAGAGTTACAGAGAGAAGAGGGGCCAGGGAGGAGAAAGATCTATCCCCTAGTTCACTACCTAAATGGCCATAATGACTGGGGTTGGGCCATGCCAAAGCCAGGAGCCTGAAACTCTATCTGAGTCTCCCATATGGATGGCAGGGGTCCAAGTACTTGGGGCCATTTTTCACTGCTTTCTCAGGTGCATTAGCAGAGAGCTGTATTGGAAGTTGAGCAGCCGGGACTTGAAACCTGGGTGCCTATGGGATGCTGGCATCACAGGTGGAGATTTAACTTTCTGCGCCACAAGTCCAGCCCAGCAGTTCCTTTTAAGATCCCAGCACTGGGAGAGGAGACCAGGGGCCGTGTTGGTCCCTCTGTGGTTGAAGCAGGCACTCTTCCCTTGAACCTTTAGAAGCACCTAGGGCTACTCTTGTACCAGAGCCAAAGTCCAGCACCCAGGAAGCATGCTCTGCCTGCTACTGTGCCCCCCACAGAGATAATATCTGTAAAGGGCTTTTCCTGGCCATTGCAGTTTAAGTTCAGGTGGCCTCAAGAGCAGGGCAATGACTTAGAGGCTGTCCTCAACCCACCAAGCAAAATGGTGGCATACCAGAGATGGTCTCAAGCCCCTCCTTCTCCCAATAGCTAGAATTCCTTCCAGCCAGGTCCCGCCTCTTTTTCAAGTGACTTGGTGCCAGCAGCCAGCCCTGGACTTGGGGCCTGGGATGACTGCCAGTGCCTTCTCATGTCTGTTTGCCTACCTTGTTATTGAGAGGCAGTGGGAGTGGGAACATTCCTGGCCACGCAGGCTCTGATGGAAGGCAAGCTAAGCACCTACAGTGGCTGCAGCTGCTGGAGCTGGGGTGTGCAGGGCTCACAGAGACTCCTCATCATTGGGGGGGTGGGGGACGGGGGCAGGTACTGCCTCTGCAGCCAGCTCCCGCCACCAGCATTTGCTCTGTTTAGCATCAGACTGACTCACCTGTCCTGCAGTGACATTGGCAGTGGCTGAATGCATGTTCTTCCTTGCTTTCTGAAACATAGCCTCTCTGGTCTCTCTTTGTCACCCTTTTCCCCACCCTTACACTGGGGTCTTCCCCGGCTCTCCGTAAATCTGAGGCAGACTGGCTCTTGGGAGAGTCGCCTCTACCCCAGCATGAGGGTGTCTGTGGTAAGCATTCCTCTCACCCAGAATGACCAGAAGTGAGGTCTGGAAGGGGACCTGGTGACCCCTGATTCCTGTGAAAGAGGCCAGGAGCTGGTTCCTGTCCCTTCCACACATGCCTTCCCATTGTGGCAGCCAGGGGTGGCTGCTGCTTTCTCGGGCAGAAGCCAGGCTGGTTCCTCCACCAGGAATGAGCTCTGTGCTTCCTGGGAGAATTCTATTGATAGGTATCTTGCCAGAGCACATCCTGTGTGCCATTCTGATTCCTGGCTGCTCATGTTCTGTGGGGTACAAGCAGGAAACAGCAGCTAGGGACAAGACAGGTTTACAGAGAGCTTGCCTTCCTGCACCTGAGAAAACAAACAAGTCTTCTTTGAGGCCCATTTGCCTGCAACCTGGGCAGAGGTGGGGAAATGGGGCTGGGATTTTAGAAGCCACGGCCACGCTGCCCTCTCACTACAGACCTGTTCCACACACATGACACCAGCTTCCTTTGGCACAAGATTAGGAAAGGTTCTAGGACAATATATCCTTCACTGGGGCCTCTTCCACAAGCCAGCTCATTCCCAAGACTTGCCCCTGAGCTCACCTACCGAGTTCCACGCCACTGCAGCTGTGTGCTCCCCACTCTCGTACCCCTCTTCCTCTGTGGCACTTCTGAGATCACAAAGTTGTCCCCTCCAGAGATGTGTCCCAGGGTCACAAGCACATCTTTCTAAAAATTTTTTTAAAGATTTATTTGAAAGGCATTGTTACAGAGAGGCGAAGTAGAGAGAGAGAGAGAGAGAGAAAGAAAGAGAGTTCTTCCATCTGCTGGTTCACTCCCCAAATGGCCACATCACCCAAGGACTTAGGCCATCTTCTACCACTTTCCCAAGCCGTAGCAGAGCTGAATCGAAAGTGGAGCAGGTGCCCATGTGGGATGCTGGCACTGCACACAGTGGCTTTACCTGCTCTGCCATAGCGCCAGTTCCCACAAGCACTTCTTGAACCCAGGCAACCACGACCCAGTCCCACATGTCTTAGTTCATGCATGTGCACATGTATACGTATACATATATGGCCAATTTTGTAAACATTCATGTGCCTGAAACACAGGCCACCAGAGGACCCAGGACTCGCTGCCTTCCCCAGTCCTCTGGCGCCTGGGCCTCAGAGGGTGTGGTGAGTGACACCTGCCTCACTTCTGCCTTCAGTTGCTCTGAGAGCTACTGATGTGCTTTCTAGAAAGTGAGGGAGGCTGGTTGCTTAGCTAATGCTGAGACCCTGAAGTAGGAGACGAAGCCTGTGGATCAGCCTCCTTCTGAAAGTCCCAAAGGCTGGGGTCTGGCATACTTTATCCTCCCACTCCCTGGGTGGCCTCCAACTGACATCTCAGCCCTCCTGGGCTCAGCAAGCTCCCTCCCCATGCTGTCCCTGACCGCCTCGCTCCCCAGCATCCAGTCTTTTGTCTGTTAACTAACCTTCCTGCCCTCCCCCCAGAGCCTTCTCTCTCATCCCTGGGTGACTGGTCTTCGCAGCTCCACTTCCTCCTCACACCCCCACCCAGCTACACATGACTTCATCCACCTGGTGGGTTCCCCTTGTGGAAGAGCCTTTGCTGACCTGTTCTCAACCTCTGGCTGGAGGACTGACCTCTGGCCTGCTGCTGCCCCCTAGATAAATGTGCGGTACAACATCCCTGTGTCCTCTGCCTCCCTCTCGGCCATCAAGAGCCTGGGCCTCAGGGGCATCTCCTGCATTGGCCTCATCAACCTGGATGGTTCACCAGCTTCACACCAGGTGCTGCAGTCTGTTGCCCACTATCTAGGCCCACACCTGCAGAGCTTGTGCCTGGGCGGAGGCAGCCCCACAGAGGCCTCCTTTGTGGCCCTGATCCTGGGCTGCCCAGCCCTGCGGATCCTTGACCTCAGTGGCTGCAACAGCCTCTTCACGTCGGGCACACTACTGGCTCATCCTGAGACAGCACAGAGTGTCCAAAAGGCTCTGAGTGGCCTCCGTGAGCTCAACCTGGCTGGCCTGCGGGACCTGTCCGACCCCAGCTTCAACCAGCTCAGCAGCTGTGCCCCCAGCTTGGAGCGTCTCTCCTTGGCATACTGCCACCTCAGCTTTGAGCCAGGCCTGGCCCGGGGCTTCACTGGCTCCCAGGACTACCACCCTGCCAAACTCTCTTTCTGCAACCTGCTACGATTTGTGAAGGAGCGGGCTGGCAGGCTGCATGCCCTGGACCTGGGAGGCACTGGCTTGCCACCTGAGGCCCTGAAAGCCCTGGGCCAAGTGGCCGGGTTGCAGCTGCAGGAACTGAGCCTGCACAGCTGTAGAGACCTCTCCACAGAGGCAGTGACCACCTTGTGCCGCCAGCAACCAGGCCTTACCTCCCTGGACCTCAGTGGCTGTTCAGAACTGACTGACGGGGCGCTCTTGGCTGTGAGCCGAGGCCTGCGGCACCTGCGATGCCTGTGCGTGGGGAAGCTGCAACGCCTGACAGACGCAGGATGTACAGCTCTGGGGGGCCTACGGCAGTTGCAGAGCCTGGACATGGCTGAGTGCTGTCTGGTGAGCGGGCGGGAGTTGGCCCGGGCCCTGGGCCCTCTGCATGGAGTACCACTCCCCCTGGCCTCCCTCAGGCTGGCCTACTGCTCTTCACTGAAGGTGAGCCCACCATCCTTGTCCTTTACTCTAGGGCTGGGAGCTGAGGGCCTGGGGTAGGGGAGGGGGATGACTAAGGGTTGGTAGTGAGAAGTGAACTTGGGATATAGTCTGGGAGGACAGAAGCCTCAGCAGATGCTGCGGTTATCGGCCACTCCTCCCCTAAGTCCCCATAGGGCCCAGGGAGAGGGAGGTCCAGCCCAAGGCCTCACATGCCAAGTACCCATTTGTTGACTGCTGCAGTCTGGGGAGGGGCACTGCTGGGGAGGCAGGGAGGCAGGAGGAAGGGGGTGCAGGAGGAGACTGGAGGGAGAGAGGCTCTGAAGGCAGCTCGAGGGTGGAACCTCAGGAGGTGGTGTGATGTGGGAACCACAGTCATTTCATAACCGAAGCCAGATCCTAAAATAGGGACCAGCCCTGTCCCTCTGGGCCGTGCCTGGTCAGTACGACCAGGGCATTCTCAGGCTAATGTCTAGCTCTCGACCTTGAAAGTGCCTCTCCTCCCACCCCCACTCCATCTTCTGTGTGTCGTAGCTGCTCTCTGGGCCCACATTCTTGTGCCTCTGTGGTACCCCTCTCTACAAACCAGCTGCCTCCACTGTGCGCATAGCTCCTGTTTCCCCGACTCCAACTTTCCCCTGCCATACCCTGCTGCAGCCTCATAGTTCTGGGTCAAGTTCTAGAGGGAACATATCTGATTGGCTCAGCAGGCCACCTCTGGTCCAATAAGCTCTGGTCAGAGGGCTGCCTCACTCCTCAGCAGGGGCAGGGGGGCGCAGGTGGGGCAGCTACCTTAGAAATTTCCATGCACACCCTTCCTCCCCCAACACCAGAGGCCCCGCCTTTGTCCTCCAGCAATCTCCCCCTGGTCTTTCACCGCCAGGGCCCACCATTTCCATTCTGACCTGTTGCTACCAGTACAGGGACCATGTTGCTCCCCCTCTTGGTCCTGTAGTATTTCCCTATTGCCTGTGGGGTTTGGGAAGCAGCCCCTGCCAGGCCTGCTGGCACAGGCACCGAGCTGCCATGCCATCCTCTGTCCTCTTCGCCCTCCTAGGATGCCTCCGTGTTCTCCATGATCCCAGTGCTGGGCCAGAGCCTCAGGGTACTTGACTTGTCCTCCTGCGTGGCCCTCACCAACCAGACCCTGCAGGCCATCTGCACCTACCTAACCCATCTCTCAGTCTTGCGCCTGGCTTGGTGCAAGGAACTCTGCGACTGGGGGCTTTTGGGGCTCAGAGAACCAAGTGAGGAGCCCACGCACATGCCCCAGGTGCAAGACTCTCAAGGTTGGGGGTGGAGATGGGTGGCCCCGGGTGGCCCCTGTCTCAACTGCCCTCCTGAGTCTTTCTCAAGGAGCATTTGAGAGGAAACTCGGGAAGAGCCTGAGCAGCGGGAGCTTCTGCCTACAGCCACGTCCCGAGCTGGAGCATCAGGACTCAGGCCCCAAGGAATCCTCTCTGCAGCCACGGGGCCCCTCCCTGCTCGTGCTGCAGGCCCTGCAGGAGTTGGACCTCACAGCCTGCAGCAAGCTGACCGATGCCAGTTTGGCCAAGGTGTGGAGCTGAGGATCCTGGGCCAATCCACATTTTGCCCAGAATTCTAAGAAGTCTTGAGTTCCTTTCTCACGAGCTTCTGCTGCTTATGGTCATTCCCCTGGCTTGGGGTGGAGGAACCTGGAAGGGCCCCAGGCGCTGATTCCAGGGCCAAACTGTACCCATGCCTTGTCACCCCATTTTTGCAGGTGCTCCAGTTCCCCCAGCTGAGGCAACTCTCCCTGAGCCTGCTGCCAGCACTCACAGACCTGGGCCTGGTAGCTGTGGCCAGGGGCTGCCCCAGCCTAGAGCGCCTAGCACTGAGTCACTGTGGCCGCCTCAGTGATGAGGGCTGGGCCCAGGCAGCCGGGTCCTGGCCAAGGCTGCAGCACCTCAACCTGTCCAGCTGCAGTCAGCTCACAGAGCAGTGAGTGTGTCCCATGAGGTGGAGCAGAGGGAGCCACGGAGCAGGGGCTGGGCTGGGGCCCCAGGCTGGGTCAGGCCCTTAGCCATTGGCTTCCTTACAGAACACTGGATACCATTGGGCAGGAGTGCAAGCAGCTTCGGGTGTTGGATGTGGCCATGTGCCCCAGTATCAACGTGGCCGCTGTCAGGCGCTTCCGAGACCGACTGCCAGAGGTGACCTGCGTCCAGTCCCGCTTTGTAGGAGGGGCAGACCTGACCCTAACACTCTGAGGTCAGGTCAATAACCAGCCGTGGCTCAGCCTCCTTTACCCTACTGTCCCCATCCCTGGCTTCTTGACCTAGTACCTCTTGCCTCCTGCTGCTGCTGCAGACCGTTTGACCAGGACCAGGGGTAGGACAAATCCAGGGCCTCCCTGGGAACTTCCTGCTCTAGGCTGCCCACAGCACAGAAGCATCTTCCTTCTAGCTGCGTCTCACAGCCTCAGGTCCCTGGAAGGGCCAGCTATGTTGCTGCCACAGGCCTCTGCACTCCTAGCCCTGTTTGCCTCGTTTGGGAGCCCAGGCCCCCGGTGGGCTGAGTCTGGTAACGGGGAGGAGCACAGCCATGCCTCTCGCCTGCCCAATTGTCAGACCTCAGGCCTGTGCACTGCCCTGTTCCTGTAGGCATTTTCCCAGCCCCTCATAAGCAATGAACTTTAGCAGTCACGCTTTGGTCTTTTGTAAAACCAGGCAAGATTAAAAATTCCAGACCTTACTTCCTTGTCTGAAGTTCTCAGACTAAAGGGCTCTTGCCCTCTGCACGTCAGTTGGAAGTGGCCCAGCCCAGGATGAGGGATCACATCAAGAGGGCCCACAGACAAGTTCTTCCTCACAGCGGGCCCAGAGCCCCACAGGCTGCCCCCTGACCTGACTCTCAGCCAGGTCTTAGCTTCTCCACATGGCAGGGGACATGGAAGGCCTCCCCCAGCACAAGTCCCGGACAGGCCCAGGAGTGACGGCTTGATGCCTGAGTCATGGAGGCTCCCTTGACTGGTGCCTCTAGGCTGCAAGCCATCCCTCTCTGTGAGCAACCCCCAGAATACCTGCCCCTCAACTGTGGCCATCCAGATTTGCTAAATCTGAAGGCAGAAGGGAAGACTGTCACTGTCATAGGCGTGGCCCACAAGGTTCAGAGCCGGCTCAGCGCACACCCAGGAGCCAAGCAGACTTTATTTCTGCTGCAGTTTCTGCTGGTCAGCGTGCCTGCATTTCTCTCCCCTCCACCCTTCATGGCTGCCATGGTGGTGGCAGCTGGGGCCCTTGCCCAACCTCACTGTCAAGGTTCAGTGACGCTGCAGTCATAGCAGAAGTTGAAGTTGGTGGGGGGCGGGGGTATGGGGGGTGGCTGCTCCGGGATAGGCACGTTCTCTAGCTCCAACAACCGTAGCTTGGTCTCCATGGTCAGTAGCTGCTCCAGGTCCAGCCGTGTCTGCTCACTGCCCATGGGGCTGCCCAGAAGGGCACTCAGCCCGTCTATCCAGAGGTGGAACTGGGGACCGAGCCAGCTCTGTGAGGGCCTGTCCACCTGTCCCCCCCCCCCCCCCCCCGCCCATCTGCCCAACTCAGCCTGGTCCAGACACTCACCTCCCGTTTGGAGGGGGCAATGAAGTTGAGGTAGGCCTCCTCCTCCCCACGGTCATAGCTGACTGAGAAAGCCAGCTCACAGAGGTCCTGGGGAAGCAAGGCAGTGGGCACTGAGCAGGGCAGGAGGCAGGCAGGGCCAGGTGGGAAGCAGCCCGGCCCCACCGCGCTCACCTTGTTCTGCTTCCCCGAGCCCTTCTCCCGGACATGGGGGCAGTCCCTGCCCGTCAGGAGTCCCCTGATGTCAGCCACAGGGACTGCGGGAAGAAGACAGGCTGATCACTGTGGCTGCACACGCCCCTGGGGACATGGGGCAGTCTGGGAAAGCAGCTGTCGGACCCCTGCCCCATCTTCCTTACGCTGCTCAGGCAGGCTCTCTGGGGGGGGTGGGCTGGTGCCCTCTTCCACGTCCCCATACTGCAGCACCTTGTGATTGGGGGAGAGGCAGCAGAACCACAGCTTGTCTGGAGAAAGGGGGGAGTGAGAGACGAATGAGAGGGGGCCTGACCCCCACTCAGCACCCCTCCCCCTCCTCTGCCCAGTCAGAGACCCTGGCGCCGCCGGCTGCTGATCTTGCGGAAAAGCGTCCCCTCGCAGAGGCGGAGCAAACGCTGCTGGCGGATCAGGCCCATGAGCTCTGGCTTCAGCTTCTCCCGTAGCTCCCTGGGGTGGAATGGGTGTCACTGACCAGAGTGACCTGGGGCAAGCAGAGGAGGTGGGTGCTGGGACGAGGGACCCGTCCCCACCGACTCACAGTATGGGAGGAGCCAGAGTGCCCTCCTGATGTAGCCGCTCCGTCTGCCGCAGCCGCAGCACCTCCCCGTAGGTGAGTGCGTTCACCTTAGTTCGGAAGAGCTCCAGGGAGGTGGGTTTCAGGGCCAGTGTGCGGGCTAGCTGCTCCCGCACCACCTGCATGACCTAGGGCCACCCCAAGTTCAGCTCAGGGCCTGAGCTCTGTGCCCCCACCCCGAACAGCCCCAACCCTGGCCTCTCAGCTTGCCCCCCAGTCACCTTGTCAAAGTCTTCCTGTGTAGCCCGCATCTCCTTCCAGGTCTTATTCAGCAGCTGGATGGCCACGCAGAAAAGCTCATGGAAGCTCTGGTCCTGGCCGAAGAACATGGGCGAGAAGTCCTGGGCTGTCTCAGAACCTGGAGCGGGGGGGCAGGAGGGGCTCAGGGAGAAAAGTGTGCAGCCCCTGGCCCTCTCTGCCCTTCCGTCCCTGTTTCCAGACTCACTGTGCCCAGTCCCACTCACAAGGCTCCCCAACACGGAGCAGCTCGCACAGTAGCACTGTCAGCTGGATGCTGCTCCGGGCGAAGGGGCACTCGTGTCTGTCCTCACGGCTGCTGTTCTCCAACACGAACTGCAGTGGCGGGAGCAGAGAACGGAGTAAAGTCAAGGCTGACCCCAAGGGGACCCTACCTAGGTGTGCATGCTGCCATCGGCGCCCTGCCCTCTCACTGACCCGGCTGTAGGCACTGGGTGCGTGTCTAGAGAAGTAGACCATGTTATCCAGGGCTAGGAGGCCAGGAGGCACACGCTCCAGATCTTGTGCTGGGTTGCTGTTCTGTGGGAGGGGACAGAGGCAGCTCAGGAGGGCCCCCACTCTCTGGAACCACAGCCCTGGCTGGGGAGGGTCACTCACGGTGAAGCCCAACTTGCGGAACTCCCGGGCACAGAGGGAACGACGACGGTCGGCACTCAGGGACTCCCCCTCTGGCTCAAAGGCCGCCTGGCGCAGGGCCTGCAGCTGTTCCCGCTGCTCCTGGGGTCATCGTTGGAGGAAGGGTCAAGATCACAGATTTAAGGCCAAGCTGCAAGCAGCCTCAAGCCTTGTACCTCGCTGAACACACACACCTGGCTGTAGGGGTCGAGTGGCGTGCGCATGCGCGGCTCCAGCAGCCCCAGCGTGAGGGCCTGCAGCACGTACAAGTGATGAGCCATCTCGTCACCTAGTGGCACTGCACTGTGGATGATGTTCTGGAGAACAGCCAGGCCGGGAGAGTGAGTGTGGGCCCACCAGGATGGGAGGGTGGGGAGGGGTCTCCCTGGTCTGCCCTTCCTACCTTGTAGATGAACTGGCGGAAGTTTCTCTGCCACAGGTAGTCCAGCATGTGCTAAGGGGAATGGGAAGGGGGCACAGTTGATTTAGCCCCAGAGTGGAATACAGTGCCCACCAGCGGCTGCCCTCCACCTGGCTGGCGATGGACACTCACTTTCCGTTCAGCTGGGCTGGCCCCCTGCAGCAAAGCTGTCAGCAGTGCCATGGCCTTGGTTTGCAGCTGCTGGTTCATCCTGTGGTGAGACAAGGGGAGAGTCCAGCCAAATATGCCAGGTCTGGCCCCTGCCCTCCTCTGGCCCCTGCTCTGAGACTTACACCTGCAGGTGCACCAGCAGCCTATCCAGTGGCACCTCACTCTTGACCAGCTGGCCCAGGGCAGGGCTGCTCAGAGTCACACTCTCCAGCAGCCGAAGGGCCAGAGGCTGCACCGAGGCATCCATCAAGTTAATGTTCACATAGCTTACCACCTGGGGGGAGGGGTGGCACCACCATGGAAGGCCAGATCCTGGCTCTCCCCCCACCACCTCCACCTGCTGCCCCCAGAAAAGCCCACCCACCTTCCTGACAAAGGGGATGCTGAGCGTCTCCCAGGACACCACGCCGTGCTCCATGAGCTCCAGGAAGGCCCTCAGCCCAAGGGCCAGCACCTCTCCTAGGCTGGAGGGACAGCTGGGACTGAGCAGGATCAGGCCAGGACCCCCAAGCCCCACCAGGTCCCTCAGCCCACCACAGCCCTGTGCTCACTCGTCCCCATCCTCAATGATGGTGCCTACTCTCTGAAGCCCGTCACGACTGATGACCTCTTGGGCAAAGGTCATGTCTGAGGCCAGCAAGACGAGGTGCCTCAGTGCTTCCCGGCGCCCTTCACGACTCCCACTCTGCAGCCCACCCAAGAGCCGCTCAGCCTCAAGGTCCTGGCAGGGGCAGGAGCAGAACAGAGGTAAGGATGGGAAGGGAAGTGTGGGGACCTGGGCGTCCACTAGGCGGGGCACTGCTGGGCAGAGGCCAGAGGCCCAGCAGAGGGGCAGGCAAGGAGAGGGTGGGCCAGGAGGGGCATTACTGGGGCAGTGCTGAGACACAGAATGCTGCCATTCTTGATCTCCGTGCGGTTCTGCAGAAGACAGCAGAAAGGGAGGCAAAGTCAGGGGTGATGGACAGCCAGGCAGGTTGTCAGGGAGGATTTGGGGGTCAGTAAAAGATCACATTCCAGGTAGGGGAGGAGTCCAGGAACCGCCCCGTGGGCTCCAGGGGTCACAGGATGTAGAGTAGGGGCTGGGGGAGAGGGGACTCACATTCTCGGTGATGTACTTCCTGTGCCCATCAGCAAACTGCAGGGCATAGCGCTCAGAGTGAGTCAGGCTCCACCTGCAACCGCTGAGGCTCAGTGAGGCAGGTAGGGGCACCTCCTCCCTGTGCCCTTCCCCCACCCCTGGCCTGGCCCGCACTCACGCGTCGCACACCTCCTTCAGCACAGCGCCAAGGGGCTTCGCCTGCAAGTGGAGCAGTCACTCACAGGGCCCAAGAGTGGAGAAGAGGGAGGGAGGAGGTGGGCTACTAGAAGAGGGAAGGTTGGGGTGGGCTACTAGGAAAAAAGGGGGGCAACCCGCAGTTGGGCAGTAGTGGGGACAGGCGGGACAGGCCGAGTGACCTGGTCCAACTGGATGAGCTGCGGGACGGCGTCACGCATCTGGACGGCGATCTTCACCACGTTCCGCGGGGGCGCCATGGTCCAGCCAGGGTGTGGGCGCCTGCCCTGTCCACAGACCGTGTAAAGTGCCACTGATGGCGCACGTGGCCTGCGGCCCCAGGGAGCAAAGAGTACAGCCCTCTGTCGCGACCCGGCCCCGGTGGTCCGCACTCACGGCTCAGGCCCCTTCTCCTGGAGAAGCGCCGCGGCCTTCCCAAAGGAGCCGCGGGTAGTTCCGGGTTGGAGTACGGGGTAGGACGGCGCCTGCCCTGCCCCGCCCCGCCGAGGTGGCCCCGCCCCTCTCCAAGGTGCAGCAGGTCGGGGCGGGGCGGGCAGGCCTGCAGGCACCTCCCCTGCCTCCCGCCGCAGCAAGGCGACCCATCCAGTCCCACCACCAATCCAGCCTAGTTCCAGAGAAGGGTCCCAAAAGAACCAGGTCAGAAATAGCCTTAGGCATGGTCTTTATTCACTTGGACACTGTACAAATATTACAATTTCCTTTTGCTGCAAAAAGTATAAAAATAATCTTTATATAGGAATCCATTCGTCACTGTAAATCTTTCTAAATCTCTGCAAATGGCTCTAAATGAGGGAAAATGAATAAATGGAAGTGAAGGGGAGGCTATGGGACAGCAGGAGGTTGGGCCAATCCTCAGGGACCTACCCACTCAGACTCCTAGCAAGAGACCTCTGTTCCTTCTCGTTAGCACCCCCACCCTCACCTGCAGCTTCTCAGGGCTAGGGCTTGGGGCCCAGCAGGAAGGGGGCATGTAAGAGGTCCACGAGGAGCTGGGGGGTCAGGGCAGGAAGCAGCAGAGGAAGCTGGGAGTGGTGCTGGTATCCAGTTCCACCCCTGCTTCCCTCCTAGGGGGGAGGGGCTGGACAAGGTGCCCTGGGGGAGGGGAAGGCAGGCCTGCGCCACTGGGTGGCAGTGGAGCCTGGGCTCGGGAAGGCTCCAAGAAAGGACAGGTGAGCACTTTGGCTCCACGGTGGAGGGGGCAGAGCCCCTTTCTCCTGCTCTGTAGCACAGTACAAGTGCCAATACAAGAGTGGGAGTTGTGGCCAAAACCGCAGTGAGGGCGGGCTGGGAAGCCAGGCGTCTGTGGCTCTCAAGCTATGCAGGGGTGGGGGGAGGGGGTCCCCAGGTCAGAGAGTCTGGGTCCCAGCCACACACAGCATGTCCCTTGTCAGTCAGAGGTTGAGAACAGGCACATCAAAGAGGTCACAGACACCTTCACTCTCGTCCAGGTTGTAGATGTAATCGTGGTCTCCAGGGGGCGGAGAAAGACGGAGGAGGGGGGCAAACACTGCAGAGAGCACTAGGCTGAGGCCCTGGGCCAAGGCCCCACCCAGCAGCTGCCCAACCCTCCACCCACACCCACACCCACCTTCCAAGCCACCCACCTTCTGAGGACATCAACTCCTCCAGCAGCTCTGAGCTCATGCACTCTGGGAATGGAGAGAGAGCTCAGTTATACTCTGGCTCCGGGCTCCGGCCTCTCCACGCACCAAAGCCCTTGAGTGGGACCCCCACTAACTCATCTGAAGCTTTATACCCTTCGCCCTTAGTGCTTGGTACTAAGAAAGGCAAGAAAACAGCCCAGAGGACCCTCACCCCCAGCCCCAGGCAGGAGGTAGCCTACCTCGTGTGGGATCGAAGATCTCTGACAGCTCTTTAGGGAGTTCCAGAACTGAAAGACAAGGCCATGCTCAAGGCACAGTGGGCCAGCCTGGTCTCACTGTACCCCCCAGCCTGGGGCTCCACACATCTGAAGAGACGCAGCTCTGCCCCAGGCCAAGCTGGCACTATCTGATGCTTCCCCTGCTGAACCCCAGTTCCTCAGTGCTGAGCCCAAGGCACCAAAGGCACACTGCAGGTGACCAGTACATCCTTGCTAACTCAGGCACTGCTAACCGGCAGCAGACGCCTCCTCCTTTCTGGTTCAGCGTGCACACCCTGCCTGACAGAAGAGGACCCACCCACGCCCACCCTTGCCGCCTGTCAGGCTCAGAGACCACACTCTGGATCAGGTCACCTGGCAGGGGCAGAGGTGGAGATTTCAAAAGGGGCTGTACTACAGGGTGACGACTCTATTCTAACTCTCTGACAGGACGTACGCAGGAAGCAGAAAACGAAACGGGAGAAGACCAAGGAGAGGCTTCAGAGGTAAGGCTCAGAAACTCGAAAGTCTATCCATGGGCCTTGGGGAGCCATTAAAGGTACTTTTGTAAAAGGAGATGCCACATCCAGCTTGCATTTCAGAAGGAACCTTCTACCAGTTGGGGTAGAGAGAAGGATGCTGAAGAATCCAAGTGGCCAAGAGTCATCCTGAGTGTGAGGAAGTGAGAGGGATGGAAGGAGACGGCTGGGCCAGACCGCGCCGAGCTGGCCTGGGGTGGGCCACAGAAGGCAGAAGAGAAGAGGGAGGGAGATGAACTGACAGGCAGGCGTCAGGCCTGGATGACGAGCCAATGGGAGGATGTGCACAGAGGTGGAAAAGCAAGTTTCAGGAGGGAAGTGAAGTCAGTCGGGGCCACATGAGAATGAAGCATCCGTTAGATGTGCAGGCACTGGCAGGCGGACAGAGGTGTGATCAGGAACACAGAGGCTGCGGGCTCACCTACCCAGAGCTGGAGTGGGACAGTGGCCTGGGGAGCACCAGGAGCTCCAGGGGAAGAGCCAAGGGTGGGGGGAGGAGGGCGCCCACGGGGGCAGGAGCACCGCAGCTCTGCAGCCTGAGGGGGACGGGGCACCAAGGGAGGGGCGGGCAGAGAATCACTTTTTCAAGGAGCCCAGGCAGAGAGGACACAGGGAAGGTGAGGGGGGACACAGAGGAGCAAGAGTCAAGAATGAGGTCAGAATTAGGGAGTTCCAAGGGGCAGCAACAGGGCTTGAGGGTCAGGGTTAGTCCTGGAGGGACAAAAAGGACACCACTCTGACCACCAGACACAGGCAGGGGCTGACAGGAGAGCTGAGCTGTAGCCCTAGTGCTCTGAGCGATTCAGGGCTGCACAGGCGTCTGGGGGGCCCAGGTGGGCAGATACTCACCGCCTGTGGGGTCTGCCTTGATAGGCTCAAAGGAGGTAGAAGGGTTGAGTGCGGACGAACTGCTGGTGCTGCTGGTGCTGCTGCTGCTGCTGCTGTCCAGCAGGGCAGAGGACTGTAGTGGCCGGGTGTCCAGCGTCGTCGGGCCCAGGGGGAGGGAGCTGAGCTCACCACTGTCCTTGCTCTCAGTTCCAGGGCCACCACTCACTGCAACCACATTCCCAGGAAGCGGTCACTGAGCTTGGCTGTGCCAGACTCCATGGCCAGGATGACCACAGTCCTGGTTCCCAGACCCAAGGAGAATCAGGCACTGGCAGTCACCCCAGAAAAGGTAACGTGGAAACGAGTCACTGAAGGAGACACGGGCACAAGGCCCATAGGAGGGAGATATCCCTTCAGTCAGCACTTGCCTACCCCACAAGGCCAGAAAAAGGCCAGTTCCCCTGCCATGTCTCTTCCCACTCTGTGGACGGCACTCCACACAGAAGCACTGCCCCGGGCCCCCAAAGGTGCCTGTTGTGTCTCACCTGTGATCTCAGCTGCTGGGTCGGCCACCCCCTGAATGTCGGTGCTGCCCGAGACAGGGGCAGGGGCGGTCAGCTGGGGACTGCTTGGCCGTGAGGCTTCCTGGGGCTGGGCTGGGGCAGGCTTGGGCAGAGGCGGAGGGGTAGAAAGAGCAGGTGGACTCTGGAGCAGATCTTCAGGTGGCGGCACGGGCACAGCCACGGGTGGGGAGCTCCACGCCTCCTTATTCACTAGCAGTACCTCGATGGGGCCACTCACACTCTTCAAGTGAATCTGGTACTTCTTCTGCCCATTGAGACCCTGGAGGTGGGTGGGAAGGGATGCAAGAGCAGCGCTGGAGGCAGGGCTGGTTCCGCCCTGCCCTTGGGTCAGGGCCACAGTGTCCTCTCCCATCCAGGCTGCCCATCTTCCTAGATAACCCCAAAGCCTGGGCCTCCCCCTGCCCGCCCCACCCGGGACTTATCAGGCTCCACAGCCAGCACCCGCCCTCAATCAACCCTGCCTGCCTGGGCTGTGTACCCACCTCTGGGATGGGCACCTCCAGGCTGGTGCCCGACGGGGCTCGGATGGCCAGGAGGGTGTCTCCTGGAATGACAAGGAGTCTAAGTCAGGGCTCAGGAGCTCAATCTGAGTTGGAAATGGAGGTATCTACCCCTTGGAGGGAAGCAGATCATGGTGTCTGAGGGACGGGGAGTTTGCTTCATCCACAGTGGCTGGGACAGAACTAAAGCTTTGCTCTCCCTGAGGGCCCAGGGTCAGTAACGAGGAAACCTAGGTTCCAACGCGTGAAGTGACAGACTGCCGGTCACGGGCACCTCACTTGTCCATGGATGGGGCTGACCGCTAAGTACGGGTGTTACGGCCAAGGAAAGCCCCTGTTCCAGGACTAGCCCGAGAGATACCAGAGGGAGAAAGAGCTAGACTGACTGCAGTATGAAACACGCGTGCAAGAGTGTGCACAGCTGTACACGCACGGAGACGCTCCACTCCCTGTGCCTCTGTCACGCCCGAGAAGCCAAACCCAGGGACAACACAGACGCCAGCATGAGCAGGGAGCCAAGCCAAGCTTCTTGTCCGCGCAGAGCAGGCCTCCGAGTGCCGGGGCCCTCAAACTGCAGACTTACCCTGCCTGGTTTCTCTCTGGGCAGGCCCAGGAACCCTCTTGAGACAGAACTCTCCTTGGGCACTGAGCACAGCCCAGCCCCGGCCCCCTCTCCCCAGCCCAGGCTCCACTCACCAGCAAAGCATCTGCAGATGTCCTCATGAGTCACGTAGGCCAAGGTGTGGGGGTTAAGGAAAGCGGCTGCGGACTACAGGAAAGACTCGCCCTTTAGCAAAGCTCTGACACACAAGCCCGGGGGAAAAGCGCTGGGGCCTGGGGTCCACAGCCACGACTGCATGGGGGGGCTCGAAGAGGGAGTCTGCGGCTGGGACCTGGCCAGAGGCTGCGGGACCACCTCCCCAAGAGGAACAGGCCCAGGGCACTGCAGGGCGAAGCCAGCCAGACCGGGAGGATATCAGCTGTTCTGCACGTCCTCCGTGACGTTCCGGATGCTCTGCTGCACCCACACCTTGTGCTGGTCCAGCTCCTGCTCCCGCTGCTGCAGCTCCTCGATCTCTGCCTTGAGCTCGATCAGCTTGTCGGCAATCTCCCGGGTGTTGCAGCCAGGCCCCACGCCCCTGTGCCCGGGAGAGGGGCTGAGCGCAGCGCCGGCCACTCGGGGCCCCGGGTCCCTCTGCTCCTTCCACCCCACGCCCCTGAGCCCGGGAACGGGGCTGAGCGCAGCGCCGGCCACTCGGGGCCCCGGGTCCCTCTGCTCCCTCCACCCACGCCCCTGAGCCCGGGAACGGGGCTGAGCGCAGCGCCGGCCACTCGGGGCCCCGGGTCCCTGCTGCTCCCTCCACCGCATGCCCCTGATCCTCCGGGGCAGGAGACCCTACTGCCCTCCCAGACACCCCCACTCACTTCCACTGGATGCTGTTCTTGGATTTCTTCTCAATCAGCCCAATACCTTCCAACACGTTGGTAATGTCATAAATCCGCCGCTTCTGGCGCACAGCTAGGGTGTCAGCTGCCTGGCAGACAGAACAGAGAACGCTCAGTCCTCACCGCAGGTGTAACCCCAGCTACGCCGGATTTGGGCTGTGGGGGGGGCCGGGTCCCAGGCCTATCATGCCTCCCAAGCACTACAGCGGCTCAGGGGCGCGAGCTGGAAAGAGATCCGGCACGACAACGAAGCAAAGTCCTAATGCTCTTCTCCCCCACGCCGGCCAGGGAGGCCACGAGGACCAGCACCTGCAGCCCCGAGCACGGCCCAGTGGCCCCCGGCTGAATGAATGAAACAGCGAGAAGGCACACGGATGGCAGCCGGCACTCGCAGGACTCAGGGAGGCCGCCCCGGGGGTTCCCGCTACCGACTCCGGCCTGGTCCACCATCCCCCCTGTCGCCCTGGAGCCCGGGCCACACCAGCTTGAGGTCAAGCACGCCGTCCTTGGCCTCCTGCAGAAGTGACACGAACTTGGTGGTAAGAAGCCCCAGGCTCTTCTCATGCCGGCTTGGGGTGCCCGGGGGCGGCGGCGCCTGCGGCCCGGCCTCCGCCATCGCGCCCGCCCGCCGCCTCCCCTCAGCCAGGCCAGGCCAGGCCGGCGCCGCCGCCACTTCCGCTTCCGTTCCTGGCCACCCGGCCGCCGGAGCTAGCGTCGCTACTTCCGCTTCCGCCTCACGCCCTTCCAGGGCATCTGTCGCAATTCCTGTCTACGGACACGGACGCAAAACTTCGGGGACCATCAACAAATATCCAGCCGCCCAAGAAGACGAAAACAACCCTGTGTTTCAGGGAGAATGGACCAACAAGCTGGGGACGATGTGGTGGAGGTCGCGCAGTCCCGGCGGTAGAGAATGGGAAGCTACTGGAACCTTCCTTGCCAACGTGCCCCAACACCACTAATTCCCAAGATGGGGGAAAGTATACCACACCACCTGATAAACCCAGCCTGTTCCTCCCAACCTGATTCTCAATGGCTCAAGTCCTTGGGTCCCTGCCACCCACGTGGGAGTCCCTTATGGAATTGCTGGCTCCTGGCTTCATTCTGGCCCAGGCTGGCTGTTGTGGGCATTTGGGGGAGTAAACCAGCGGATGCAAGTCTCTGTTTCTCTCTCCCTCTGCCTTCAAAATAAAATGAAAATAAGTAAAATAGTTTTTAAAAAATTAACAAACTTGCTGCTAAAGGCTGCTCCAGTGTCCTGGTCCCACAGCAGGCACTCACTACACCTAGTTTTGTCTGTGTCTCCCCATCCCCACCCCCTTCCCTGGTCCCAACATCATCCTGCTCTTAGCTCCACACTACAGCGCTCAGAGGCCTTGGGACCAGAGTCACTTCTCAGACAAGGCGGAGGTGTCACTCATCTCTCCCGTAAGTAAAGTCCCGCAGCAGCACCTGGCGAGAGGGAGGCATTGGGTACCTGCCCCTGTCGCTTTATGACTTTACCGTTGCTGCAAGGTTCTCTGGGAAACAGCCTTTGGGACAGGGATTTCCCTGACTGTGAGGGCCCCACACTGAGACAAGCACAGCTAGGCAGAGGTAGTTACAGCAGAGGCTTCAGCCCACCTCCCCTTCTGGGGTGCCTCCTCCCAGGGGTGGGGTCGCCCAGGTCTGCCCACTCCAATATTGGCTAAGAGCAGCAGCGGCAGCAGCGGGCACTCCTGCTGGCCGGGCGAATGGGGACCTCTGGCCTGAACTCCTGGACGGTGGGTTTGGCTCGTGCGCTGAATGTCCACCCGCTATCAATGCCCTGTAGTCTCCTCCTGGCTTCCTGTGCTTCTCAAGGTGGACAGCTTTGAGGGCCCTGTCCTGCTCTCACCCACCAGGCCCCCACACCCAGCACCTGCCCCTCTCACCCTCTACAGAAGCACACCCTTCCTCCCTTCCTCTGAGGGGCCCATCAGCTGTTTGCTTTTTCTTTCTTTCTTTCTTTCTTTCTTTCTTTCTTTCTTTCTTTCTTTCTTTCTTTCTTTCTTTTTAAAGATTTATTTATTTATTTGAAAGGTAGAATTACAGTGAGAGAGGGAGAGAGAGAAAGAGAGAGAGATCTCCCATCTGCTGGTTCACTCTCCAAATGGCTGCAAGCCAGGAGCCTGGAGCTTCATCCAGCTCTCCGAGGTGGGTGGCAGGGGCCCAGGCACTTGAGCCATCTTCTGAGACTTACCAGGCGCCTGAGCAGGCAGCTGGATCAGAAGTGGGGCAGCCTCCATGGGATGCAGGCTACGCAGCAATGCCAGGCCCCAGCTGTGATGTTTGCTTCCGTCTGCACACGTCACCCTTAGCCCCGGGGGACGTATCTGTGCCCTGAGCACTCAGAGGTCCCGGGTGGTCTGGGCGATACTTGAGGAAGGACCCCAGGGAGTACACTCCCTCCCCCACCCCTCAGGGAAGTGGCACCCAGCCCGCCCCCCCCCCCCCAGTCCAGATGCTTTTTCCTGTTGGGAATAAAGTGCCAGAGACTCGGCTTCCTTCCTTTCTGCCTTGGGGAGGGAGGGGCTTGGTGGGAGGAAGGGGATTCTGGGCTGAGAAGTGGGAGAGAAGCTTCCTCGGGGAGAGGAATTCTGCTACGTGCCCGGGTGGCTCTGAGTGCCCGGCTCAGCTGGGGGAGACGGCCGTTCTCAAGGCCAAGGCTGTTTGCAGAAGAGGGAGAACTGGATGCTTGCTCAAGTCTGGTAAGTTCTCCAGCAAACCGTCCTTGGGATCTCAGAGCAGGAACAGGGTTCAGCGGAGATCTGAGCCCACCCGCCTCCCTCGGCACCACTGAGAAACCCAGCGGGCGGAGGCCTCCCAGGTGCCTCCCCATCACACACGCCTCCCTCTTGTCTCCTGAGGGGGCAGGGCAAGAACCTTCCTCGTTCTCCCCAGAGGGGCCTAGACAGAGGCAGCAGCTCTGAGGAGCACCCACTCTGCCTGCTCTACCCCACACCCTTGCGCCTCCTCCCAGCTCAGCTCGGGCTCCTCCAGGCCTTCCATGGACTCAGTGGCCAAGGACCAAATGCAGCCAGTCCTTCCCCCAGGTATGAGCCCTGCTCGGTGGACAAGGGGGGTAGGGGGCGTGGTGGGGATGATGGGGTTGAGTCCTCCCTGACAGCTCTGGTTAGAGCTCCATAGGGCAGTGAGGGGTGCGCAGTCCTGGGGGCGGGCTGAGGAGCAGGTTCAGCGACCGCTTCCCGCCGGCCCTCCCTAACTGACTCAGCTGTCCAGGCTCTTCCTGCCCGGGGCCTGAGTGGCCGGAGCAGGAGAGGGCGGAACAGCTGGCCCGGGGAGCGGCACTCAAGTGGGCCTCCGGCATCTTCTACCGGCCGGAGCAGCTGGCCAGGCTGGGCCAGTACCGTAGCCGCGAGATGCAGCGCACCTGCTCCCTGGAAGCACGAATTAAGGTGGGCAGGGCGGGAGGGTAGCGGTGCTAGGGGTGGGCTGTGGGGCTGGCCAGGCCTCACTGACACCTGTCCACAGTCGGCGGTACAGTCATACCTGGAAGGTGTGCAGACTGGCATGTGGCAGCTGAGGCGGGCCCTTGAGGCTGTGCAGGGGACACGGGAGGCCCTGAGCCAGGCACACGGGTTGCTCCAGGACATGGCCCAAGCCTCACGGACCCTCGAGCCCCTGCGGGAGCAGGTTTCCCTGCACAAGCAACTGCAGGTCGTGTCTCAGTTGCTGCCCCGGCTGCAGGCAGGTGAGTGTACAGGAACCCCGGGTTGGTCCATGTACACCCAACATTGATCAAGGCTCTGGGGCTCTGGGGAAGAGACGGTATGCAGAGACCAACCAGGCACCTCCCAGAGAGTAACCCAGGCTTCAGATGGCCCAGGAAGCAGGCCAGAGTCAGCCTCTCCCAGGGTGGTCAAGCACAGGATAGTTGAGCAGGACAAATACCCAGTCAGGAGGCTCTGTGTTTTGTTTTTAAAGATTGATTTATTTATTTGAAAGGCAGGGTTACAGAGAGGCAGAGGCAGAGAGAAAGAAAGAGAGAAAGAGAGAGAGAGAGAGAGAGAGAGAGAGAGAGAGAATATCTTCCATCTCCAAAAGGCTACAATGCTAGGCTACAATGTCTGGAACTCCATCTGGGTCTCCCACATGGCTGGCAGGGACTCGAGTCCTTGGGTCATCTTCTGCTGCTTTCCCAGGCACATTAACAGGGAGCTGGATGGAAAGTAGAGCAGCCGGGACTCAAACCAGTGCCCATATGGGACACTGGCATTAGAAGCGGCAGCTTACTCCACTGCGCCACAATGCTGGGCCCGCCCTGGTTGTTAATATATACTTCCCTAACAGGATGGGTGACGAGCCGCCAGCATGGCTTCTGAGTTCCTCCTGACTTCCCTTTAGGACCCTCAACTTCTCTGTGTTCCCTTAGCTGGAGGATGGACACCTGATCCATATGGTCTCCAGAACTTTCCCTGGATCTTTTCAGATTGGCTGACACTTTACTGTACTGAAATAAATGAAATATTTTTATGGATTTATGTATTTGAAAGGCAGAGTAAGAGAGGGAGAGGGAGAGAGCGAGCTTTCATCTGCTGATCCACTCCCCAAATGGTGCAACAGCTGGTGCTGGACCAGGCGGAAGCCAAGAGCCAGGAGCTCTCCCATATGGATGACAGGGACTCAAATACTTGAGCCTTCATCTGCAGCTTTCCAGGCTCATTAGCAGGGAGCCGGATGGGAAACAGCACGCAGGCCTTCACTCTGATATGTGATTCAGGTGTCCCAAGCGGCAGCCGGAGCCTCTGCACCAGAGGGCTAGCCCCTGGTTTTGAACTATTTTGTACACAGTCCCTGGCTTAGGACCTCAGTGTCATGTCACACGCACCGCACAGGGAGGCCTGAACCCCGGGGCTGTCTCGTTTTCTCTCTCATCAGTGCCAGCGGCCGTGGTCCACACCCAGAGCCTGATTGATGCCCAACGACTCTTGGAGGCATATGTGAGCCTGCGGGAGCTGGAGCAGCTGCAGGAGGAGACGCGGGCATCCCTGGGAGGCCTGGAGTTCCCCATCTTCCAGGGGCTGGGCCTCTTGGCGGAGGCCCTGGGCCAGGCTGTGGAGGCAGCTGCAGGGGCTGCAGGGCAGCTGGCGCGGGAGAACCCAGCCCTGCTGGTGGCAGCCGTGCGTGTAGCAGAGGTGGAGGCTGGGCGTGTACCCGGCACGGGGCAGGCCCCTCGGGACTGGAGGCAGCGCTTTCTGCGGGCACTACAGGAGGGCCTGCAGCAGACCCATTTTGCACCGCCTCTGCTACCTGGGCCAGGGGCCCTAGCAGGGTGGCTGGAGGCTCTGCGGGTAGCCCTGCCTGCAGAGCTGGCCACAGCGGAGGCGCTGGTCGCACCCTGCTGCCCGCCACACTACAACGTGGTCCAGCTGTGGGCCCACACCCTGCACGGCGGCCTGCGCCACTGCCTGCAGCAACTCCTTGCAGGGCCTGTGCTGGGAGCTGCCGACGCCTTCGCCTTGCTGCACTGGGCACTGCACGTGTACCTGGGGTCAGTGCCCCTGTGGCTGTGGGAAGTGGGGAGATCCGAGGCTGGGGGCTCAGCATGATGCCGAGCCACCGGTCTCCAGACAGGAGATGATGGGGGGCCTGGAGCTGGGACCTGAGGCTGACGTGTCCCGGCTGGAGCCCCTGCTGACCTTGGAGGACATCGAGCAGTTGGAGGCGACGTTTGTGGCCCAAGTTCAGGTAAGTAGTTGTGGATCCAGAGGAAGTGCCCAGTAGCCTTGGGCCTCTCTCTGTAGAGCTGAGTGTCTGTGCCCTGCCACCCCCTGTTGTCCCTCACCCCTTCCCCCAGGCAAATGTAATCCAGTGGCTGCAGAAGGCGCTGGATGGGGAGGTAGCTGAGTGGCACCGGGAGCAGGAGCCCAACACAGACCTGGCTGGCTTTTACCACTCACCAATGCCAGCCATCGTGCTGCAGGTGGGTAGGAGGCAGCCAGGGCCAGGGGCAAGGGGGCAGGGCGAGGAGCGTTGCTGATGGCGGCCTTCCCTGCCCGTAGATCCTGGATGAGAACATTCGCGTGAGCAGCCTGGTCAGCGAGTCTCTGCAGCGGCGGGTGCACAGCATGGCGCTGTCAGAACTGGGCGTGTTCCTAAGGAGGTCTGCCCAGTCCTGCCCTTTGCCCCAGGGGGTCCACAGGGGCTCAGAGTGTTGGCAAAAAAGGACTTGGGCGTTGTGGAGGAGGGGCAGGAGTCCCCAGGCCTGGGGTTGTGGGGGGCACAGTAGCAGCAGCCAGCACCGAAGCCACTCCGTCCTTTGCAGCTTCAGCGACGCTCTCATCCGGTTCTCCAGAGACCACCTCAGGGGGGAAGCCACCGCCCCTCAGTACGTGTCCTACCTCCTGGCTGCCCTCAACCACCAATCAGCACTCAGGTACCAAAAGGCCCCTCCCACCCCCTACTGAGTACCTACTACTGTGGACCCAGCCCGCTCCTGGCCACCCAGAACTTTACATTCACGGAACTCTGGGGTGCCAGTCCTAGTTCTGCTAATTATGAGCTGTGTGACCTTGGGTGGGTTACCTAACCTCTCTGAGTCTCACTTTTCTCGCGAGTATTCTGTGGGCAACAAAGGAATGTTCTGAGAATCACACGAGATAGTGGATGTGACGTCTGTACCCCAGACCCTGGGATGGGTGCCAATTATTCATTTATCCGCTCAGCAAATATTTATCAAAGCCCCCACTCGGTGCCAAGTAGTGTCTAGGGTCACAGCTGTGCGCAAAACCAAAAATTCTCTTCCTCTTGGATGAGGGCATGGAGCACAGGCGATAATGGTTTTTTATTCCCTCCTGGCTGAGATGAACTCCCTCCCCCGACGGACAAGGAAACAGAAATCTAAAGAGTAACTTGTTCAAGGCCACACAGAGGCAGGTTCCGCTGGGCTGTGTCCCTTCTTCTAGGTCACAGAGAGCCCTCCGCCCCCGCCCCCAGCTTTAATCCGCATCTCAAGACTTTCCCAGGAGTGGGAACAGCCACACACTCCTGCCACGAGGTGGCGCCCGAGAGGCCGGACTGCGGAGGGCCGTGCGGGCCTTGGCCTTGGTCCTGAAGCGAATTTTTGGTCTGTCCAGCTCCTCGGTGTCGGTGCTACAGCCCGACGGGGCGGCTCCGGGAGCCTTGGCTCCGGTAGAAGCCGCGCTGGACGAGCTGCAGAGGAGGATCTGTCGCCTGGTGTTGGAGGCGCTGTTGGTGGAGCTCCAGGTGAGGCTCCCTTGGGGTCTCGGGATGAGGTTGGCAGTGAAGAAACAGCGTAGGTGCGTGGTTCTCTGCGGGGAGTGCCTGGGTCTGGGTCATTTTTCCAGCCCCACCTCCGCCCCCCGCCCCCCGCAGCCCCTGTTCGCGGCTCTGCCCTCGCGCCAGTGGCTGTCGAGCTCGGAGCTGCTGGACGGCGTGTGTGAGCGCACGGCGCACTTCTGCCGGGACTTCTGGCGCGTGCGGAACCCAGCGGTGCAGGTGCGTCGGGGGAGAAAAGTGGGACAGGGGCATCGCGCAGGAGAAAGGTGACCTGCACCCACGCGATCGCCTTGCCCGCAGCAGCTGCTGGCCGAGGTGGAGCGCGCCGTGGTGCTGCAGTACCTGCGCGCGCTAATGCAGGGCCGCCTCGTGTGCCGCGGCGCCGAACAGCGGGCCCAGGCGGCCGAACGCCTGCAGCACGACGCCGCCCAGCTCCGCGAGCTGTTCCTGGGTCTGGTAAGAGCTTGTGGGGCGGGCGGAGGGGCCGGGGGCCGAGGGCCAGGGCCGAACCCTATGCCGACGTGCGCAGGGCCTGGAGGAGAGCGCGCACTGCGCGCCGGTGCTGCTCGCGCTGAGGGAGCTGCTGAGCCTCCGCGACCCCGCACTACTCGGCCTCGAGGTGGCTGGCCTGCGGCAGCAATTTCCCGACGTGAGGTGCGGGGGCGGCGGGCGGGGAGGGAGGAGGCGCTCAGGGTGGGGTGGGGGGACCGGGTGGGGCTGACGCACCTTCCCGGCGCCCCCGCAGCGAGGACCACGTCTCTGCCCTCTTGGATCTGCGCGGGGACGTCTCCCGGGAGCAGCGCCAGGCCGCGCTCAGCTCCCTGCAGGCGGGCCCGCCGCCCTCGCCCCCCACGGGCCGCCGGGCCCTCTTCAGCCTCGTGCCAGCGCCCACGCCCTCCGCATCTTCCTGCCTCCCCTCGGGGCCCTGCGCCTGACGCCGCTGGTCAGCCTGCAGAATAAAGAAATCCATGCCCCCTCCCCCGTATGCCTGCAATCTGTGTTGGGGAAGTGGGGAGCAAATACAGGTGCCCGCTGGGGTTAGGGTGTCCACGTCTGAGGTGTCCTGGCTCCAGTCCTCGCACGCCGGAGCGCCGCGTGGGCTCAGACTCCGCTCCTCCGTGTGGGTCCCACCCCCGCGCCGCCGCGCGGAGACGGTGGGCCAGGGGCTCGGCGGCCCTGGACTCCGCCCCCGAGCCCCGCCAGGCTCCACCCGCGGTGGTCTCGGGCGCGCGCTGGCGCGCAGTCTGACGCGAACCCACTCGCCTTCGTAAGAGCGCGCGCGCGCCCGAGTGTGTGCGTCGCCTGCGTCGGCTCCCGCGGGCTGGGCGGCGAGCGGCCGGCGTTGAGAAGCGGAACGGCGGGCGGCCCGAGGCGAAGCGAACAGGTGGGGGCGCGGCACGCGGACAGAACCCCCAGGAAAGGCCAAGACAATGCGCGGCGCGCTACCCCTCCTCCTCTACCGGAGAAGCCCCTCGCCATTGTCTTCTGGCCCCACCCTCCATTGGGCACGCCCTTCGTTCTCTCCTCCGCCGTTTATTGGCTACAGGTCCCGGCCCCCCTCGATCTTTCGGTCTTCATTGGCTCTTCTGCCACGTTATCTTCTCCCGGGATTTCTTATTGGCGCAGGCCACACCCTCTCTCTTGTCACCGGACCCCGCCTTCAGCAGTCGCGGGCTCCTCCCCTTCCATCCAGCCTCCATTCATTCTGCATCTCGTGCTGGCTGCTTGGAACTGGAGGTGAACCCGACGCGTCGCTGCCCTCGGGAAGTTCGGGGGACGGTGGGGGGCGCACAGACCTAGGCTCTGACAGTGACACCCTAGGGTGCTAAAGAAGCCGCCAAGGCACTAGGACCCTCTGGGCGCCGGGCAGCCTTCCCGGAGGAGGGGAGGCCTAAACCAAGCCCTGAAGAATGGTTGAGTGTTGGCTTCAGGCAGACATTGCGAGGGCATTCTTGGCGGAAGCACCTGAGATGTGAAAGAAACAGTCGCATTCTGGCGATCGCAAGGAGGTAGGTTGGAAGAAAGACGGGGAGATGGCGGAGACTGGCCCAGGGAGTGGCCCAAGACCAGTGAGGAGGGAGTGCAGAACAGTGTAGTTAGTTGAGGGGAGTGAGTGAAACCTGGGGCCAGGAATCTTGCAGCAGCTGGCCACCGGCGGAGTGGAGGGCAGTGGCTGGGGGGAGGTCGGTTCCGGTTGGGGATGCAAAGCCCAGAGAAGGAACAGTTCTAGTTCTGAGCAGGAGAAGGGCTCTTGCATTCAACTTCAGAGGGTGAGAACCGTGGCGGGGCGCGGGGGAGGCTTTGCGTTTCGTAGGAGCTGTGTTGCAGACGCTTTTCCAGTAACGCGGTACTTGTGTAGAGATTTGAGGGAAGTGCGTGACCCGTGCTGTTGTGGAGGAAGGCGGGGTGGGTTTCACACAGGGCGCGTGTTTGAGCAGTCGAGTAAAGCTGCTGCATTGGAACTGGCGACGCTGGTCTGAAGTTTATGGCAGGAGTGGGAGCTGGTGCGTTGTGAACCCGGAGAGTGTATGACCCACTGAGGCATGAGCACAGATGGAGAGAAGTCCCCCAGGACAAGCCCCGAGGCTTTACCGAGTTAAGAGATTGGGGGGATGGGATGGCCAGCAGGGAAGACCAGGAAGGAATGCCGGGGAAGTAGGAGAACTAAGTGGGAGTGTGTTGGGAAAGTCAGAAGGATAAAGTGATAGCTGTGTCAGGTGCTGCTGGTCAATGTGAGCACCAGCAGTGACCTTGTTCAGATAGGTGTTTTAAAAAATGATTTACTGGGGGCCAGTGCTATGGCGCGGCGGGTAAAAGCTTCTGTCTGCAGTGCCGGCATCCCGTATGGGTGCTGGTTCTAGTCCTGGCTGTTCCTCTTCCTATCCAGCTCTCTGCTATGGCCTGGAAAAGCAGTAGAAGATGGCCCAAGTCCTTGGGCCCCTGCACCCATGTGGGAGACCCAGAAGAAGCTCCTGGCCCCAGGCTTCAGATCGGCCAAGCTACAGCCGTTGCAGCCATTTGGGGATTGAACTAGTGGATGGAGAACCTCTCTCTCTCTCTCTGCCTGTAACTCTACCTTTCAAATAAAAATAAATAAATCTTTAAAACATTTATTTGAAAGGTAGAATGATGGGGAGGGGAGGAAGTGAAGGAGGGAGGATAGGTGTAGGGGGGAACCATCCATTGGTTTACTCCCCAAATGGCTGGGGCTGGTGCAGGCTGAAGCCAGGAGCCAAGAAGTCCATCCTGGTTTCCTACGTGGCTGGCAGCAGCCCATGTGCCTGGTCAGCTTCTGCTGCCTCCCCGGGAACATTACGGGGAGCTGGATTTGGAAGCAGAGCAGCCGGGACTTGAACCCGTGCTCCAGGATGGGGTGTCAGTGTTGCAAGTGGCAGCTTAACCCACTGCACCACATTGCTAGCCTTGATCAGATCTATTTTTTTTTAAGATTTATTTATTTATTTGAAAGTCAGAATTACACAGAGAGAGGAGAGGCAGAGAGAGAGGTGTCTTCCATCTGCTGGTTCACTCCCCAATTGGCCACAATGGCCAGAGCTGCACTGATCCGAAGCCAGGAGCCAGGAGCTTCTTCCGGGTCTCCCACATGGGTGCAGGGGCTCAAGGACTTGGGCCATCTTCTACTGCTTTCCCAGGCCATAGCAGAGAGCTGGACTGGAAGTGGAGCAGCTGGGACTAGAACGGGTGCCCAAATGGGATGCCAGTGCTTCAGGCCAGGGTGTTAACCCACTGAGCCACAGCGCCGGCCCGATCAGATCTATTTTGATGGAGAACAAGAGACTTATGCTTGTTTGGAGTGAATTTAAGAGAGAACAGGGGGCTGGGGTATGGTGTTGCAGGTTAAGCTGCTGCCTGCAATGCTAGCATCCCATATGAGTGCAGTTCAAGACCCAGCTATTCCACTTTCAATTCAGCTCCCTACTGATGTGCCTGGGAAAGCAGCAGTGGATGGCCCAAGTACTTGGACCCCTGCCACTCATGTGAGAGACCCAGATGGAGTTCCAGCCTCCTGGCTTCAGCCTGGCCCAGCTCCAGTCATTGTGGCCATTTGGGGAGTGACCCAGCAGATAGAAGATGGTTCTCTCTTTTTCTCTCTCTGCACCTCTGCCTTTCAAATAAATACATCTTTTAAAAAGAGAACAGGAAAGAAGGAATTGGAGACTGGGTGTAGGTGATTCAAGGTGCTGTTCTGCAGTGAGGAGCAGTGGAGGGAGAATCTGGAGGGTTGTAGCTAGGCGAGTGGAGGTTCAAGTGGTGGTTCTGTTTTATTTTTTAAGGTGGAGAAACAAACAGCCTGTGTTTATCCTCATGGAAAGGATCCAGTAGAGAGGAAGACAGATGATGTAGGAGAGAGGAGAAATGCTGACTTGGGTCCCGGAGCAGGCAAGGGAGCCCACAGGCTGGAGCCTCTCTGGGGAGAGACTGGATTGGCCTGAGCCCTGAGCCTCGGGTGACCTCTGGGAAGATACTGCAGACAGGGCCTGGGTCAGGGGTTAGCTTGGATTTGCTGAAATTTCTCTCTGCTTCCCCAACAAACAGATTCTAAGTTGTATTTGAACAGATGGCCCAGTGGAGACAGGGCGTTCCAGGTAGGGCCAGCACAGGCCAGGCATACTCAGGCACTCAAACTGACTAAGGGCAAATGGGCAGGAGGACGTGGGTGGAGCCAGTGGGTGGGGTGGGACTGAGAGGATGCTGTAGGCAGAAGGCAGCCCCAGAGGCCCCATCAGCTTGGTCCACCCAGGCAGCCGAGGCTACGCTGTAGCAGTTTATAGGCTGGGTGAATGCTGAACACAGAGATTAGAATCCTGGGAAGGGGCTCTGTCCTTGCTCCCCGGAGCTCAGGCTGAGGGGATTCCAGGACCCATCATTTGGTGGGTGTGAGATTCCTCCTCTTGCTTTCCCAGAGCCCAGCCTAGTTGGGGGGGAGGGGTGCTGAGCCTAGCCTAGTTGGGGGGAGGCTTGCTGGAGGAAATGGACGCTGGGGTGCAGGTGAGGGCGTCAGCTACCCAGACCCCTGGCTGCCCAGACTCTGGGCTGAGCAAGGCTGGAGCAGCGGCAGTGTGACACACAGGGCCTGCTGGGCTGCTGGCCACACCCACTCATGCTGGTCTTTGCGTCCGCTTTTGTTCTCTAGAGGCTGACACAGTGGGGAGCTGGAGCAGCCCGGCTGGATGTGACCTCCAGGACAGAATGGTGCTGGACTCAGGGGCTCAGGTGTATGAGCAGGCACCCCCCAGCCCCCGAGCCAGTCCCTCGTCACTGCGGCCTAGGCTGAAGCCCTCAGACAGAGATGGGCCGTCCCTGTACCCCTGGCCTCAGTCCCTGGCCTTGCCCCTGGCTCTGGCAGTCCCCTCAGCACTACAGCCCCAGTCTAAGCGGCAGCCCTTCTCAAAGCTGCCCTTGGGCCACCGCAGCCACATGTGTCGAAGTGAGAGCACCCACTCCATAAATAGTACTGGCCGGCAGGGACGTGGCACCCAGGGACAGGCCCCAGCTAGGCGGAGCCGGGACTCCAGTTGGGGCGCCCTACGGCCTGCGGCTTCCTTGCCTCACATCGCTAAGACTCAGAGGAACGCGGGCAATGGGGCCAGCAAGAGCCCCTGCATGCTGGTGGCCCTGCGACCAACCAACATGGACCGCGAGCGGGACAAGTTCTTCCAGTCCCATTACACCTATAACCCACAGTTTGAGTATCAGGAGCCCATGCCCACGGCTGTGCTGGAGAAATATTGTGAGGCCTCTGGACAGTTCATCCATCAGGTCAGTTTAGCCTGGCCATCTCCCCCCAGCCCTGAGTACTCAAGGGCCCCCACCTGACCAGCCACTGTCACCTGTGTACAGGCAGTTGGCATCATCGAGGCTGTCCTGGAGAAGTTTGGCACCTATGAACACTTTGAGGCTGCCACTGGGGGCCAGCTGCTGACCAAGTGCCAGATTTGGTCCATTGTGCGCAAATACATGCAGAAGGAGGGCTGCGTTGGGGAGGTGAGCCTGCCCTGCCTGCACAGCCCCGCCTCTGCGTGCCCCACACCAGGCTGCCTGGTGGCTGGTCCCAGACCCTGCTTCATACCTCCCCAGAAGATGACCCCAGACAACCCCACTGCCCTTGCCCTAGTTGGGTGGCAGCTGGCAGCCGGTGGTGGGATGGGGGTGGGGACGGCCTGGCTGCGCTGTGGCATCTGTGGGCCCACCCGCACAGCTCCAGGGCTGGCGGCCATGGCTCTAAGCTCTGCTGCCTGCAGGTCGTGGTGCAGCTGAGTGAGGACCTGCTGTCCCAGGCCGTGATGATGGTGGAGAACAGTCGACCCACACTGGCCATCAACCTGACTGGAGCCCGCCAGTATTGGTTGGAGGGCATGCTGCGGCATGAAATAGGTCAGCACGTGGGTAGGCGGGAGTTGGGTGGGGATGAGGGGGGCTGGGCGGTGAGGGGCCCAGTAACCCCCCCTTTGTTTCTCTCCACTCCCTCCGAGAAACTGCCTCCCCTCTCTCGCAGAGGTAGTCCAGAATTGTGCCTGCACACCGTGTGTGCTCACCTTCAACTCTTGGCTCCTTTTGGGGATCTTTTTCTCTCTCGCCTCCCTCTCTGGTTTCCCTAAACCGTGGAAGCAAGGCTGCTGAGGTCCTGAAAGGCCATAGGGAGAACGCCGAGGGTCCTTCCAGTCCAGGCAGCGCTCTGGGAACGCCAGGGTGGTTGGAAGGCCAGATCCTGGGAATAGAATTGGCCGGAGGACACACTGAGCCCAGTTTAGGAGGGCGTCGGCCAGGCTGGGCAGAGAGGAGCAAGACGCTCACTAATCTCTGTTTCTATCTGTCCCTCCTTGGCAAGAATTGTGTTGCTGTGGGCAAGAGGTTTAAGCTGGGGCTTTCAGTGTGACTGTCAAAATGCTGTGTACACGGGGCGAGATGTGTGTGTCCGGGCGTGGTGTGTGTGTGTGCCTTATATCCAGCGGACGACGGGGCGTGTGTGTGGCCGGCACTCCCTGGGTCCCCGTGCGAGTTCACCCGAGGAGGGTCTTCACACTGGCCAGGTCTGGGCGAGTAGGGCTCTTCTGGGGCCGCAGAAGCCCTTGTGCTAGGGCCTGAGCTGGGGCACGTGTGGACACAGGCATCACCGCCAGAGGCCGGGCCAGCTGAGTGCCCTGGCCTCCCCGCCCAGCGCTGCCTCCCCCGGCCCTCCCTGCAGGCACCCACTACCTGCGGGGCGTGAACAACGCGCAGCAGCCGTGGCACAGCGCTGAGGGCCGGCTGCGGTACGGGCTGCGGCCGGCCAACCCCACCGAGGAGGGCCTGGCCAGCCTGCACAGCGTGCTGTTCCGCAAGCAGCCGTTCCTGTGGCGCGCGGCGCTGCTCTACTACACCATCCACCGCGCCGAGCACATGTCCTTCCGCCAGCTCTTCCAGGACCTGGCGCGCTACGTGCAGGACGCGGACGTGCGCTGGGAGTACTGCGTGCGAGCCAAGCGGGGCCAGACGGACACCTCGAAGCCAGGTAGGCGGGGAAGAGGCTGAGCGGACACGCGGGGCGCGAGGCGGGAGTCGGCGGCCAGGACTCAGCACCCTCCCGCACTCACAGGCTGCTTCAGCAAGGACCAGGTGTACCTGGACGGCATCGTGCGCATTCTGCGGCACCGGCGGACCATCGATTTCCCGCTGCTGACCTCTCTGGGCAAGGTGAGGGGCCGCGCTGGCGCTCCCCTCCACCACAGGGTTCCCTCAGCCCGGTTCCTGCCCAGCTGCGGGCTGGGTGCCAGGGCTTCTGGAGGGGGGACGGAGGAGCTGGGCGGAGGAGATGGAATGACAACCTGGCAGTCAAAGCAGGTACTAGAGCCAAGCCTGCAGGTGTGTGTGCAGTTCCTGCTTTTCAAAGGAGGTGAGCAGGCCAGGCAGGCCTGGGGAGGGAGGCTGGAGAAATGCCTTGGACACTTGTGCCAGAAGGGCAGACGTTCCAGAATGAGGCAAGTGGATCCCATTGGAAGCCACGGGGAGTTGGAAGAGCTTTAAGCAAAGCGGGTAGCACAGATGTTAGCTTTAAAAGGCTCTCCCTGAGTGCATGAAGTTTGTGTTTCTTAACTAAAAGGTTTTTTCTTTTTTTTGGGGGGGGGACCAGAAAGCTACTAACAACCCCCACAAAAGGCTCCCCCTGGATATCAGGGACTGTGGATTGGAGAGGCCTAGGGAAGTGGGCGTGGGGGCAGCAGGAGGAGGCCTGGCCTGTGGTGGTCTGGCCTACCCCTGGCAGTGGCCATGCAATGAGAGAGGAAGGGGGCAGCTTTTCAGAGAGCAGATGTTTTTAACTCAGTGTATAACCTGAGTGGGAGGGTGGGAGTCGAGGCCCCCTCTCTGGAATCTGACCTGGGTGATGGTGAAGAGGGTGGGCTGGCATACATTGGCACCCAAGGGTTTGGTGTTGGGTATGGCAGGGGGTGGTGTTCAGGAGAAGAGAAGCTGGGCTGGGGAAGGGGTGAGGTCCTGTGGCATAGATGATAAAAGAAGGTGTTGGGAGAAGAGCAGACCCTGGACTGAGCCTACAGTTTGTGGCACTGGCAGGGGATGGGGCAGTGGGCTGCCCATGCTGAGCTAGGGCCAGATGCACCTGGGGCCCACTTCCTCCCTCCAGGTATCCTATGAGGATGTGGACCAGCTGCGGCCCCATGGAGTGCTGGATAACACCCGGGTGCCCCACTTCATGCAGGACTTGGCACGCTACCGGCAGCAGCTGGAGCACATCATGGCCACCAACCGGCTGGACGAGGCAGAGCTGGGCCGCCTGCTGCCTGATTGATGCTGGCTGGGGGCCAGCCACAGGTAGCGGCCCTGGACAGAGGACTGCAGATCAGCTCCCAGAACATGAAGCACTCTGCTCTGTGCTTTCACGGCCCGGTGTTTCTTAGGGGCACTGGGGGAGGTGGGAGACATCCGGGGAAAAGCAGCAGCAACATCAGCGGGTTTGTGTCCACTGTTTGCCTCCCGGGGGCCCAGGGCCCGGCAGCAGCCCCCGCAACCCCTAAGCTGCCCTCTTGCCTCTAGCTCTCTGTCGAGCAGAGGGGGAGCCTGGGGGCGGGAAGAAGCTGAGCCGTGATGGGAATGTGGGGTGACCTGGGGGTAGAAACTTGTCCATGCATGAGATAGTTTTAGGCGTCTGGTCCAGTCTCTCCCTTCCCCCACCTGGCCCCTTGGTGCTCCTCCAGCATCCATGCTGTCTACCTCTCACTGGGTCCTGGTAGGGGCTGGGATCCCTTCTCCTGCAGTGACTGTCTGAGCCTGGCTTTCTCACGGGCTCAGAGGGCAGGGGTCCTGGTAGTGGAGAACCACCTGGGCTGGGGTTTGCTTTCCAGCATTTTGCCTCTCTGCTCATGTATTTATCCCATATTTATGTGTCTACTTCCTGCGTCTGGGAGGCAGCAACTCGACACTGCTGGCAGGCACGGATTGTTCTAGCTCCACTCTCGTTTCACACACACACACACACACACACACACACACACACACTGAGCTCCTGGCACTGTGAGTCCAGCCCAGGAACTCTGCTAGCCCCACCCCCACCCCCTCCACAGCCTCTGCTGTTGCTGTCTTTGCCCACATTGTCACAGCTGGCCTGTGGCAGAGGTTGGCATACCCTGGGAACAGCTGCAGTGGAGCGTGCGGGGCAGGCCCCCAGGGTTTGTTGTCCCAAGTCTTGAGCCTGCCCTGGACCAGGAGAGGTGCAGAGGTGATTGTCGCTTCCAGTCTCACAGTGGACTCAGCTGTGCGACGCTGACCCAGCCTCACTCCTACTCTTGGCTTTAATTTTCCCATCTGTAAAATTCAGACACACAACTGGAAAGTCCTCATTCATTTAGTTAAGCAATATGTACGGAGTGCTGTATACCAGTTACCCGTTAGAACCCTCTCCCAGCTCCCATTTCAGAGGGAAACCATTAAAACCATTAAACAGCAGTTACAATGTTGCGTGTGGCCTCTGTCTAACTCCAGGTTCTTTGCTGTCTACCTCTTCTGATTTCACTGCCAAAGGCTGTGAGCTGAGCCTCTCTAAATGGACAGAAGTCCCCCTCCCCGTCTTCTCTACACCTGGCCCGGGGCTTCCATGGCGTGGACCTGGTGGGCTCCCCGGCTCCTGAGGGGAAGAGTTTGCGGGAAGAATGGAGCTGTGACATGGGCCATGAGGAGGTGGTGGGGCATGGGCTGTCCGGATCATGGGACTCAGGGCTGCATGCCACCTGCCCTCAGTGCCTGGGCAAACAGCGCAGTCGTGGAGAGAGCCCAGGCCAGGCCGACTGTCTGGAGTTTATTCACTTGCAGCTGTGTTAGGCCAGCCTTGGGGGCAGGCATTCCATCCGGCCGGCAGGATCCCAGGCCCCATCCAGCACAGGCCTGGGTGGGGAAAGCTCTGGCCCTCAGGAATCTAGAAGTGAAGGGGATAGTGGTCAGTAAGCCGGGGCTCCCGCTCCTGCTCCCAGGCCACGCCCGCCCTCCTAGCCTGCACGGGTTTGCGTGATCTCACACCTTCAGACTCATCGGCCTCCGGCTCGGGCTCGGGTTCGGGCTCGGGCTCGGGCTCGGGCTCGGGCTCAGGCTCGGGCTCGGGCTCAGGCTCGGGCTCTGGATCCACTTCCAGTTCCGGCTCTGGCTCTGGCTCTGGTTCCAGATCCTGTTCAGCTCCTTCAGCTTCTAGCTCTGGCTCCTCTGGGGTCCCGGATTGCACGGCCTCCGATCCTTCAGGACCCCCTGCCTCGTCGTGGTCTGAAGCTCCAGGTAGCCCAGGGCATAGGGTGCCGGAACCAGGTGCCTCAGGCGTCCAGTGTCCGGGGCACGGGGGGTCATAGCTGCGGTCCCGGTAGCCTGGGGCGGAAGTGGGAGGGTCTCAATTGACTTCTCTGCAGTCACCTCAGCTCAGGCTTCTTGGGAAAATAACAACTCCGCCCTCCAATTAGCCTGTCCCCGCCCCGAGTCACGCCCCCGCCATCTGGACCCCACCCGACGCGCGCTCACCGGGCCCCACGTGCTGCCAGTCCCAGGCCGGGTCGGGCGCGCGCGCGGTTTGCTGGGCACAGCGCAGCAGCTCCTGGCAGGCGGCCTCGCCCTTGCTCTGCACCAGTAGAAGCAGGCGGCGCACCCTGCGCTCGGCGTCTGGCAGGGCGTCCAACGCCTCGTACTCGGGCCCGTTGAGCACGCCCCGCGCCAGCAGCGCGTCCAGCAGCAGCCCCGAGTCCGCCTGCAGCGTCTCCACCAGGCGCTTCCGCTCGCGGTCGATGGTCTCCGACGGCCTCTCCTGCGCGTTGCCCATCGTCCGGGCTGTGTGAAGGAGAGACGTAGTGAGGGCCGGGGCTGTTCTGCGCTGGCTGCGCTCCCAGAGCCCCGCTAGGTACCCGTGGCTGTGACGGCTGCACCACGCAGGACCTGCACGACCCCGCCCGAACCTGTCCTCCTGCGTCTCCGACCGCGGCTGTCCAGTCTCCTTCCCAGGCTCCTCCTTCCCCTCACGTCAGCTCTGGGCCCTCCCCGCCTGAGCCCGGGGCTTGCAGGTGCCGTCACAGCTTATCCTCTTGAGCCTTTTTCTTTCCCAAAGCTGCTCCCCGCCTCAACGGGAAGATAAACCGGATGCCCCACAGCCGAACCACACTCAGGGCCCCTCCCATCCGTCTCCTGAGTGGTTCTCTCACCGTGGCGCCCCTTAGTCCTACCGGGACCCTGCAGAACCCTGGACGGGGCTCCCTGCCTCCGTACTACCTGCTCCGGTCCCCTGGGCATCCACAGAACAAGGAGCTGAGGGCCCTGCCTGCTGCTATCACCTTGCCCTGACCCTGAGGTCCAACTTCCCAGGACAGTCCCTGCCCCTGTCCCCTCACCGCCACCCCCACCTTGTTGCAACCCCTGCTTGGTTGCATGGCCCTTCCTGGCTCCCTGGCACCTGGGCAGAGCTACCTGAATCTTCTCCACCAGTATCTGACTTCATCTGAGACCCGGCAGTCTCCCTTCGGGCCTGGGCAGGACTCACAGCCATCTCTTCTTGCTTGATACTAAGTTCCTAAGGCCCAGCCCAGGAAAGCTACCCGTGACTTCTTGCCAGACCATCATTTTTTTTTTCTCCAAGGGAACTCCTCATTGTGACAGTGTCTCTACGAAACAGTAGGTATTCAGTGGAAATTAATGCATGGATGCTTCGTGCATTTATTGCCAAATCCCCTCAGGTGGCTGGGCTCAGCTAGCAAGGCCCTGGGCACTTAAGAGGCCAAGAGGTCAGCCTCGGCCGGCTCCCTGCCTCAGCCCATCCCTCTGCCTTGGCTCTGCTCATGCAGCAACGCCCCTGGTATCACGTCTTCCCTTGGTGACCCTCATCCGCTGCGGGCTCCATGAGGCTGGGCATCCTCTGGGAGAGGGGATTTAGTCCTCGCCCTCGTCCTGCCTCTCCTGGTGTGCGCTCACACTCTCCCCGGCCTCCTGCCCCCACTCCCACGTGTGAGGGTCAGCTCTTGCCACCAAGTGAGCGGGCACCAGAACTACCCCCTGCCTCTCCCTGCCTGCCACATCTGTGACAGATTCTGCCCCGTGTCTCAGCCTCCCTCAGCTCCTGCCAGTGGAGCTCATCTGTAACGCCCCGCCCCCTCCATCCCACCACCCACACAACACAGTGACTGACAACCCTCTGGGGGAGGGCTTATTGTCCCAGCTTAGAGAGAGACTGTGTGGAGGACTAGAATGTATCGCTTCAGCCTGCACAATAGTGAGATCGCTTGCTGCCAGCTGCCCACCACAGAGAACCCAGGCTACCTGCTCTGGCTACTGTAGCCACCTCCCTCAGCCCTGACGGCCAGGTCCTTCCTCATTTCCCTTCACCATTCGGCCAGGCAGAGTGGTGTCACTATGTCCCGGGCACCTCTGAGCCTTTGCTGATGCTGTTCCCCAAGCCTGGCGTGCCCTTCCCCTCCCTCCACTTCTCCCAAGACTCAAATATTCCCTTGTCCACTCCAATGCCAGAGTGTCCCAAGGTAGTTCCTTCTTCCGGGTATCCCAGTGAGCAAGGCATACCCGCACTCCTGACCTTAACTAACATCCCTGCGCTGCGAAAACGCGGCTTTCGGACGGTCGGCCAACGGCGGGCACCGGGAGGGAGAGCGGAGCAGCACTTATTCTGGGTAACACGGAGGGGTGCGCAGATTGCGTCGCCCAGTCCTCCTGTCTCCCTCCTCTCTAACTTGCTTCATGTTAACCTCATTTCCCCGAGACCAGCCCTGTGCGTGCAGGGCGTGCGGAGCGGAGAGCCAGCAGCGCTCACAGCTCTAAGGTGAACCCCGAAGTTAAGGCAGGGGTCAGAGGCCAGATGCTTCCCAAGGCACCAGGCGGCGAGACGTGAAGCTGGCTCCCGCCCTCCCCCCACTCCCCATCCCCACCTGCTGCACCCTCCGGCTCTTCTGCTAGGCAGCCGGAGGTCGTGGGAAACAGCGGGCGCCTTTGCGCATGTGCGACCGCCCAGCTGCCCTTACCTCCCCAGCGCCCAGCGCCCAGCGCCCAGCGCCGGAGCCGCCGAGTCCTGCGGCGGGGCGGGGCGGGGCTCACAGACCACCTTCGTGCGCGGCTGCGGGTGGTGAGGCTGGTTCCGCCCAATCTGTTTCCCTTCCCGCCCCCAGCCGGGAGGAGCGGGGCTCCGAGTCCGGTCCGCTACGGGCGGCCCCGCTCACGGGTCGGGCCTCGGCGGGGCGGGAGATGACGGTGCAGAAAGGGCCGGGCGGGGTGGGGGTGGGAGCAACAGCTGCGACGGGGGCGGGACGGCCGGGGCTGCCGGGAATGGCGGGGGGCGGGGGCGTCCTTGCCCCGCACCGGGAGCCGGGCTCCGCTTGCCCGCGGGGCTCCCCGGGAGATGAGCTGGGGAGGAGGCAGTTGGGCCCGCACCCCACGTAGCCAGCGCCCACGCTGGGCCTGCCAGTTGTCAGTGCGCTTCACAGCTCTCCTCTCATCGACCTCCCTCCTCTCTGCTTGTCCCAGACGAGGCTCAGAGAAGGGGACCGACCGACTCGTGGTCACAGAGCGCTGCATCGCTGGGCAGGGTGCGTCCCAGAGGTTGCAGGGGCCACGCGTGAGCCCTGGATCCCGGCCTAAGTAAGAGGGTTGGCCCCCTCCCCGCTTCCCAAGTACCATGACTCTCTGGAGATTCTTCCATTAAAGCCCTAGCACCTGGACGCTTTTACGAATGCAAAGTTCCCCTTCCATCACCGGGACACCTGTGCTCCCTCCCTGGTCGACGGAGAAAAGAGAGCAGAAACACAGAAAAAAATGCAATTTATGTGCAGGGCTCATCAGGGTGCTGGAGAGAGGCCGCGGAGTCAAGGAGAGGGGGTTCACTCACCCCCCGCCAGGGGGCGCCAGGAAGCCGAGAGGGGGTGTGCCGCTGTGGACTGGTCCCTCAGCCAGCCCGGCTTCATTTGCTTGCAGGTTTCAAGGGGAAGGACTGGCCCCGGGGCCCAGGTAGGAGGCCCTGCTCTCAGGGGTGCTGTAAATGGTTAAAGCCCCAGGCAAGCCGAGAGCTGGGCCTCCCAAGGCCGCCTGGACATCCAGCAGGAGCGGGGCCCCCAGCGTAGGGTCCTTCCCTAGGAAGAGTGGGTTTGTGCTCAGCAGCCAGGAAAGGTTGCCCTTCCCACCGCTCAGTGAGGATGAAACATTCCCAACCTCCTCCTCTCCTGCCATGGTGAGGGGATGGCTGGACCAAGCCGGGGGGCTTCCCTGCAGAACACCCCCCCCCATCATGGTAACTTGCTCAGTCATGGCCTCCCTCAGGTCCTGAGTCACCACATTACCTGGGCCTGGAGAACTTAATCCCTTTACTGCCAGCTCACTCTCACCCCTCTCTGGAACCAACGGCTGCATCTGCAAGAGAGAACCCCAGGAAGTAGCTGGGCAGGGAGCCAGTGGCTGAGGGGGAGAGCTGGGGACCCCCAGCCCCGGGCAGGCCTCTGCCAATATGGCTTTGGCTCACAAAAAAGCAGGGACCAAAGGGTGAGAGTCCACAACCCCAGACCCCTACCATCCCCTCCCTCATCTTACCAGGGACAGCTCCATGTCTAAGTCCATCAAGGTCCATTCTCTGCCTTGGAGGCTGGGGCCCAGCACCTGGGGAGCACGCCAGGTTAGTGGTGCCCTCCCCATGCTGCCCAGACAGCTGGGCCCTGGGGGTTCTCCTGCCCGTGCCCCAGCCAAAGGGGTACTCACATCCAGGGGTCCTGCAGGCTCCACACCTTCAGGAGGGGCCCTGAGCAGCATTGGAGGCAGCAGACTCTCTGGGCTCCTGTCCCCCCTCTCCAGGCCCAGAGGCCCCCTGTGCACAGAGAATCGCTATTGCCCTGCAGTGCCCACCCCCTATTAGGTTCCTAAGGAATGAAATTCCCCAACATCTAGAAAATGCTACGCTGCCCCTCCCCCCACCAGAGGGCTTCCCACCTGGGACCTGAGGTTTGGGCTGTGGAGCTGGGGGCTTGGGAGGCATCTCCTCCCTACACCAGTGTCAGTACCAATGGTTCTTAAACTATCGTGTATTTTACAGTGATTTCAGTGAACTCGTTTACATGCAGATTTCTGGGTCCTACCACAGAGACGCTGAGTGACCTGCCTGGGAGTTCCTGCTGTGAACCCTGACGCTGGTGCTCCAGGGAGCACTCTGGGTGGAATCAGGTCAGTATCTGAGATCCCACTGCCCACTCTCCCCCTCCGCCACGAAGGGCCAGACCCAGCCGGGCAGCTGGGCCTGCCTGACTAGTGCTGCTCCACCTGCAGAGGTGGCCGCCAGTCAAGAATGGGCTCTGCTCACCTGTCGGGAACCTCCCTGGGACCCCTTGGTTCAGGCTGTTGGGCATTCCTGGGCCCTTCTGGGCTGAAGCTCCCTTTCCCTTCCAGGATGGCCTGCACCACAGCCACAGGCAGCGGTGGGGGGGCTGTCACGCAGAAGTCACACTCGTTTGGGGCCAGGGCCAGCCCGGCCTCGCCATCCCCCCCTGGACTGGCCGGCTCTTCTTTGAGCAGTGCCAGGCCCTTCTCCCTGCACGGAGAAAAGCTTCAACCAGACCCTGGCACTGACCTCTCCCCCACCCTCACAGCCACCTGGGCTGCCAGGCCCTCCCCTTCCAAGCTCCCCCCAGCCCAGGGCAGCCCCGAGCCCCTTACCTCGTGCCACCACTGGGGGGAGACAGCCTGGGCCCTTCAGGGGATGGGGAGTCTTCTGGGATGTCAGAGATGATGGGGCCCCTGGCCCTGTGAGTGCTGAGGCCCAGGGTAGTCTCTGGGAGGGGCTGTAAGGAGAAGAATAGACCCAGCCCTTGACCTCCAGCCACAGGGAGAGCCAGAGGCTAACCAGAGCTCACCTGGACCACATCTAAGGGAAAATGTTTGAGGAGGGCCGCTCAGGCCATGCTGGGGAGCCCAGGTCAGGTTGGGGGTGAAGCCTGGCCTCCATCTTCTCTTTTGGGAGTGGGGGGAAGGGAAAGGCTCTCCATCCACCCCACTGGGCCCTAGGGGAGGGGAGAAGAGAACCTACCGACTGGATAAAGTAGGGGTCCTGCAGGAGGGCACCAGCAAGGGGGCAGGTGTTGAACTTGGCGGGTGTCGGGCAGGAGCTCCCCTCATCCAGCATCAGGGACCTGTGCAGGGTGACCGGGTACAGGCAGGGGTGGGCAGGTCAGCTCCCCTGTGCCTCAGCCTGCACTTCCCTCCCTCCCTCCCTCAGGCCCCAGCAGCCAAGTCAGCAGAGCTGAGGCCTGTTGCCAGGGCATCAGTCACATGCTGGAGGTGGAAGGGGCTCCCCCCCAGAGATGGGGGCCCTTTGGGGGTGGAGAGGGGAGGGAGGGAGTGTGGTCTGAGCCCCTGGCCCTCTGCTGCTAGCATACTTCAAGGGGAGGGGAAGGGGCTGCCGGGGGGAGAATTTTGGGGATACCATCCTGGGCATCTGGGAGTGGGGGGCCTTGGTGGTGGAGCTGGGGGGAGTTTCGGTAGAAGGGGGTGTTCCAGCAGGGAGCCTGGGGGGGGTCCTGAAGTAGGTGGTGTGTCCCAGCATCCCTGGCCCACTCACTCACAGCTTTCTCTTGGCTCCTGCATTGCTGGGCCCTGCCTGAAGTGGCCCAAAGAGGCACTGGATCAGCTGAAGAGAAAGCAAAGGGTTAATTCATACCTCACCCACCCCTACCCTAGCAAGAACTCAGGTGGGCTCGGGTGGGATAACTCAGGTACTGGGGTTCTGGCAGGAGGGGAGAGTGTCCAGGGGGCGGAGGGAGAAGCGAGATGGGGGCGGGGAGGAACACCTTGCCGATGACCCGGTGCTGCTGACCGTGGCTCTGCCGCAGTGTCACCACCTCCCGCCATAAGATCTCGTTCTGCCTGGGGAAGGGGTGCGAGAGTGCTGAGGCCTCTGCGAGTTCGCCAAGTCACCCCTCTCACCACCCCCCCCAAATGGCGAGGCTAGCACCCGAGGGACCACCCAAGGTGATGGTTCATTCCACGGAGACCTGAGCTCCATAGTTCGGCCTTTCGTCAGGATGGAGACACCAACGCCCAAGAAAGTAAGGGGCTGTCCAGAAACCCCCGGCGACCAGGATCCTCTCACCCAGAACCCCCGCCCAGCCTTCGTGTCCCCCGCACTGCCTGAGCTCCCGCAGCCGCGCCTCCGTGCTCTCCTGCACTCCCCGCAAAGCCTGCACCTCGCCCAGCAGCCGGCCCAGGTCCTCGGGGCGCCAGCGGCTGTCGTCGCAGCGCAGCGCGGGCACCTGCGGGCAGAAGCACCAGTGTGTGTGTGGGGGGAGGGTGGCATTGAACAGGGTGGACGGCTCCAGATCCCCGCCTCGGGTCTGCAGGTTTCCACCGGCCGCCCCCACCTTGCGTCGTACGCGCTCCAGGAGCTGCTCGCGGCCGCGCATGAAACTCGGGTGCTGGAACTCGACGTGGTCGCGCTCTGGCCTGAGCAGGCCACCCTGCTCGATGCTCACCACCTTGCGAAAACCATCTGCGAAGTGGGGCGGGGGGCGTGAGTCAGCCCACGTCCCGCACCGGGGCACCCACCCCGCCCCCGCCCCCGGCCCCTGCCCCTGCCCTAGGCACTCACACATGTTGAGTTGGCGCACAAAGCTCGCCATGTTGCTGTGCTTGAAATACTGGGGCAACACTTCCTTGGCGAAGCGGCTCTGGTCGCTTACAAGAAAACTGGTCCCGCTCTACCGAGAATGCCCCCCGCCCACCGTGCGGGTGAAGAGGCGCGGTGAGCTGGCGCCCTCCGGCCCCAGGCCCGCGCTCTGACCAGGGCGCCCACTCACAGTCACCCTAGGATCTGGGTTTGCAGCTCAGGGGACAGAGGATAGAGTCAGGCCAGAACCAGCTCTGAGGCCTAGGCTGGGGGACCCCAGTGAGTCCCGGCTCCCAGCCCGACCCAACCTCTGCTCAGCTCTCAGGAGGAGCAAAAGTGGACCCAGGTTCCCCCCCGGACAAGTCTTCCACCCGCAATGTGATCCCGAGCCGAAAGCAGAGCCGGCCCTTCCCTTCTCCTGGCCTGTTTCCCGGTTTGTCGAATGGGGTGGGCTGAGAAACAAAGGATCTCCAAGAGGTCCTGACCCTTCCTAAACCCCAGAGGAAGCTGCCTCACCCCATCGTTCACACCCCCTTCTGGACGGCGGGATCGAGGGGCCCGCAGCCCAAGCCCAGGAGGGGGCTGGGTGGGCCTGGGTGTTCACTGACTTGGAGGGACCCCGGGGACCACTGGGGGAATCCAGGGGCCCCAGCCCTCACCGGGCTCCAGCGGATCAGGTGGTCGGTGCCGGGGTCGCCCACCAGCGCCCATAGCTTGCCGAGAAAGGCAGGCACGGGGCTGGGGCCTGGCTCCGTGGGCAGAGCGGCTGGCGCTTCCTGCATGGCGCAGTCTCGGCCCCGCTCAGCGCTGGGGCCGGCCGCTGCGGGCTTGTCAAAGCCGCGAAAGTGCTGCGTTTGCCTCCTGCCCCGCCCTACTCCGCCCCCAGGCGCCGGGTCAGGCGGGGGCCACGTGCGAACCCGCGGGGCGGGGCTCGGACAGCGGCTGTCACCCGCAGACAGAAGGGCTGGCGGGACCCCGAGGTGTGCCCCCGGGGAGGGAGACCTGGGTTCGAGTCTCACCCTTCACCTTCCCTCTGTGCCCCTCCTTAGTTCCTTGGGAGAAGTGGCCCGTGAGCGGCCCAGCTGCGGGGGAACGTCCTAAAAGGCGATGTCCGTGGGCTCAAGGAAGCCCATGGCAGGGTGAGCAGATACGGTGCGGGACGGGGACTCCAGCCTCCCTTCTGGTCCCCGGGGCATTGCCATTCCAGAGATGCGTTTCCAGGGATGCCATTCCAGGGACCGACCGGGAGTCTCGACCCCTCCCACCTCTGCCGGGCCCTGCCCACCCCCCTCGGAGCTCGCCCGCCGGCCATTCACAGGACGCAGCGTGACTGCAGGATCTGTTTATTTCACTCTCAGCCTGGAGGCCCGGCCCCTGCCGAGGCCCTCCCTCCCCCCACGCCTGGGCGCAGAGGGATGGGATGGACGAGCCCAGTAGGAGCCCAGGACAGCGGCAATCGGCCAGGGTTGAGAGCGCGGAGTGGGCTCAGAGCACCAGGGACTGGGTGCCATCCCACAGGCCCCAATCCCCTGAGGGTCAGCAGGAAACAGAATTCCGAAGGAAAGGGCTAGCAACTGGGGTGCGCCCGGGCATCCCCAGCCGGCGTCCCTGAAGGCTTCTGTCTGCGGGCGCGGGGGGGGGTGCCCCATCACGCCACAAGCGTGGGCCGCCAGGGGTGTGGCTCGCGCTTCAGTTTGAGGGTGTAGCTGCGCAGGCGCGGGCAGTGCGCGCGGAAGGCATTCAGCACCGAGGGTCTCACCACGCAGAAGCAGTGCGCCTCGCACAGGTCCGCGCAGCGCGCCGCCAGCTCCTCCAGCGCTTCGTCCAGCGCCGCCGAGGCGGCGGCGCGCACCTCCAGCTCGCGCAGGGTTTTCGCGTAGTGGCGCGCGGCAAAGCGCACGGGGCCTGCGGTGTCGCCCGAGAGGTTGAGGCGCAGCGCGGCCACGGGCACTGATGGCTGCAGGATGCGCGTGACGCTCTCCTCAGGCAGCGCCGGCTCCAGCTCCAGCTCCACGGCCAGCCCGGGGTGGCGCCGGCGCACGGCAGCCCAGACTTCATCGGGCAGCGGGGATGCGCGTGCATCCTCAGGGCACTCGCATCGCAGGGCGAGGAGCACGAAAGGCGCGCGGTTGGGAGCAGCTAGCGCTTCGAGGGCGGCGCATGACAGACTGGCCAGGTGCAGCCCGAGGGCGCGCAGGCGCGGGCAGGCCTCCAGCAGCTCCAGCACCGAGCTGGGCCCCACGCTGCCTACCAGTGTACGGTTGTCCAAGAAAAGGCTGCGGAGCTCGGGACAGCCGTGCGCCGCCTGCAGCACCAGCCCGTCGTCTAGCGTGAAGGGCAAGCCGCGCAGGTCGAGGTGGTGTAGCTCGCGGGCGGCCCCGCAGACGGCGTGCACGGCGCCCAGGACGTCGCGGCCAGCGTCGAAGAGCGGTTTCTCGCCGTGACACTTCAGGCACAAGCTTCTCAGTCCGGGGGCACGGCCCGCCAGCGCCGTCAGCAGCTCTATGGCTGCTGAGCGGCTCGGCTTCCTGGAGGGCTCGAAGTCCAGCCGCAGATCGTGAACGTGGTCCAGGCAGGCGAACACATAGGAGCGCAGCATGCCTTCCAGCTCCCAGTGGCAGCTTGGGTTAAAGCGGTGCAGAGGGGGAGTCGGTGACGTCCCCGCGATCAGGGGAGCAGCCTCTGTCTTACCCCTCAGCTGCCATCCCCGCGTCTACCCACTAATTGCACACACCTGCGTCTGACTGCACCCGGCCACCTGCCCCAAGACAGCCGCCGACGGTAGGAGGGAACTCCCATCCCATCCCTTTAGAAGACTTCGGGGACGTCTTCGGCAGGTTGAAACCCTAGCACGGAGAGCCAAGGATATTTTAGGAACCGGCTTTCTCGGCTGTCTCTAAGTAGGCGAGGCCTCCAGACTCCTGGGTTCAATTCCTGCCTCTGCCAGTTCCTCGCCTCCTGTTCTGGGGGAAGTGTCTGTCCATCTGCCTTAGAATTCTGTCTGGGCAGTGGAGAGCACGATACTGCCTAGCTAGCACACCAGGTTTCTGTAGGATTGAATGAGTTCGTATTAAGGCCCTGAGAACAAGGGTTGGTTCAGGACAGGAGTTCAAGACATGCTATCGTGTGCTTTAACATGGGCGACCACTGCATCCCTCCCCCCCACCGGCAGCTGCCGGAGGCTCACCTGATGTTTGTGTGGTGCCACATGGAGCTGCAGGTGGCGGCAGCGGCCCAGGCTCTGCAGACGTGGGCGGCAGCGGCACGGTCCCTTAGCGGCAGGTGGCGGAAGATGAGGGCCAGCACCTCCTCCGGCAGCTGTTCTTTGGGTTCGGCCATCCTGCACCTCGAGGTGTGTGTGGGTTCCTCTGCTCCCTGCGACAGCTCTGGGGGCCCGGAGAGAGGGGGGCAGATGTCCCTGGGCTCAGGAAATCACAATGTTGAGGGAATACTGGAGCCTGGTGGAGTGCTTGTGGCCCAGGGGGCTGCTACAGGATAAAGACTTTCAAGACAGCAATGGCAGAGCCTGGGTATTAAGCCACGCCTGGGGTCCCACCTGACTGTACAGGACTCATGCTCCTGCAGTTGGGCTCTGAATGCCAGTCTCTGGTTCTCCTTTATTCCCTCACTTGTTGAACAAACCCATGACAATTATGACCTACGTGGGAAGTTGCACAAGTCTTTCCCTGGGAGGGTAGAGGGCATCTGCTGGGGCCCTGGCTCGGCTACACCACCCCATGCCCCTGCTCAGACTGATCCAGGAACGCTGCTTGGGCCAGGGAGTCACTGAGCACGAGGCATCAGAATCACCCAGAGGTGGGCTCACAATGCAAACTCCACCGCTCCACCTCTGGGAGGGGGAAGGCCCAGGAACTTGAATTTCAACAAGCCCTGGGTGACATTACAAGTTCCCAGTTGAGAAACCCCTGTTCTGTCCCCGCTGGTTACTAGAGAGTGGCTACAGGGTTAATAAGGCGGGAGCATCAGCGAAGACCTTTTAATTGTCAGGGACCAGGAGCCAATCCGGAAGCGGGGTTGCAACAGCTGGATCCGCTCAGGGAGGGGAGGTTTCTGTCCCGCTCCGCCTCACCGGGGAGGTGTCGGGGGTGCTTCCTCGGGCCGGCCCGGGGAGATGAGGCTCGAGCCCAGAGGGGCGCGGGAAGGTTTGCGTACACACCTGTCACACCGTTGGCCAGTTAATTTTCTCACCTCTTTGAAGCTAGCCTTCTCTCCTGAAATTTGTGCCACAGGCACCCTGGGGCTTCAGATTCCTGGGGCCGTGGCAGGGAGTAGCAGAAATGGGAAAGTATCAGGCCAGATCCCCCGTCGGATCCCCAGGGGGCGCCCTCTCGTCGATCCCTCTTTTTCCACGCGGAGGACAACTGACACTTTCCACGTTGTGGGCCCTCTGGACTGCCTCTGAGTCCCGCCACCCCCCAAAGTCCCCTCCCACGGGCGACTCTTGCTTCCTTCTAAGCTCGGGCTCCGGCGTCTTACCTGCTCAGCGGACCAGACGGGCTCTGCCCAGGGGTAGGGGACTGGCCGCGGAGGGCGGCGGGGCGGGAAGGAGCCGCAGGCAGCCGGGAGGGCGGGGCGCGCGGGCGGACGGGGCGGCCCGGCCTGGGGCACCGCCCCGGCGCCTCGGCGCACACCCGGAAGCGGCGCGAGTGGAGCCGAGCCTGGCTGGCGTGGGCGGTCGGGCCCCGCCGAGGCAGCCAGGTTAGTGCTGAGGGTGTGGGGGGCTCGCTAGTGCGAGAGGGGCGCAAGCAGAGCGTGGCGCGGTACGCGTGTGTCCCGCCGCTGCCACGGCAAGCTGCGCGGCCAGTCTCCGTGGGGGGCAGGGGAGGGGCACGGAACTTGACTCGGTTGGGTTCTTTGTCCCAACTAAGGGCTTTGGAGGGGCGGTCGGGCATATAGGTGGGAGGGTCGCGGGTGGCGGGCCTGGTTCTGAACAGTTCCGTGAGCCGAGACCCCCTTGCGGGAGAAACCCCCGCGGGAGGGTGACCTTGCGGGGCCGGGAGCGGAGCTGCGGGGGAGCGGGCACGCGCACCAGGCAGCGGGCGTCGAGGCTTTTGGCGCCTGGACCGGTCTGCAGGCCGCTGCGGCCACGCAGCCAGAGGCGGGGCTGCCTATGGACCCCTAGGTGTTAGTGGGGCCCTGTGTGCCGCGCTGGTCCCTGATAGGGGCAGTGTTCCTGGTTGGCGTCCGCGTGTCCCATGGACCGTTCTCCGGACTCAGCTGGGAGCCTCAGCCCGGCCCCAAGAGGGGCGGAGCCCGCGTGGGTGGGGTGCGGGGCTTCCCGAGGAGGGCCTGGAGGCCAGGGCCTCCCGCCTCTCCTCCTGTGGGGAGCAAACCGGACTAGACTGTTACTGGAATTAAGACTTATTCTATGCATCTGCTCTCCCACAATATGGCGCTGGGAGAGAAGTAAACAGCTTCTGCACAGCTGCCTCCAGTTCAACTAATAAACTGTAGGACTTGCTCCTGATTGGAGAGCAGCGTGCTCGGCGTGTGGGCAGCCGAGCTGGGATTGGCGGAGGAGGACTATAAAGGAGGAGAGAGACGGCATGCACCAGGAACATCTATGGGGAACATCTAAGAGGAACACCTGTGCAGCCCCCGAGAGAGCCGGCCGGCGGTGTGCCGCTCCCCTGCGGAAGTGGGGAATGTGGCCAGGGGGAACTGCCCTTCCACGGAGGTGGAAGGGATAGTAGCCAACCCGGGAAGAACCAGCAGCAAACCCGGGGAGGGCCGAGCAGATGAAAGAACAGCGCAGGGTCCTGTGTCGTTCCTCCACGAAGACGGGGAGCGACATCCTCCACTCCCTTAACTGACCCCACACATTCCCATCTGCCCAGTGCTGGTGCGCGGGAGGGAGCACACCCCCATCTCCAGGTTCCCAGCGGCTGCACCCCACCCCGCAGGCCTGGTGGGCAGACTCTGGGCCCCCTCGGTCCCTGCCCCTATCCCGGGGGCTGTGTCCACAGGGTCTGGAGGGTGGCTCCAGCTCGGCCCCGCCTTCCCTCTCAACTCCTTGGCTGGCTTCCTTCCACCGTCCGCCCCGTTTGTGGTCTCCTGGTTGTTGGTTAGTTTAGAAAGACACTTTTATTTGCTGTGTTTAATACAAAGGAAACATGTCTATTTTCTATAAGGTAGAAAATTGCTAAATACAAAGAACATTTAACATCCAGCCCAACCCCACCCTTGCCCCAGTCCTGCTGCGATAAACACAGTGCTGGCTTCCTGTGAACTTCCAGACGTTTTTGGATGAATACATAGTGTTTTACGTGAGAAGGTTGGTGGTGGGGAGGGTCTCCCCAAGGTGTGCCCCCTACGTTAGACCCAGGGTAGGGCCTTCACCGGGCATCACTTCCTTTGCCAGGGTCTGGCCGAGGCAGAGGGGGCCCAGCCAGTGACGGCCCCAGCCTTGGCGCTCAGGATTCTAACTCCCTCTCAACAGTGTCCCGGGCGGGGGTCTTGGGGTCCTCCTGGCACCCCACCCCCAGGGGCCAGGTGGGGCCACCATCTGTCTGGTGCAGAGCCTCTCTTGGCCATATGCATATGTAAATATTGTAAAGCAGTGACTGAGAGGGCAACATGGGGGGTGTCTGTAGCTCCTGTGTCTTGGAAAAGTGATGGGGAGAGGAAGAGACCGGGCGTTCCCCCCTTGCTGCCTCCCGGGACGGCCACTGGAGGCCGCTGTGCGGAAGCTCAGTGGTTCCCTGGCTGGGCCCCTGTGCGCACCCTGGTCTAGGGCGAGGCTTTTGACAGGAGGTGGATGGGGGGGGATGCGGGGGCCCTGGTTCTCTGTGCACATGGAAGGAATCTCTACTGGAACCGTGTGAGTTGATGACACAGGAGCTTTATAGCAAAAAGGGATGATGGAGCTCGCGTAGCCGAGAAGCCGCGAGCGCAGTGGCTGCAGGGACAGCTGGCCCTGGAGCACAGTGAGGTGAGGAAAAGGCGTGCCCCTTTCCCCTGGGTTCCACGGGAGCTGCAGGATGCGTTCCAATTGGCCCAGCCTGAGCCCTGTTCCCAGCCCCGGCTCATCATTGCCGGAACCTGGAGCCAGCAGTCCCGTGGTGTGAAAGGGGCTGGGACGTCCTCCCGGCAGTCGGACGTGCGTGGATGCAGGTGGCCCCGCGAAGCGCAGCTGAGGGGGGTTAAGTGCAGGTGAGGGTCTCGAGGGAAGGCCCCGGGGGCTCGCGTGCAAGCCGAACGCAAGGCCAGGCCGTGGGTCTGGTTCGCTTTGAGGCCTGGGCATTGTCCGGAGTGAAGATGTCTCCTGTCCATTATGGTGAGAGCCACACTGGCCAGTGGGGCAGTGAGAATGGCTCTGTGCTCGTGTCACCGTGGCCCTGGGTGCTCTCTCTGACAAGGCAGCGTAGGCACAGTCCCTGCTATGAGGCTGGGCTGGGCGTAGGGGGCTGTGGGCTGAGCCGGAGGCCCAGGCCTGGCAGGTGGTGAACTTCACCCCTCAAGTACACCAGCTGGCCAGGGCTGCTGTGGGGGCCAGCTGGACCACACGGGACAGGAGAGTTGTCTTCTGGGCTGGAGGTGATCTGGACTTTTGTCTACCTCTCCAGGGGGCAAGATGGCAGCAGGGCCAAATGGGTGCCAAGAGTGGGTGGGCAGCGCCTACCTGTTTGTGGAATCCTCGCTGGACACGGTGGTCCTGTCGGACATCTACGCACAGCCCCAGCAGAAGGTGGCGGTGTACAGGGCTCTGAGAACTGCCTTAGCAGGTGCGTGGGTGGGCAGGCACGCAGAAGGAAAGGGGGCCCGGGGTTGGGGCCCAGGCTAGGGTCCCACTGCCTCTCCTTGATGGGCCTGCGCTTATCCTTTTTAGGGAAAAGCTTTGATGATGATGATGGGGTGGGGGTGGGGGGCTACGACCCCTGGCTGCCTAGGCTTGGTCTTTTCTGTGTCTGGCATGTGTATCCTTGGGGTGCAGGCGCGTGCGTCTGAGCACCACCTACCTATTTGTAGGCTAACTTCCTGCTGTGTGATGCCTGCCCACGCCAGCCGGCTCACTCCTTTCTACTAATTGCCCCCCCCCCTCTTTCTCTTTTCCTCTCACTGCAGCACTTCTTGCCCAAGACCCCTCCCAAGTGCCTACCGTTTCGAGTCCCCCTTTTCCATCTCAGAGCAGAGACCTGAGGTCAGTTGGGGGATCTGACCTGCAGCCCCAGAGTGGCAAGAGCCCCTCTTCCAGGCCAACAGGAGCCGCACGTGGTGGAGGCGGAAGAGCAGAAACTGTTTTCTGCCTCCAGATCTGCCCCTAAGTAGGCTTGGCCGCCCAGGGCACGCATGCCTGTGCTGTGGGGCCGAGCCCCTCCCTTCTTAGGTGGGGCGTTAGGCATAGGCGCTGCGTGACACCGCTCTGGCTTGGAGTGCTCTCTGCGATAGGTCCTGGCTTCTTTCTAAGCTGCTCTTTGCGTCTGTGTTTTGGTTGCCATTTGGGTACCCTGGGGTCATCCTGCACCCCAGCCAGGTCCCAGGATGGGGACGGGTGTCTGGCCATGGGTTTTGCCCTTCCTCCGGCCGTTTGGCGACCGCCATGCGCCTGACTGCCCGCCTCTGCAGAGAGCGGCGGGAGCCCAGACGTGGTGCAAATGCTCAAGATCCATCGCAGCGACCCGCAGCTGGTCGTGCAGCTGCGTTTCTGCGGGCGCCAACGCTGCGGCCGCTTCCTCCACGCCTACCGCGAGGGGGCGCTGCGCGTCGCTCTGCAGAAGCGCTTGGCGGCGGCGCTCCAGCGGCACTCGTTGCCCCTGCGGCTGGAGCTGCGCGCGGGCTCAGAGCTGCTGGACGCTTGGCTGACGGATGAGGAGCGCTGTTTGAGCTGCATCTTAGCTCAGAAGGTGCGGCCGGGCTGCGGTCAGGCTTGGGGGCGGTGGGAGCGGGCTTCGTCTTGAGACCACCACTGATGGCGCCCTCCCTCCCCTAGCCCGACCGGCTCCGGGATGAGGAGCTCGCGGAGCTGGAGGATGCGCTCCGGAACCTGACGTGCAGCCCCGAGGGTCAGGGTGGCGGCGTGGAGGTTGTGCTGGCCCCTTCGCAGCCTCTGGTCCCCTCTCCGTCGGAAGAGAAGCCGTCTCCGCCGGCACCTGTCCACACTTTTCTGTTCCAGGGTCAGCCCGTAGGTGAGGCGCGAGTGCAGAGGCAGGGTTGCCAAGGGCACGGAGCTGGGCGAGGGGCGAGGACTGGGCCGGGCCTCGCTGGGAGGGTACGGGGTTCCCGCTCCCATCTCCTTCCTCCTGCTCTCCGCAGTGAACCGGCCGCTGAGCCTGCAGGACCAGCAGACGTTCGCGCGTTCCGTGGGCCTCAAGTGGCGCAAGGTGGGGCGCTCGCTGCAGCGCGGCTGCCGGGCGCTGCGCGACCCCGTGCTGGACTCGCTGGCCTACGAGTACGAGCGCGACGGGCTGTACGAGCAGGCCTTCCAGCTGCTGCAGCGCTTCGTGCAGGCCGAGGGCCGCCGCGCCACGCTGCAGCGCCTGGTCGAGGCGCTGGAGGAGAACGAGCTCACCAGCCTGGCAGAGGACCTGCTGGGCCTGAATTAGGCCCAGCCCCGGAAGAAGGGGCGGCCGGCCGGCTGGCTTCCCGGCCGGGGTCTGGAGCCCCTGGATGACCGTCCGGGCCCTTCTGCTGCTACCGCTGACCCCGTCCATCCGCGGGATGCTGCGATCGGCTTAAACTGCTTTCCTCTCGGCTGCAGCTGCCGGGGCAGAGCTGACTGCCTTTCCCAGGAGCCAAGTTCGCTGGGGGCGCTCCTTTGGGGATCCTACCCCAGAGCTGGGATAGAGCTGGGGGTGCGCCTTTGGGGACCCTACCCCAGAGCTGGGGGGAGTGGCGCCGAGGTCGGCTTCTCCCTCTCCCACCCCGGAAGAGAGGCTCCCAGCACGAAGCACCTGGGTGTTGCAGAAGCACCGGTCTCGCCTGCCTGCAGCACACACTCAGGGTGGGACCTGGATGCTGAGCCACGGTAATAAAGTGTAAGGACAAAACCAGGCGTTGTGGAAACACCAAGGAGGGCGCTGGGCTTCCTGGAAGACACAAGTGTGCATAGGGGTGGCAGGGAGTGAGGGCAGGGCTCTGGTCTTGGCCAAGGTGAGAGGGAGGGACCAGGAGGTTTAGAATGGCTGGCTCAGGGGTGGGTGGACTTGTTGAGACCTGTCGGGCAGGTGGACAGCACGGGGTCTCGTGAGCCCTTTGATGGAGTTTGGGTTGTATAATGAGGCTGATGGGACGCCTCTGGGAGGCAGGGCCATGGGGGATGGTGGCCCAGGGTGGGGCACAGCAAGGATGCAGGAAAGCGGTCAGAAAGCAAGGGCTATTAGGAGGGAGAGCAGCAGGCCCTGGCCCTGGGTGCGCCGTGGGGTGACAGAGGACCTGGAGATTTCTGCCGCTAGCTGCTGGGCTGGAGGCTCTGGGGGGGGGGGGGAACGCTTGCTCTGTGTGGACCTGCTAGGCATGTGGCCCTGCAGGACTGCCGAGGAGGGCGTGGGAGGGCAGCTGGATGAGGGGTCAAGGGTAAAGACTGGGAGCGTGGGCGGGGTGGCCACAGGGACTAGGCATGGGATGGACATTTGGCAGAGCAGGTAAGATGCCTTCACTTCCCTGGAGTTCCTGGGTTTGGGTCCCAGCTCCCAATTTCAACTCCTCCCTCCCTCCCTCCCTCTCCCCCTCCCTCCCTCTCCCCCTCCCTCCCTCTCCCCCTCTCCCCTCCCTTCCTCCCTCCCCCTTCCTTCCTTCCTTTTTCTGTCTGTCCTTTCTTTCAAGATTTATTTGAAAGGCAGAATGACAGCAAAGCAGAGAGGGCACAAGGGAAGTATCTTGATGTTCCATCCACTGGTTCACTCCCCAAATGGCTGCAGCGCTCTGGACTGGGCCAGGCCGAAGCCAGGATCCAGGAGTTCCATGAGTCTCCCAGCCGAGTGCAGGGGCCCCAGGACTTGGGCCATCTTCCACGGCTTTCCCAGGCGCGTTCGCAGGGAGCTGGATTGGAAGTGGAGCAGCTGGGACTCACACTGGTGCTCATATGGGATGCCGGCGTCAGAGGCAGTGACTTAACCTGCTATGCCTCAACCCAGCTTCTCACGCAGACCCTGGGAGGCAGCAGGTGATGGCTGAAGCAGCTGGGTCCTTGCCACACCCATGGGAGACCCAGATTGAGCTCCAGGCTCTTGGCTTCAGCCTGGCTCATCCCCCACTGTTGTATTTGGGGAGTCAGCCAGTGGGTGGCAGATAGAGATTTCTGTCTCTTTGCCTCTTAAATATTGAAAGAAAGGGACCAGCCCAGAGGAAGGAGGAGAACCAGGGGATCTGGAAGCCGGGGAAGTCCTCCACAGGGGCACCGGATGCTGCAGATCAGTCAAGGCTGAGGAGCAGCCACTGGGCTTGGTGACAGGGAGGTTACTGGGGGGAGGGTGGGGCAACCTGAAGCCCTAGCACCGGAGGGGGAGGGGGGCACAGGGGAAAGAGAGTGGATGGCTCTGGATGGGTTTGCTTCTCAAGGGAGAATTGTGTGGGAAGGAGTCATCAAGGGTGGTGCCGAGTAGCCTTGCTGGCCCCAGCAGCTTGACTCGGGGTGGTGGTGTTGGTGTCCTGGGCTCCAGCACATGGGCAGGGACCCAGAGACCCCGAGTTCCAGGGAGAGCTGTAGCAGAGCTAGGCAAGGACTCGGCTCTCAATCTCGGGGGCATCCTCTGGCCTTCTGGGGCCCTGAGCAAACCTCTGCTCCTCGGCCTACTCCAGAAGTTTGCCCAAGTTCTGCCACCCCTGCCGGCCCTATCGGGCATGCAAGAGTGCAGGCACGGCGCTTTCCACCCATGGGAGGCTATGCTGGGGACCAGGGCCTCCACGTACATTATTGGTTCGTAGTTCCTGGGAGACAGGCTCAAGCGCTTGCCTGTGAAATTGGAACAGACACAGTCGGCCCCCTGTTCAGGGTCCAGTGGGTGGATGAGGAGGCAGGGAAGGACAAAGGACAGACCCCTGCTCTGAATTCCGTAAGTCGTGGGGGCAGCACTTGTTCCTGCTGTGACCCTGGGCGCTGCGGGGAAGCCGTCCGTGTCTCCATCTGGAGGAGCAGTGAGAGCTGGAAAGCCCGGGCGCGTTTACGGGGTGCGGGACGGCAGAGCCAGGACTAGGGAGGCAGCCCTGGGTCCCAGAGGCCGTTGACGGGCCCATCCGGGTGGAACCAGGGCTGCAGAGGAGAGGCGCACGGACCGGCAGGGCAGGATGATGGGAGGGTGGATGGATGCCCAGGACCTGGCCCCCGACCCCGACCCCCTCCGCAGACTAGGAGACATTCCTGGCCAAGCCGCTGCCAGGCAGATCTGGGGGCTGAGCCAGCGGCGACACCCGCCTTCCCCGCGAGTCCCCCCTCGGAGACGGCGCTGGCGCCCGGGGCGGGGCTGAGCGGCAGATGTCCGGGCGCGCACCGCTGGAGGGTCACGTGGCACGGTCCCGGCCCCCTTTCCTGCCAACGCTGCATTTGGCCCAGGCCCCGTCCATGGCCGCCCTTGGGACCTTGTGCTGAGCCCCTGAGGCCCCGGCGTCCGCGCCGCTCCCGAGGGCCGAGCGTGAGTGCCGGGATCCTAGGAACCGACGTTGGGGGTCGGGGAGGTGGCAGGGAGTTCGGTCTCTGTGTGGGGGTAGTGGGAAGGGATGGAGACGAAGCCCATCTGCCCGGCCTTGGGACACCATCCCTGGCCGGAGCTGAGCAGGCTGGAGTTGGCCACAAGGGGTCACTTCTCGTCCCTTCAGGCTTCCCACCCCGGCGGGTGCGTCAGGGCCGGGAGGAGGAGGCGGCGGACGACCCGAGTGGAATGAACGGCCGGTAGCGAGACCCCCGGGGCGTGGCCTCCTGCGTCCCCCCCCCACCTCCCCCGAAGGCGGGGCTGGGGGCCCTGCCGCGGGCGCCGGCCTCGCGGACATGCGGTGGCGGCGGCGGCTGCGCCTCCGCCGGGACGCGTTGCTCACGCTGCTGCTCGGCGCCACGCTGGGTCTCCTGCTCTACGCTCAGCAGGATGGCCCGGCCCTGACGACGACGACGAGCGCGCCGCGGGCGCCAGGCAGGGCGGCGTCAAGGGCCACTCTGGGGCCCCGCGCGTTCCAGGCGGCAGACCCAGACACGGACGCAGCCCCGCCGGCCTATGAGGGGGACACGCCGCCGCCACCCACGGCCACGGGACCCTTTGATTTCGGCCGCTACTTGCGCGCCAAGGACCAGCGGCGCTTTCCGCTGCTCATTAACCAGCCGCACAAGTGCCGGGGAGAGGGCGCCCCCGGGGGCCCACCCGACCTGCTCATAGCCGTCAAGTCCGTGGCGGCCGACTTCGAACGGCGTCAAGCCGTGCGCCAGACGTGGGGCGCTGAGGGGCGCGTGCGGGGGGCGCTCGTGCGCCGTGTGTTCTTGCTGGGCGTACCCAGGGGCGCAGGCGCGGAGGGGGCGGGCACGCAGACGCACTGGCACGCTCTGCTCCACGCCGAGAGCCGGGCGTATGCGGACATCCTGCTCTGGGCCTTTGATGACACTTTCTTCAATCTAACGCTCAAGGAGATCCACTTTCTGTCCTGGGCCTCGGCCTTCTGCCCCGACGTGCGCTTTGTTTTTAAGGGTGACGCCGATGTGTTCGTGCACGTGGGGAACCTGCTGGAGTTCCTGGCGACACGGGATCCAGGGCAGGACCTGCTTGCGGGTGACGTGATTGTGCAAGCGCGGCCAATCCGCGTGCGGGCCAGCAAGTACTACATCCCTGAGGCGGTGTACGGCCTGGCCGCGTACCCGGCCTACGCAGGTGGCGGCGGCTTTGTGCTTTCGGGGGCCACTTTGCGTCGTCTAGCTGGCGCCTGCGCACAGGTTGAGCTCTTCCCCATCGACGACGTCTTCCTGGGCATGTGCCTGCAGCGTCTGCGGCTCACCCCCGAGCCGCACCCTGCTTTCCGCACCTTCGGCATCCCCCAGCCTTCGGCGGCGCCCCATCTCCGCACCTTCGACCCCTGCTTTTACCGCGAGCTGGTGGTAGTGCATGGGCTCTCCGCCGCCGATATCTGGCTTATGTGGCACCTGCTGCACGGGCCACACGGGCCGGCCTGCGCGCGCCCACAGCCTGCTGCTGCGGGCCCGTTCCAGTGGGACTCTTAGCAGGCCCAGGAGAGAGCGTGAAGGGATCTGCTGGGCAGACGACCGTGGTCCTTGTGCTTCCTCCACACAGCAGAAGGGAGTTTGGATTTGGCTCCTGCTGGCTCACACCAAAGAGAGCAGTCTAGAACCAGTGTTGAGACTCACTTCCCTGCGGTAGCCTGAGCTGAGGTGGCGGCGGTCTATCTTGTGCCCTACAGGTCCTAGAGCAGTGGGTGTTTGTGGCCCTCCTAGCAGCAGATGGGTGTGTGTCAGGTAGGGGCGGCAGGGCTCGCGGAATCCTGCACTCCCTGGCTTCGCACACAGGGGAATGCAGGCGCAGGCAGGCCTCCTTCCTCAAGCCAGCCCCCGTGGGAGGGTGAGGGCAACCTGGCAGGCCTTTCTGCTCCCCACCTGTCCCTCCAAATTGGGTTCCCAGCCCTGTCCAGCTCTTTGGGAGTTTCTGAACATAAGGTCTGGCTGTGACATGCAGGGTGGGGCCCCAGACAGGGACAACTGAGTGTTGGTTCCTCCTAAAGTCTCCCCAGCTCACACAGCCACACAACTGCACCAGCCTCTTACTGGAGCCCCCTGCCCCCCCATCCTCAGAAACAAACCAACCAGCCAACACCCCTGCTTATTTTGGTAGAAACATCCCAGCAACAGCACATGGCAGGCCGCTGCTGAGAGCACAGGTGCTTTATTGGAGAGGGGATGCGGGCAGGGATGAGGAAGGGTCCCCACTCCAGGACGGGCACAGTCCTGGCTGCTCCTGACAGTGGGGTATGCAGGAATCACTGGCCAGGCCACAGTCCAAATGGGAAGACACCAGTCATGGGAGCGCCACACAAGCTTGGCTGTAGGCCAAGGAACCACCTAGGAGCTTGGGGCAGGTCCCCTGCACATTCTTCACTGAACTATACAGGATGAGGCTGTACATGAGTTAATTACAAAAGTCATATTTACAAAAAAATCTGTACACACATTTGAAAAACTCACAAAATTGTCATCTATGTATCACAAGTTGCTAGACCAAAATATTAAAAATGGGATAAAATTATACATTTCTCTTCTCAATTCTTTTCAAAAGGATTAATATTTTTAAAGCACATCTATGCTGCTTTCTGTTAGCAAGATCCATGATGAGACCGAGCAGCCCAGCCTGCCGTGGGCGCCCAGAGCCCGTGAGCCCTGGGCCTGGCTAGGGGACAGTGCCCACTGTCGGGGCAGGGGGCCGGCCCGCAGTGCAGAGCAGAATGCTGAGACAACAGAAGGAAGATGTCTTTGGCTAAAACTTTGGCATTAAATAAAAGAGGCAAACAGGATGGAAACATGCACCCCTGCCAGCCAGGCTGGGGCAGAGTGGAGGCATAGGCGACCTTGAGAGCTGGCTCAAGAGGAGTGAGAGCCAGGCCTGGGCACAGAGCTAGGCAGTAGAAAGCTGTGTTTCAACCAGTTGGCTGTGCCTACTGGGCCTGGCAGGGAGAGCGTGCAAGAAAGGAACAGGGAGGGGGGGTGGGCCACTTTGGCCACAACCAGCTCATCAAGTAACTAAAGTGGATGTAGTGCAAACGTTGCAACCGAGTACAATGGACACACACCACCTGCCTGACTTACGGGTCACGTGGCAATGTGGGGCCAAAGGCAGGACCCTGTCCTCAGCCACAGAAAGAGCCCCAAGTTTTCCCAATGTGTGTGGGACAGGTGTTGACACATCCTGCCTCCTTGCGCATTAGTCAAGAGCTCCTGGGTCCAGGTATCAAGGCTCAAAGTTTGTGCTTCTCTTTGCAGTCTGTGTCCCCTGCCGGTGCCAGCAGGCTGAGGACGCACAGAGGCAAATCTGGACTCCTCACCCCACGCAGAACACCCAGACCAAGCCCCCTCCCTTCAACACTGGCAAAGCGTCCAAGAAAACCCACAGTGTGGCACACAGAGGCCTGCTGAGCAGGATGCGATGCGCATTTCCACGGGGCAGAGAGGCATGGGGTTGACGTCCCTAGGGGAGCTCCGCTGTTCTCAGGTGGGCACCAGGCCTGGGGGGGCCATACAGGGTCACTGAGGCAATGTGGTTGTTCTGCATGACCTGGTTGAGAGAAGGCCAGTGAAGCAAGGGGCACAGGTAGAGGGACAGAGGCAGATCCCATGCACAGAGGTTGGAAGCTGTGTGAGCAGCCCACCTGCACACCGAGGCTGGGCTTCCTGACCCTTCCACCTAGGGGCCACTCTGCCCACGGACTTGCCTACTCCTCATGGGGTACACAGCCTTCGCCATAGGAAATGCAAAGGGCCCACTGAAGGTATGGCACCCAGAGGGAAAACACGGGCAGCCCACTTTCCCCATGTCTGCAGGGTCTTCCGAGCCGCCACCTCCCGTCGTGACAGGGCTGGGCCTCGCTTGTCCCGTGGTTCCCTTCCCTGCTATGCTACACTAAAGGAATCCCTGTTGCCTCTTGTTGGACACAGGGTAGGCCACGTGCTCAGCAGACATGGTTGCTGGGGAAAGAGTAATCTGCCCAGCATAGCAAGTGGGTTCTCCTCCGCGTCCCTCAATTGCTTGTCTGCCTCTGCCTTGACCACCACCCCCAGCAGCTTATTTCCAGGCCTCTGGGCTTACCTCAAAGATCATACGCTGAAGGCCGAAGCAGAATGTGGAGCCAAATGGGTTGGTGTTGTTTGGAGAGGAGGACCTGAGGCCAGAAAAGCCAAAGTTAGAGGGGAAGATGGAGGCTGAGGCCAAGCAGGAAGGGCAACCAGTCCCTTTTGGTCAGAAGCAACTTCTCACTCACCTGTGCAGGACAACAGGCTTCTCCACAGGGTGACCCAGGAGCTCCTGGATGTTGTCCCACTACAGGAGAGACAAGAGGCACAGGGCGTTAGCCAGGACCTGAACATGCCTACAAGCATGGACTGACCCAGAGGACATGGCCTCAGACTGCCCACCTCATCCTCAGGCTGTGCCAGTAGGGAAACAGGTGCTCACCTTGCTGTAGGTTGTACACGTTTCTGTCTGATCATCTGCATTTTCTAAAAAGAGCACATAGGGTGAGTTGGTGACAGGCCCAACCCCAGGTCTGACCCCAGCCACCTGCTGCACAAGAGGTTGAGTATGTAGAGTACACACAGCCCATTTTGGAGCTCTAGGGTGGAAAGGCTGGATGGGTGAAGGGAAGTCATGTGTGAGCCACACCAACTGGCAGTGACCAAAATGCACTAGGTATGGGCAGCAAGCACTGCACAGTTCCCTTCAGAGGCCAGCAAGCCCATCCATGATCCTAGGAAAGGCCCTTGAGGGCCTCCAGATAATGCAATTTCCAGACAAGGAGGCCATCCCAGGAGCTGAGGCTATGACAGAAGCAGGTAGGTAAAGGCTCTGCAAACCGGACCACTGCCAGCCTCTCTGCATGGTTCCTTTCACTTCTGGAGTGGGAAACTGACTCAGAGGCCCCTTACCCTGAGGGCAATCACTACTCACCTTTCTTTATGGCTAGTGGGATCTTGAACTCACAGCGGTGATAGCTAGAGAAAAGGCAGAGAGGTAAAGGCAGGGCCTCCTGGGAGACCTGACCATTCCTGCATCCCAACCCAGTCCTGGCCCTGGGCTCCTGACAGTGGCAAGATTCAGGCACTGAAGTGAAACAGAAAAAGGTATAGCCCTGGAGTCTGAATCACTTTGGAAAAAGCATCAAGGTTTCCTTACCTATTTCCCCATTTGGAGAATGAGCAAAAATGGACAGACTGGACGTTATGCGAGGAACACAGAGAGCAGTCACTTCCATGCATTAGTGGGAATTCAGGTATAAACACCTTAGTAAGCACACAGAGCACAAGCTCCCTTTCAGATCAGTGTACTCACATGTTAAAATTATAATGTCCAGGGTAATTGGTGTGCAGGACAAACTTCTTCACTTTGTGTGTATTTGCATCAAACAGGATGTCCTGGGATAGAAAAGAAGGTGCTCAGGCAGGGAATGTTACTGAAGCAGGGCAGGGACCCAACCCTCTAGGCCTGGCAGGCACAGGGCCCACGACGGCCACTGCTTGGGATGGAAACATGTAAGGGAAAGCATTCCCACCAGCCCCTCCTGTGGGAGTCAGCAAGCCCTGGAAATGGAATTCCAGCCTGACCTCTCTAAAGACTCTAACCTAGATTTGATGTTGTCCACTGAACACTTTCTCAGCTTCATATTCTGCCTGCTGTTCAGGCCTGTGAATCCAGGGTTACCTCTGACTCTGCCCTGGTACCAGCAGACAAATAAGGGCAAGAATCTGCCAGTTCTCTCCATCTTGCCTGCCGTCAGTTGTCACTGGCTCTTGAACTCAGGCCCACCTTTAACAGCACCATTCCCTACTGCCACCACCCTACCCCAGGAGTTTATGATCCCACAGTGGGTCCTCAACTACTCCTGGCTCGTGCTTGGTCTCTCCCACACAGGCAGACCCTGTCTCTCTCTGATCCACCCTTTGCTGCCTCAGGACTTTAGAACCTAGAAGGCTCAAAGGTTAGATGACCTATATTCTAGGCCAGCCCTGTGATATTTCCTGCTGGTGCTGACACAACCATTTCGCATACATGATTCTACCCACCAGCACTGAGAGTGACAGCCAGTTCCACCCAGCACCCTGGGTCCACAGTAATGCCCCTGGGCAGTCCTCTAAAAACAGCCTGGGCTTTTGCAGACTCCAATGCTTTACTAAAAGGGAAATCCTCACAACATCTTAACCTGAGTGATTTCTACAGCCTCCATATCTTCCCTCAGAAAAGAAATCGCAACAACAGGGAACCTGTGTTTCTCAGCAATGCGGGCAGCAGGAAAGGTTACTTCAGGGAACCAGAGCCAATGCAAAACACACTGGGCAAAGCCATCACTCTAGTTTCCCCGATGCCCCAGAACAGTTATAGCTGCATGTGTACACTCGGGTCTACAAAGACACCCCTTGCCCAGCAGAAATTAAAGCTCCAACTTACCACTCCGAGAGTGAAATAGTTAAAAAAGTAGTCATTGCACTTAGATGGAACTTGCTTATGAGGGGAAGGAGAATGAATTTTCATCTGTTGGGAAAAATAACAATAAATTAAAGTCCAACCCCTTAGTACAGTTCTTGACTCAGTAAGTTATCTGAGAACTTGAAGCTGCGAAAAAGAATGTGCACACCAGCTTCCATGGACTATAGACTGGGCCTGGTCTCCAAGCAAAGGCAGCCACAACAGATGGGGACAGAGGCCGGGCGATTTGACCAAGAGGGGTCAGAAAAGAATTCTCAATTACTTCACCATCAACTTTAAGAACAGATTTTAAGGGAAAATAGCAATGGTTTACATTTACTCAATGCTAAATTATTGTTGATTAGGAAAAACACACACACACAACCTATTTGTTCTGTAGACACATTTCCCCTACCTTGTCTTCAGATTTATAGAAAACCTTGTGTGGAGAGCCGAGCATGCTAAGAACATCTTGGCAGGAATCACCAAAATATACTGAACGTTCAAATACCCGCATCTTGGCATCTGCCAACAGGCCGGGCCCACAACCTGTGAACAAGGGAGAGGTGGTTCTGCTCAGGGCTGGAGACCCTGCAGCCCAAGGCTTTGGGGACTGCAGAGAGGATACTGGTTGCTTGCTGTATTATCATTTCTTTTTCTTTTTTCTTTTTTTTTTTTTTTTTTGTTAAAGATTTATTTATTTTATTTGAAAGTTAGAGTTACACAGAGAGAGGAGAGGCAGAGAGGGAGAGGGAGAGGTCTTCCATCAAATGGTTCACTCCCCAATTGGCAGCAACAGCTGGAGCTGTGCCGATCTGAAGCCAGGAGCCAGGAGCTTCTTCCAGGTCTCCCACATGGGTGCAGGGGCCCAAGGACTTGTGCCATCTTCTACTGCTTTCCCAGGCCACAGCAGAGAGCTGGATCAGAAGAGGAGCAGCTGAGACTAGAACCGGCACCCATGTAGGATGCTGGCACTTCAGGCCAGGGTGTTAACCTGCTATGCCACAGCGCCAGCCCCGCATTATCATTTCTGACTGAGGGACAAGACTGCATCAAGCAGAAATACCAGGTCACTAGGGCTTAAGCCTGCAGGAGATGACTACCTACTAAAAACTCTCAGACACACACTCAATCCCCACAAATGACATGGAGCTCTGGAGACTACACTCTCTCATTATGTCTTGTCTTATTGACTGTCATGGACTAGTGACATTGTGAGAGGTGGAGCAAAAATGTAGTTTAGTTTGGAGCTTATGGTGTGGCAGAGTAGACCCCAATTTGGTCATCACACCATGATAGGATCAGCAGTAACAGATGCTATGGAAGTTGTGTGGTAAGACAGAAAGACTTGTGTTAAGAGGTACTAACTGGAAACTGAACCTACAAGATCGCTCTACAATGGAGCCGAGAGTGAGACATGCCATCAGCTCACTCCCTAATTCTACACAAGCTCCTGGAAGAGCCTCTCAACTCAGGTGAGAGACAACCAGGAAAGAGAAGATGCAGAAAACCTTCCGACTTGCCAAAAGTTTATGCTTTGAGAAAAATCTTTAAGGCTTAACCTGCTATGCCACAATGCCTACCTCTTCCACACCACATTCTTTTTTTTGTTTTTTGAAACTTTTAAGAGAGTGGATTTTGAAGGGCAGAGTGGAGAGGGAGAGAAAAAGAAACAGAAAGAAAGGTCTTCCTTTGCCGTTGGTTCACTCTCCAATGGCCGCCGCGGCCGGCGCGCTGTGGCCGGCGCACCGCGCTGATCCGATGGCAGGAGCCAGGAGCCAGGTGCTTTTCCTGGTCTCCCATGGGGTGCAGGGCCCAAGCACCTGGGCCATCCTCCACTGCACTCCCTGGCCACAGCAGAGAGCTGGCCTGGAAGAGGGGCAACCGGGACAGAATCCGGCGCCCCAACCGGGACTAGAACCCGGTGTGCCGGCGCCGCTAGGCGGAGGATTAGCCTAGTGAGCCACGGCGCCGGCCCCACACCACATTCTTAACAGTTAAGAATCAATGTTCAGAGGTGGCATTGTGGCACAGTGGGTTAAGCTGCCACCTACAACACCAACATCCTGTGTGATCAAGGGGTTCAGGCTGTAACTGCTCTACTTCCAATCCAGCTCCCTGCTAATGGCCTGGGAAGAGCAGTGGAAGATGGTCTAAGTTGTTGGGCCCCTAGACCCACGTGGGAGACCCAGATGAAGTTCCTGTCTCTGGTCTTCAGCCTGGCCCAGAGCTGGCCATTGCAGCCATCTGGGAAGTGAACCAGCAGATGGAAGATCTCCTTTGTAGTTCTGTCTTTTAAACAAATCAAATCTTTTGTTTTTGTTTGTTTTTTTATTTTTATTTGCAGGCAGAGTTAGTGTGAGAGAGAGACAGAGAGAAAGGTCTTCCATCCGTTGGTTCACCCTCCAGATGGCTGCTACAGCTGGCGTGCTGCGCCGATCCAAAGCCAGGAGCCAGGTGCTTCCTCCTGGTCTCCAATGGGGTGCAGGGCCCAAGCACTTGGGCCATCCTCCACTGCCTTCCCAGCCACAGCAGAGAGCTGGAATGGAAGAGGAACAACTGGAACAGAATCCGGCTCCCCAACAGGGACTAGAACCCGGAGTGCTGGCGCTGCAGGCGGAGGCTTTCTTAGCCTAGTGAACCATGGTGCCGGCCTAACAAATCAAATCTTAAAAAACAAAAACCAAAACCAAAAAAATGGGACCAGGGCTGTGGTGTAGTAGGCTAAGCACCAATTCATGTCCTGGCTGCTCCTCTTCCAATCCAGTTCTCTGCTTATGGCCTGGAAAAGGAGTGGAAGATGGCCCAAGTGCTTGGGCCCCTGCACCCATATAGAAGACCAGGAAGAGGCTCCTGGCTTCAGATCAGCTCAGCCCCAGCCACTGTGGCCATTTGAGGAGTGATCCAGCAGATGGAAGACCTCTCTCTCTGTTTTTGCCTTTTTTTATCTGTAACTCTGCCTCTCAAATAAATCTTAAAAAAAAAAAAAAAAAAAAGACTTTAACCATAAATACTAGCATCACTTTTCTTTTACCAATGATCTGGCAATGGACTGAATGTTTATATTCATCTAAAATTCGCAAGTTTAAATCTTTTTTAAAAATAATTTGTTTGAAAGGCAGTGACACACAGGTGGTCTTTCCTCTGCTGTTAACTCCCCAATGCCTGCATCAGTTGAGGCTGAGCCAGGCTAAAGCCAAGACCAGGAACTCCACTCAGGTTTCCCACCTGGGTAGAAGGGAGCCAAATACTTGGGCCATCTTAAGCTGCCTTCCCAGGTGCATTAGCAGGAAGCCTGATCAGAAGTGGAGTAGCTGAGACTTGAACCAACATTCCAATATGGGATGTGGGTGTCCTTTAGTGGTAGTTTAATTTGCTGTACCAAATGTATTGAAATCTTAACCCCCAAGCTGATACTATTAGGAGGCAGAGCCATTGGAATGATCAGCTCAAGAAAAGGATCTTTGCCTTTTAAATAAAGAAATACTTTGGCGCTGGTGCTATGGCGTAGTGGGTTAAAGCCCCGGCCTGCAGCGCCGGCATCCCATATAGGCACTGGTTCGAGTCGTGGCTGCTCCACTTCTGATCCAGCTCTCTGCTGTGACCTGGGAAGGCAGTAGAAGATGGCCCAACTCCTTGGGCCCCTGCACCCGCATGGGAGACCCAGAAGAAGTTCCTGGCTCCTGGCTTCAGATCAGCTTAGCTCTGGCCATTGCAGCTATTTGGGGAGTGAACCAGTGGATGGAAGACTGACTTCTCTCTCTGGCTCTACGTCTCTATGTGACTCTTTCAAATAAATAAATCTTTAAAAATAAATAAATAAATAAATAATTTAAAAGAAATCAAAGCGAAGCTGGCGCTGCAGCTCAATAGGCTAATCCTCTGCCTGTGGCACCCGCACACCGGATTCTAGTCCCGATTAGGGCACTGGATTCTGTCCCGGTTGCTCTTCTTCCAGGCCAGCTCTCTGCTATGGCCTGGGAGTGCAGTGGAGGATGGCCCAAGTGCTTGGGCCCTGCACCCCATGGGAGACCAGGAGAAGCACCTGGCTCCTGGCTTCGGATCAGTGCGGTGCGCCAGCCATAGCGCGCCGACCGCGGCGGCCATTAGAGGGTGAACCAACGGCAAAAGGAAGACCTTTCTCTCTGTCTCTCTCTCTCACTGTCCACTCTGCCTGTCAAAAATAAAAAATAAAAAATAAAAAAAAGAAAAGAAATCAAAGCAAAAAAAGAGTGGAGATTATGACTGGGATTAGTGATCTTAGAAAAGAGACCCCAGGAGCTAAGTAGCTCCTTTCACCAAATGAAGACAAATGAATTAAAAAGCAGACCCTTGGGGCTAGGGTTGTGGCATAGTGGGTAAAGCTGCCTCCTACTACACCAGCATCTCATATGGGCACTGATTTGTACCACAACTGGTTTACTTCCAATCCAGCTGCCTGCTAGTGGTCTTGGAAAATCAGTGGAAGATGGGCCAAGTATTTGGGTTCCCTGCACCCATCTGGGATACCTGGATGAAGCTCCCGGCTTTGGTCTGGCTCAGCCCTGGCCATTGAAGCCACTTAGGGAGTGAACCAGCAGATGAAGATTTCTCTGCCTTTATCTCTCCTTCTCTCTCTGTAACTCTTTTTTCTTTCTTTCTTTCTTTTTTTTTTTTAACAGGCAGAGTGGACAGGGAGAGAGAAAAGGTCTTCCTTTGCCGTTGGTTCACCCTCCAATGGCCGCCGCGTTTGGCGCGCTGCGGCCAGCGCACTGCGCTGATCCGAAGCCAGGAGCCAGGTGCTTCTCCTGGTCTCCCATGGGGTGCAGGGCCCAAGCACTTGGGCCATCCTCCACTGCACTCCCGGGCCACAGCAGAGAGCTGGCCTGGAAGAGGGGCAACCAGGACAGAATCCGGCGCCCCGACTGGGACTAGAACCTGGTGTGCCGGCACCGCAAGGCGGAGGATTAGCCTCTTGAGCCGCGGCGCCGCCCTTCTGTAACTCTTTTAAATAAATAAACCAATTTAAAAAAAAAAAGGCCAGATATTGAATCTCTCAGTGTCTTAATCTTGGATTTTTTACTCTGTACAACTGCAGTAAATTTCTATTTATAAGTTACACAGTTTATGGTCTTCTGTTGTAGATGTTTGAATGGACTAAGATATATCTCTAAGCACAAAGAATTTCATGAAGTCTCAAAATGGTTAAATGGGAATTTACCTACCTTAATGTCAGTAACTGACCTGCAGCAAGTAGACGAAGTCGTAAGCCTGAGGGTCCAGTTCCATCTCGAAGAACATCTACACTCTCAGCATAAACATTGCCCAGGAAACAGCTCAGGGGCATCACAGGAGCCCTGGGGTAGTAAACATACAATGAGCAGAAGCTTGGTTCTCCCTCCCAGGGAACCCATGGCTTCAGCAACAAACTCACGTTCCTTACACTTACTTGGTATCCTGTAGGCTGTTTCCACTGTAGATGTACATTCGTTTTACAGTTGCTCCATGGGGTATTTGGAGAGAAGCTAGACCATGGGCAAAATTGGGCTGTAAGCACAGACAAGAGGTATTTTGCAGGTCATGTGACTCAGGGCCTGGTCCTCCCTAGCCTCATGGTCTTGAAGAACCGGTCAGGTCAAAGCCACAGTCAGACCTGGCTCTGGTTCAATAAATTCACCCCAAACATCTTTAGCTCATCTTTAGTTTACTTAGTTTTTCTTTTCTTCATCAGTAGAAAATATAGGAATGCTTCCTTAGTGACACATAAGCCTTTAAAAAGCTATGTTGTTGCCTAGGGATGAACGAAATGTTTGCTAAAAGCTATAGGTAACTGAAAATCCAGCAGACAAAACTTCTAAATTCTTGGCCACTGAGAAGACCACAGTGATTAGGAGCTCTACAGTGAGACATGACTGGAGTTTCCTCTGAGAAATGAGCCCAGTAAGTGGGAAGAACTTTCTTCCTGAAAATGCCAGGTAGGCCCTGTTCTTCCTGTTGTGTCTACTCTACCACTTTTGGGCCCTTAAAGAGCTCAAATACAAGGAAACAAATAAACAAAGGCCTGCCTATCCCGTTCCTCTTCCCTTGCCATGGCACTGTCTTCTGACCCGCACCAGGAGACAGAAGGGCTGACCTCATACTTGGGAGCCTCAGTCCAGGAGTCTAACTGAAAAGAAAAAGACAGTCCTCTGAAGTTGAGGTGGAAGAGCTGCTCAGCGGAGTTGTACACTGTGGAGCAGGGGAGAAGAACACAATACAGCTGATGAGTTTCTGAAATCGCTAACATAAACCAGTCTGACAAATAGCAACATATTACTTGGGTCCACTAACTTACTAGGTCAAAAACCAGTAAGTTTTTACTTACTAACTAGTTCAGTTTTTACTGAAGTAACTTACTAGGTCAAAAACAAGAAGCTTTCCTTCACTTCCTAGTACCAACACCAAGATCCTACAAGGGTCCAGCTGAAGGGAATGGAGTGGGATGCTGCCACCTGCTGAGTTTATTGCTATGGGCTGCTACTGGTATCCAGGGGAGCAAAGGAACTTGACTTACCTCCAGGATGGGTTGCGCCGAAAGACTGGTCAATCTGCTCAATGGTAGGAGCTATGGCCTGAGAATTGAAATGCACTCCACTGCAAAACAAAATATACAGAGAGGTCTCCCATCTGCTGGTTCACTCCCCAGAAGCCTGTAACAGCCTGGGTTGGGTGAGGCTAAAGCCAGGCAGGAATCAAGAACTCAATCTGGGTCTCTTGTGGTGGCAAGGATCCAAGTACCCAAGCCACCCATCATCTGCTGCCTCCCAGGATGCACATTTAACCAAGAAATTAGAATAGGGAGTGGAGCTAGGAATCAAAATCAGGCACTCCATATGGGATGCCTGTGTCCTGAGCAAGGTCTTACAGCTACGCCAGACGCCAGCCCCTAATTAAAGAACTTAAGAGAATAAGGTCAGATGAAGGGCAGTTACTGTGAAGCTGATACAGAGTCAGTCCTCTGGGGCTTCTAAAGACACTACTAACTCTGAACAAAAAGAGAGAGAAGAAAGCCAGACCTTGAGATGTGGTAGTGCCAGTATGACCAGAAGTAACTAGAACCCACAGGAGCTACTACACATGTGCTTGTCCACCCATCTATCAACAAAAGCTGCCTAAGTCTGCCTCAGAATCCAATCTTCTCCATAACCTCGTGAACTGAAAGGGATCTCTGTTAAGATTATTCTAGATGCTTGCATACTGTCTTACATTATTAGCAGGGGCTCAAAATTCCTGGATTATACAGGTCATTCCCATTTTCATTCTAAAGTAGATTTTGGTTCTAAAATGATGGTCTCTTTGTTATTCTCTTTAGCATAGGCTTTGGCGTCAGACTTAAGTGATCTGATCCTTTGTTGCTTTTAAACATTTTTGAAAAAAGCTGCCAGGGAAGCCATGCAAAAGAGGGTGCCTGACTCAGATGTCTGTGACATCACCTCTGAACTGAGGTCCTGCTGTGCTGAAGGTTAAATCAGAAGACACATATGTGAAGTATTTAACACACAGAGGTTCTTCATAAGTTTACTTCTCTTCCCCTAGGAAACTGAGCAGGCTTGGAGGTTGCCTCAGGAATTCATGGCTTTAATTCCTGCACTGCTGTACATGGGGATCCTTTACTAATTTAATGAAGGTGGTAGATAAGGTCTGTCTGTACCAAGCATATACCAGTGGGCGAAAAAACTCACCAATATTTTAATTTTACTTTCGTTAAGTCATATACTTCAATCACCTAAAAAAAAGTTTAAAAGTTGTTAATGATATGAGTTTGATGACTGAAAAAACTGAAAACATGTTTACGGCATAAACAGTACAAAGCACATTATCTTTTATTCTCATTTTAAAATTAAGGGGAAAACACATACCATAACTCCGCTCCCCTTCTCTCTTCCAGTGGATTGCTCATGGGTCAAGGTCCTTGTATCTAGTCCACAGCTGAGTCACACTGGGGCACACCCCACCCCACAGGACAGCAACATCTTCCACAGAAACAAATGTATGCAGCCTCTTAAGGCTATATGCATTGAACACTGAGCCCATTCCTTCTACTCCATACTTTGCTGCATTATAAAAACTCAAATCCAGTTATTCCAAAAACAGCTTATTTTGAAGTTTATTTTGTTTACAAAACAAAAAGTATTGGCTCAGGGCAAGCGTGAGTATTTGGTCATATCCCTAAGACAGATGAAATGGCTGAACAATCTGATGAGCCTCAAGACTCTTGTGAAGGTTTTTTTTTTTAAACAATTCTCTCCTCTCTTCCATTTCCTTTTCACCCCATCTACATCTTTCCCAGGCATATATATATAACCCAGATTTCTTAAAGATTTATTTATTTGAATGGCAGAGTTACAGAGACGTGGGGAGGGAGACAGATCGATTGATCTTCCATCCACTGGTTTATTCACAAAAGGCTGCAATGGCCAGGGCTGGGCCAAGCTGAAGCCAAGAGCCTAAACCCTTGGGCCATCTGCTGCTGCTTTCCTAGGCAAATAGCATGGAGCTGGATTGGAAGTGGAGCAGCCAAAACTTGAACCAGAGCTCATATGGGATGCTGGCATTGTAGGTGGCAGCTTAAACTACTATGCCACAATGCAGCCCTGAAGTTTTGCATTTTAGTATGTTCAGCCTCAGATGAAATATCAAGACACATATATACAACTCAATATTAGCTATAGAAAAGGATGAAATCTTGTCGTCTGCAACAATATGGATGCAACTGGAAGTCATTAGGCTAAGTGAAATAAGCCAATCACAGAAAAACAAGTACCACGTGATCTCACTCATATGTGGAGACTAAAAAAGGGTTACCATATAAAAGTTGAAACTATAATGGTGATTATCATTTTATAGAGGCTGGGGAGGAAAAAGGAAAAAGGTTGAGGCCGGTGCCACGGCTCACTAGGCTAATCCTCTGCCTGCAGTGCTGGCACACCGGGTTCTAGCCCCGGTCAAGCGCCAGATTCTGTCCCGGTTGCTCCTCTTCCAGGCCAGCTCTCTGCTGTGGGCCGGGAGTGCAGTGGAGGATGGCCCAAGTCTCTGGGCCCTGCACCCGCATGGGAGACCAGGAGAAGCACCTGGCTCCTGGCTTCGGATCAGCAGTGTGCTGGCCGTAGCACACCGGCTGCAGCAGCCATTGCGGGGTGAACCAACGGAAAAAGGAAGACCTTTCTCTTTGTCCACTCTGCCTGTCAAAAAAAAAAGGGAAAGGTTGATTAATAGTACTAAGTTATAGATAGGAGTAAAAAGTCCTGGGGTTCACTGTACAATAAGGTAACTGTACATACTGGGCTGGCACTGTGGCACAGTGGGTTAATGCCCTGGCCTGAAGCGCCAGCATCCCACATGGATGCTGGTTCTAGTCCCGGCTGCTCCACTTCCCATCCAGCTCTCTGCTATAGCCTAGGAAAGCAGGAGAAGATGGCCAAAGTCCTTGGGCCCCTGCACCCGTGTGGGAAACCCGGCAAAAGCTCCTGGCTTCGGATCAGCGCAGCTCCGTCTGTTGTGGTCATTTGGGGAGTGAACCAGCAGATGGAAGACCTCTCTCTTTCTCTCCTCTGTGTAACTCTTTCTTGTGTGTGTGTGTGTGTGTGTTTTTTGACAGGCAGAGTGGACAGTGAGAGAGAAAGACAGAGAGAGAAAGGTCTTCCTTTGCCGTTGGTTCACCCTCCAATGGCCGCCGCTGCAGCCAGCGCACCGCGCTGATCCGATGGCAGGAGCCAGGATCCAGGTGCTTCCAGGTGCTTTTTCCTGGTCTCCCATGGGGTGCAGGGCCCAAGCACCTGGGCCATCCTCCACTGCACTCCCTGGCCATAGCAGAGAGCTGGCCTGGAAGAGGGGCAACCGGGACAGAATCTGGCGCCCCAACTGGGACTAGAACCCGGTATGCCGGCGCCACAAGGTGGAGGATTAGCCTATTGAGCCACGGCGCCGGCTCTTCTTTCAAATAAATAAATAAATCTTAAAAAAAAATGTACATATTAATGTACTGTATATTTCTCTCAACTAGTGTTGTGGCACAGGGGGTTGAAAGGCAGCCTGCAATACTGGTACCACATGAGTGCTAATTTGAATTCCAGAAGCTCTACCTCCAATCTAACTCCCTGGGAATGTGCCTGGGAAAGCAGTGGGAGATGCTCCAAGTCCTTGAGCCCCAGTAACCCACATGGGAGATCTGGATGGAGTTCTAGGCTCCTGGCTTTGGCCAGGCCTACCCCCAGCCAATGTGGCCATTAAAGGAGTGAAGCAGCAGATAGAGTAACTCTCTGTGTGTGTATCTCTTCCCCTCTCTGTAGCTGTGCCTTTCAAATAAATAAATACACTCTGAAAAAAAAAATACAATAGAAAGTAAGATTTTGAAAGTGTTCTTCATAAAGAACTGTTAAATGTTTAAGGAAATACTTTTGGGTCAGAGACCCTGTGCCTAACTTTTTAGAAACCTAACACTGAACCAACTTGGAAACCTTTTGATTGTTATGCAACCATTTTAAGCCCACTTGCTGGAAATTACTGCTCCCTCTGCTGGGCTGGCACAGCACTTGAGTGAACCTTTCTTCCATAGCTGTTTATACTCGCACTGGTCTAAGTTACACTCCTTGAGCTCTGACTCATCAGCTTGCATAGGGGAGGTACTCAACGAATGCCGGGCACATCTTCTTGGTCTGAGTCTAGTTAAGGGCAATATGAAGCTTGAAAGCACGAAAACAGGTAGAGGAGGAGCTGTGTAAGGAGGGGCAGAACAGCTCTTACTCCAGGGGACAGTAAGTGTCCCCTTCAGAGTGCCTGAGTGCTGCAGTTTACTGTGCCAGACTGGTGCATCATTTCACTGGCACAGAGCTTCTATCTTCAGCCAGAGTCCTACTTGTAGCAACTGTTTCCCTGACTGTTAATCCTACAGCTCACATTGGGCCAATGATCCCAGGAAAACTTTCTGCCACCCACCCTATGGGAGCAGGTCTCCAGGATGTTCTTCCTTATCACTGTCATCCACCAGTCAACAGTTTTTTACATATATACATACATACATGTGTGTGTGTATGTGTGTGTGTGTGTATATATATATATATATATATTTATTTCAACCTTGCCTGCCCAATAGGAAAAAAGTAGACCACAGCTAATCACAGGGTGTAGGGCATCACTTGTGGCAAGGGACTCAGAGTGCTGGCCATCTTGGAGCCCTTCGTGTCACTAGCAGAATCAACAAATGATTTTGGCCCTTGGAACTTGCTTTCCCACAAGCAGCTGAGAAGTTTAAAGCCTATGAATTTCCATCTCTGGGCGACAGAAACCCCTGATTTCCCCAGGAGAGGAGTCATGGAAAAGTCAGGTGATTGTAAAGCTTCTGACTTGGAAAGCCTCATCCCATAGGCCTCTGAGGCTTGAGGCAGGGGGTGGAGAGCCAATTACAGGAGACAATATAAAAGAGAGATTCTGAAGCCGCTGAACAGAGGGCAGGCAGCCAGGTCAGGGCACCACTGGTGCTAAACAAGAACACCTGGGTGATTATTTTCTCACAGTTTCTAGAGGCTCAGGCAGGACCCAAGCCTTTCCTTCAGAGGGATTCCACCAAAGGTTCTATTTTTCCACTTTTCCCACCCAGAGGTATTTTCCTTTATATTTCTGCATATCATTTTCTTTTTTAAATTTTATTTATTTATTTATTTATTGACAGGCAGAGTGGACAGTGAGAGAGAGAGAGAGAGAGAGAGAGAGGCAGAGAGAAAGGTCTTTCTTTTTCTGTTGGTTCACCCCTCAATGGCTGCTGCGGCCGGCGCACCTTGCTGATCCGAAGCCAGGAGCCAGGTGCTTCTCCTGGTCTCCCCATGCAGGTGCAGGGCCCAAGGACCTGGGCCATCCTCCACTGCCTTCCCGGGCCACAGCAGAGAGCTGGACTGGAAGAGGAGCAACCGAGACAGAATCCGGTGCTCCGACCAGGACTAGAACCAGTGTGCCAGCGCTGCAGGCAGAGTATTAGCCTAGTGAGCCGTGGCACCGGCCCTGCATATCATTTTCTTCATCTTTTCTGATTTACTTACTAAAAAGCACATGTGAAACACTCAGCCTCATGCCTAGCAGATACTGAGAGCTCCCTAAACATATGCCATGATGCTGTCTTGCTATCTTTTTTTTTTCCCCATTTAGGTTACTTCCAGCTTTTCATTACTATGAATTGCCTTGTTACAAACATTTGTCAATACCACCTTTCCCTCAATCTTTTTGAGTTATGTTTCTTAAAATAGACTTTCATCAAGTTAAAGGTAAATGACTATTTGGGATTTTTAAAAAATTACGTTTATTTTCATTTATTTGAAAGGCAAAGAAAAAGACTGACAGACAGACAGATGGAGACAGAAATGTCCCATTAGCTGGTTTACTCCCCAAGCAGCTGCCATACTCCAGGCTGGACCAGATTGAAACCAGGAGCCAGGAACTAAATCCAGGTCTCCCATGTTGGTTGGCAAGGGACCCAACTACTTGAGCCATGACTAGCTACTTCTGGGGTATAAATTAGCAGGAAATTGGAATGGAGCATGGAGCTAGGACTCGAGCCCAGGCACTCCAATACAGGCATCCCAAACAGTGGCGTAACTATTCACCAAAGCCTGCCCCTCAAATAACTATTTGTAAAGGTGTTACTATGTTAGTAGGGTAATTTTCCCCTAATCTATGATAAAGTCACATTGAAGTTCATCCTTTGCCCTTTGACAGTGTAAAATTTCTGGCCACTGGTGACAGGCTAGAAGAAGGAATTCTCATAGAGTATGCTGATTCTCTTTCCATGTGCTGTTTTACTCCTCTGCAGTTCACTTGTGGTAGGATGATGAGAATTGGGAAGTACCTAACTCTTTTGGAAATGCTATTCTACCCAACCAAAATAATGGCTCTGGTATGCTACTGCCTGGAGTGCACATTCAACCTTGTGACTCTGAGGCATGAATTGCTTGTCACATGAGTATCCTGTGATGCCTGCGCACATGTAAATAGTGTATTAAAAACATCCTGGGCTCAACAGGTGTTAGCAAATTGCATTTGAATGCCAATTAAGACAACCCTACATACCAGCATGCTTGTTTACAATTCTTCAAGTAGATTAAAATATCAACTCATTGCTAGGGATGTTAACCCCAAGACCCAGCATTCTTTTTTTTTTTTTTTTTTTTTTGCAGGCAGAGTGGACAATGAGAGAGAGAGAGACCGAGAGAAAGGTCTTCCTTTGCCGTTGGTTCACCCTCCAATGGCTGCCGCGGCCAGTGCACTGCGGCCGGCGCACCGCGCTGATCCGATGGCAGGAGCCAGGAGCCAGGTGCTTTTCCTGGTCTCCCATGGGGTGCAGGGCCCAAGCACCTGGGCCATCCTCCACTGCACTCCCTGGCCACAGCAGAGGGCTGGCCTGGAAGAGGGGCAACCGGGACAGAATTCGGCACCCCGACCAGGACTAGAACCCGGTGTGCCGGCACCGCTAGGCGGAGGATTAGCCTAGTGAGCCGCGGTGCCGGCCCAAGACCCAGCATTCTAAGAACAGTTTCCATTTTTATCCTCCAAGTCACACCAACACAAGAATGAAGTTAAAGAAAACAGATATATAAAACCTGACTATAGTTGTTTGGTCCAATTCTACAACTAGGTCCCACATTTTTAGTATGTTTTTAAATACAGCCTCAGGGCAAACTATGTCAAATACTGAACTCCTCTTAATTTTCCTATTCAACATAAAAGCATGTTTCCATAGCATGTTCCACATATCTTAACACTCTTTTCCTCCAGAGCCCAGAACAGCAGCCCTTCCTAGCCTCTTTTTAATTTTATTTTTAAAGATTTACTTATTTGAAAGGCAGAGTTACAGAGAGAGGGAGAGAGAGCGAGCTTCTATTTGATGGATCACTTCCTAGACGGCCTCTGTGGCCGGGACAGACCAGGCTGAAGCCAGGAGCTTCATTCAGGTCTCCCATGTGGGTGGCAAAATCCTAAGCACTTGGGCCATCTTTCACTGCTTTTCCCAGGCCATTAGCAGGTAGGTGGATCAAAGTGGAACAGCTGGGACCCGAACCAGTGCCCATACGGAATACTAGCATCACAGGCAGTGCCTTTACCCACTATGTCACAACACTGGCACTGTTTTCCTAGACTCTTTCCAACAACCCCAACCCACTTTTTAGAGGAACATGCAGATTTTCAGTCCCTTACATTGTGATGGTCTCCAAACCAAAGATGACCACATCTACTTACGAGTTTATGAAACATCTCACAATGACAGCACATAATAACCAGAAAAACTGGCTCAGCTGGAGATGAGACTTTAGTTGTCCTTTATAGTTACCTTAAGTCTTTGATTGAAAGCATCAAACAGTAGTTTGATCCCATCCTGAGTCAGGTTAAGAATGAGGTCGTGGCTTAAAGGAGACTGCAAAACAAAAATAAAACACAGAATGATCGACTGATTTATTCACCAGCATCTACTAAAAGCCTTACAGTACAAATGCAATGCACAGAGAATACCTAATGATGGGCAGTCCCTCTCTCCCCCAACAAATGAAGTTTGGAAGCCAAAAACAAAACAAAACAAAACAAAACAAAACAACTGCTGCAATGTGTCTTCTACTTCCAGCTTGCAGCTTCTGCTTCATGATACTGGCTAAAGAGGGCCTGTCTTTTCCAGGCTTCATTATAAATACCTGGGTAAAAGGGACAAAACTTATGAGTATATAGACCATTTTCTTTTGAGGCTCCAGGGTCCATATATTTAAGTTTGCTGCCATCAAAGATACAGAGCAGTCAGCAAGGAATACAGGTCATGTGAAAAGCCCATAATCTGAACTCAGCAGATACTGCTTACATATGTCAGCTGAACCTACATTGATTCACCTAAGTTCTTTGTATTATCTACAGGGAACACAATTTAGTCATTAAATGCTTTAGGCTCAATTCTAGAACAAAAAGAAATACTTTTTTGATATGATTATACATGAGATAGCACACTTATTCCTTTCTTCACTAGCTTCACCTCCTTACCCCCATTAGGGAATGTGCTTCTTTCTAAAAAGCCTAGCCTAAGACCTAAAGGGTCAGATTTCTACATTTTCTGCTTCTGAGTCCTGGGGAAACGGAATAGCAGCATAGAGCTGTGAACCCCTGGTAACTTTAGATGACTCTCAAAACGTCTCTGAGTAATTAAAAATGCATCTTAATGAAGAATGGGATGGGAGAGGGAGTAGGAGATGGGAGGGTTTGCGGGTGGGAGGCTGGTTATGGGGGGAGCTACTATAATCCAAAAGTTGTACTTTTGAAATTTATATATATTAAATAAAAGTTAAAAAAAAAAACAAAACTTCTCCTAGCTCTAGTTTCTTCACAGGAATACCTTCATCCCTTTCCTTCAGGGTTCTCAGGACAGAGATAGTGGGTCAAAATGCACCAAGGACAATAGCAGGTACACAGCACTCTTTCCTCTTGTGGCTGTCCCATCAGCAATCAGTTCAAGGGCTGAATGTCTGAAGACTCCACAGTGCTGACCCAGTCTGCCCAGTAGTAGGAAAAAAAAAAACCAAAAAGCAAAAAAAGGCTGGCGCCGCAGCTCAGCCGCAGCTCAATAGACTAATCCTCCGCCTTGCAGCGCCGGCACACCGGGTTCTAGTCCTGGTCGGGGTGCCAGATTCTGTCCTGGTTGCCCCTCTTCCAGTCCAGCTCTCTGCTGTGGCCTGGGAGTGCAGTGGAGGATGGCCCAAGTCCTTGGGCCCTGCACCCCATGGGAGACCAGGAGAAGCACCTGGTTCCTGGCTTCGGATCAGCACCGGCTGCGGCGGCCATTGGGGGGGTGAACCAATGGAAAAGGAAGACATTTATCTCTGTCTCTCTCTCTCACTGTCTACTCTGCCTGTCAAAACACACACACACACACACACACACACAAACCAAAAAATCAACATCCAAAACTCCACAGAGTTCCTCATAAGATTTAGAGAAGTTTCTTTATAGAGCTTCTTAAGGCAGACCAGTAAATGATGGAGGTATGGCTGTCAGAGACAGAGATCTGGGCTTTAATGCCAGATGCCATTGCTAGTATGGGCATCACTGGGGGAAATTCTCTCCAAAGAGCCTTCCAGGATTAGCTCAGAATGTCTGCCCCTTCTACACCATTATCTTCCCAAGGTAGCGAGAACAGGTTGTACCATCAAGATTGGTAAAAACTAGAAGGAAGTTAAAAATTTTCCAGTAGGTCTATAAGAATGTCTGAACCATTAGGTCTCAAGCAAGATAACAGAACAATGAACCCTCACACTGGGTTATTTATTCTCAACCTAGAACACAAAGTTCTACTTTGGAGAGGCTTATTCCATGGAAGCAAGCAAGATGAGGCAACATTTTAGTTCTTTCAGATTCTTGCTTAGAGGATGACTGCTGGAGGATCTCAATTTTTCTATACTCTCCCATGATCTGATCATGTTTTTTCTTAGTACTGTTATAATCCAGGATAAACTAAAAATTTTCAAAAGCAATCAAACCATTCTCCAATCAATTTGTTTTATACTTTACATCTCTAGAACCAAAGCACAGGTACACATGTATGATTTGATATTTAAGCAAGCCCCTTTGGTAACCCAGCCTGTCCTCCATAACAAACAGTTCGCTAACCCATCTGTTACTAGTTGAAGCAAACTGACCAATCAGAAAAGGAAGAAGCAGGCAGGCAGAAGCAGAAAGGATATCAGAGCTCTGAAAGACCACCTCCTTTAGATCCTTGCCAAAAAGATTATCCTATGTAGCAGGAAACTACATATTTTATAGAAGAATTAGACTGGTCAATAATTTGTAACAAGTTGTGCAACCAAGAAATGGGAAGAGTAGAGGTCTGGTGGCCCAGTGGGTTAAGTCACAGCTTGGGATGCCTGCATCCAATATCAGAGTGCTGTTTCTAGTCCTAGCTAACCTGTGCTTCTGCTCCACCTTCTTGCTAATGAACCTGGGAGGCAGCGGATATTGGCCTTGTACGTGGGTTCCTGCTACACACGGGAGGGACCCCATGAAGTACCTGGTTCCTGGCTCAGTGTGACTCAGCCCCAGCTGTTGTGGATATTTGGGAAGTGAACTAGAAGACAGAAGATCTTCTCTGTCTCTCCCTCTCCATCACGCTGCCTTATAAATATATAAACATTTTTTTGGGCTGGCACTGTGGCTCAATAGGCTAATCCTCTGCCTGCAGCGCCGGCACACCGGGTTCTAGTCCCGGTCAGGGCGCCGGATTCTGTCCCGGTTGCCCCTCTTCCAGGCCAGCTCTCTGCTATGGCCCGGGAGTGCAGTGGAGGATGGCCCAAGTCCTTGGGCCCTGCACCTGCATGGGAGACCAGGAAAAGCACCTGGCTCCTGGCTTCGGATCAGTGCGATGCGCCGGCCGCAGCGTGCCGGCCGCGGCGGCCCTTGGAGGATGAACCAACGGCAAAAAGAAGACCTTTCTCTCTGTCTCTCTCTCACTGTCCACTCTGCCTGTCAAAAAAAAAAAAAAAAATATATATATATATAAAAACATTTTTAAAAAGGATCTTCAAATAAATAAAATAAGTAGACTCAAAAAACAATGCATGTTAATTGATTATAGTTGCTTAGAAGATACTGGGGAAAATTAGCTTAATGCTCACACTATTTGGACCCAAATATCTAAATGACAGACAACAAATATAGTGATATAAGAAATAAATTTCAGTGTTACAAATTGGTTAAGAAAGTTTAAAGTCTATTTTTTTTTCTTAAAATTATTTAAGAGGCAGAGTGAGGGACAGAGAGATAGGTCTTCCATCCATTGGTTCACTCCCCAATGGTCACAATAGTGGAGCTGGGCCACACTGAAGCCAGGAGCTTCTTCTGGGTCTCCCATGTGAGTGTAGGGGCCCAAGAACTTGGGCCATCTTCCACTGCTTTCCCATGCCATTAGCTAGCAGGGAGCTGGATTGGAAGTGGGGCAGCTGGAACTCGAACCAGCACCCATATGGGATGCCAGCACTGTAGGCGGCAGCTTTACCCGCTACGCCATAGCACCAGCTCCATAAAGCTTATTTTCTAATTTATACATTCCTGGGATATCTAAATCTGATTTACATGAAATGGATCGGACTAGCTCAAACTCAAGAAGCAAGCCTTTTTCCTCTGTGTGTTAAGGGAAAAAGCAACCATCCACCCTTCACTTTATAAATAAGAAACCACTTTGTACTGTGGTTCAAGGAACTGCACACTCCTTGCAGTCTCTTGTTCTGGGGTAAGCACCCCATGTGAACACCTAAGCACCTGCATGGAGACAAAGCATTCCCTTTCTCAGAAAGATCCCTCACTACACTGGCACAAGCATACAGTACTGCAAAATGTAATTTCTGAGTATAGTTAATGGGTCCAACTCTGACTCTGCTGTAAGCCAAATCTGGGAGCTTCACAGAAGGGTTACCCACCTGTAATCTGCAACATTCTTCTTGTCAAAAATAAACTGTCAGTTACTTTAGGATTGGAAATTAACTGGAACACATGGCACTGAAACCATCAACCCATTACTCAAAGAGCCTAAGTCCACTGGGGACATCCTTTAGCCTGTATAGGCTCAAAAGTATCCCTTGAGGTTTGTGAAACATAGGGGATCACAAAAGCTGCTCCACATGGCAACCAGTCTGTGTCCTTCAGTAGAGGGGAGACTGCTCTTTGGGAAAAATACAGGGACAGGCTATATCTGCTTCCTTTCAAGTCTGGTATGCTCTGCTAGCTAGAAATCTGCACTACAGTGATCCTTATTAAAAAAAAAAAAAAACAACTGGCCGGCACCGTGGCTCACTAGGCTAATCCTCCGCCTTGCGGCGCCAGCACACTGGGTTCTAGTCCCGGTTGGGGTGCCGGATTCTGTCCCGGTTGCCCCTCTTCCAGGCCAGCTCTCTGCTGTGGCCAGGGAGTGCAGTGGAGGATGGCCCAAGTGCTTGGGCCCTGTACCCCATGGGAGACCAGGAGAAGTACCTGGCTCCTGCCTTCGGATCAGCGTGGTGCGCCGGCCGCAGCGCGCCGGCTGCGGCGGCCATTGGAGGGTGAACCAACGGCAAAGGAAGACCTTTCTCTCTGTCTCTCTCTTTCTCTGTCCACTCTGCTGTCAAAAAAACAAACAAACAAAACAAAACAAAACAAAAACAAACAAAAAAAACCAACAACTTATTTGAAAGAATTGACACAAAGATCTCAACACTCAACAGATCTTCCATCTACTGGCTCACTCCCCAAATACCTGCACCAGCCAGGGTTGAGCCTAGGTGAAGCCAGGAACTCCATCTAGGTCTCCCATGTGGACAGCATGGGTCCATGTACTCAAGCCATCATCTGCTGCTTTCCCAGATACATCAGCAGAAAGGTGAATCAGACACAGAGCCCTTGTCACAAGACAATGCCTGCCCCTACAATAACCCTGAACACAAACTAACCAGCAAAGCAGAAAAGACCGTTTTAAACATGAAAGTGATGGCAAGCACTCTAGAAGACCAGGTGACTCCAGAAAAGTCTCTAAGGGCCAGTAGGTACATCAACCAGACAAAACAGGTTCCATTTTTACTATTTTTCCAAACCTAGCAGCACTAGATAATCAAGACCAAAAGTTACATCACCTTTGCAGACAACTTACTGATTAGGGATGTTACTTTAAGAAACTGCCACCACTCACCTGCTCACTGTAGAGAACCTGGACATTTTTGATGATGCGACAGTGCTTCTGAAGAATGGCTACTGCCTGAGCCAGAGGCATTCCTGAAATAAAGCAAGAATACCTGTGTGATTACTTAGACTACCCATTTACTGACATTTACCACTGTGCTGGGCATTAATCCCTAAAGGAAAGGAGGGTGCTACTAAACGTCTATAGACATATGAGTAAATAAAAGCTCAGTAAAGGGGCCAGTGCTGCCTCGTAGTAGGCTAAGCCTCTGCCTGTGGCGCCGGCATCCATATGGGCACCGGTTTGTGTCCTGGCTGCTCTTCTTCCAATCTAGCTCTCTGCTGTGGCCTGGGGAAGCAGTAGAAGATGGCCCAAGTCCTTGGGACCCTGCACCCATGTGGGAGACCCAAAGAAAGCTCCTGGCTCCTGGCTTCAGACCGGCACAGCTCCAGCTATTGTGGCCATTTGGGGAGTGAACCAGTGAATGGAAGACTTCTCTGTTTCTCTCTCTGTAACTCTATCATTCAAATAAATAAATAAATAAATAAATAAAATTCTAAGAGCTAGAATGAAGTTAAGCAGCAAAGCACTAAGGGACTAGTCAGATTGCAAAGCAGAGGCAGTGAATTTATTAAAGATTCCTGGAAATAAGAACTTCCACACTGATCCCAGGACTGTGGACACCAAGGTTCTAGTCCTCACTCTGCCATAGATTACCTATGACCTGGGACCAGTCCTTTCTTTTCCTCTGCAGCATTATATGTCTCCATATCGCTCAAATGTGGGTCTGAGAGAGCACATGACTTGTACAGGGCCGTTTAAAAAACTTTAAAATTGAGATAGATAGCAGCTTAAACTGTTGCTTGGGATGCCTGCATCCCCTATCAGAATGCCTGGGACCAATTCCCACCTCTGCTTTCTGCTAATCCATTATCTGGGAGGCAGCTCATGATGGCTCAAGCACTTGGGGCCCTGTCACACACATGGGAGACCCTGGCTCCTGGCTTCAGCCTGACCCAGTCTTGGGTGTTGTGGGCAGCTGGGAGGTAAGCCAGTAGATGTAAAATACCCCCTCCTTTTCTCTCTCAGCCTTTAAAATAAATAAAAATCAAAGACTTTTAATTTTTAAAAAGTTTAAAATCAGACATCTACTGGAATCAACTTGTTTTACCAAGGATTTAAACAGGATTCCTACTTTAAATTCCACAGAAATTTAACCCTTAACACTGGGGTTTTCAACTCATGGCCCATTATAAGCAGATCTACATATGTCTCTAGTTTAATTTGGATCCCAATGACATCTCAAACATTAAAAAAAAAAAAGTTTGTTTACAGAGTCCATTATAAACAGGAAACATACACAGAAACAAGTCCCTGACAACCCAAAAACAAAGACTCACTGTTTCAAGAGTACAAGGAGGGTATCCGATCCATACCACTGTGTGGGTCCCCAACACCCTCTGTGCTGATTACTTAGTGGATGCTGAATAAATATTTATTCAATTGAACTGAAGGACTGTGGAGTGGATAAGAGAAAGGGAGAAGAGGAACCATCCTATCACCCCAGGGCAACATGGTCAACATCAGCCGACCTCCAGATCAAGAGGATAAGATGTGCAGAAAAGAGCTTAAAAACGAAGAATCAGAAAGTTAAAACTCATGGCCTATCCACATTTAAACAATCTAATCCCACCCTCATTTGAAAGACTATTCTTTAGTTTTAAAAATTTAGACTTAAAAATTTAGCCAGGAACTCCATCTGGGTCTCCCATGTGAGTAACAGAGGCCCAAATGAGCCCTCATCTGTTGCCTTGCAGGATGCATTGGCAGGAATGTGGATCAAAGCAGCTGGAAATGGAACTATGCAAATGGATACGCTATGTGACATCCCTGGTGGCGGCTTGACCCTCTGTGCCACAGCACCTGCCTTCCCATTTTCAGCTCGATAAAGTTTAAGGGAATCACAAGGCTGACTTATGATCTTAAATAAAGTCATTTATAGCACAAGGCCTGGCACAACAGTAAAGGTTAAAAAATGTTTCCTAAGAATATGAACTAGTGGGACTGGTGCTATGGCACAGTAGGTTAATCTTCTGCCTGCGGCGCCTGGCATCCCATATAGGTGCTGGTTCTAGTCCCGGCTGCTCCTCTTCCAATCCAGCTACCTGCTATAGCCTGGAAAGCAGTAGAAGATGGCCCATGTCCTTGGGTCCCTGCACCCATGTGGGAGATCCAGAAGAAACTCCTGGCTCCCAGCCTCGGATTGGCCCAGGTCCAGCCACAGCAGCCATTTGGGGAGAGACCCAGCAGATGGAAGATCTGTCTCTTCCTTTCTCTGTGTGTAACTCTACCTCTCAAATAAATAAATAAATAAAATATTTTTTTAAAAAAATGAACTAGTTGGATACATCACTCAGCCTTGTAATTCCTGAAATGGAGGAAAATCTAGGTGGTCTTTCTCAAGAGGAACAAACACATCCACCAGAAGACGGATAAGCTCAGTTAGTTATGTGCCATGAAAGGAAAGGCCACACAGTTTTTCTGATCCATGTGGTACAAACTAGTTTCTTCTTCTGAGAGGGTTCTTTCCCACTTAACCACATAAAAGTCCTGGTCTCAGCATCTTTAGATCCTGAGTCACCCAGAGAAAACACACTCAAGGGAGACAAAAAGCAGCCATAGTGACCACTCATCACACAGCTACTGGTAAAGGAAGGCTACAGAAGGCCTTTAAAGGGAATCAGCTTTCAGTGGCAAAGAAGGGGGAGCACTGTTCTCTGCTCCAACAGAATGATCAGCCTTCTTTTTTTTTTTTTTTTTGACAGGCAGAGTGGACAGTGAGAGAGAGAGACAGAGAGAAAGGTCTTCCTTTTGCCGTTGGTTCACCCTCCAATGGCCGCCGCGGCCGGCGCGCTGCAGCCGGCGCACCGCGCTGATCCGATGGCAGGAGCCAGGAGCCAGGTGCTTCTCCTGGTCTCCCATGGGGTGCAGGGCCCAAGCACCTGGGCCATCCTCCACTGCACTCCCTGGCCACAGCAGAGGGCTGGCCTGGAAGAGGGGCAACCGGGACAGAATCCGGTGCCCCGACCGGGACTAGAACCCGGTGTGCCGGCGCCGCTAGGCGGAGGATTAGCCTAGTGAGCCGCGGCGCCGGCTATGATCAGCCTTCTAAATCGAACAAATTTATGCCCTACATACCTCATCATTCGCTGGCTTATAACCTTGAAATGGCTTCCATTGCAGGGGAATAAGACCCAAATACTGGGGCTGGTGCTCTGGCGGCTTAAGCCACCATCTGCTGCACTGGCATCCCATTTGGGTACCAGTTCGAGTCCTGGCTGCTCCACTTCTGATCTGGCTCCCTGCTAAAGTGCCTGGGAAAGCAGAGGAAGCTGGCCCAAGTCCTTGGGCCTGTGCACCCATGGATGAAACTCCTGGCTCCTGGCTTTGGCCTGGCTCAGCCCTGGCTGTTGTGGCATTTGGGGAGTGAACCAGCAGATGGAAGACTTTTCTAACTCTCCCTCTCCCTCTTTGTAACTCTTTCAAATAAATAAATCTTGGCTCCAAATATTCTCAACCATTTCCATTTCCATTTTTCTTTCCATATTTCATTCACCATGCCTCCCCTTTGTTACTTTGTCAAGCTCTTTCCCACTGTAGGTCTTTGCACTAACACTTGCTGCTGCTGCTGGAATGTTCTTCCCACAGATGGTTCGTTCTCATACTTCAGGTCATGGCTCACACCTCCGTGACTGCCTTGTCTACTACAGCCTCTCAGCCCATTTACTTAACTGTTAGTTTTCCCCGTACCCTGTAGAGGGCAGGGACCTTGTCTGTCTCATTCATCACTATACCCTCAGCACCCAATCACCATGCAAGGCATACTTGTAGGTAGTCTTGTAATCTGTGAATCAAAGCAATCAAGTAGAGCACACAGGTCCTGTATATCCCAGTGACCATCTTCTCCCTCCAAGGACTCCATCATCTCTCACCAATACTCTCTCCTACTGTTCCTCTAAGGGATAGGTCTCTACCATAAGCTGTAGTTCTTCAGTTCATCCCTCACTAAACCAACCAACCAGTTTCTGACTCACATTTCAATGTGTTTTCTGTAGACATCTAAGGGTAAATAAAAGTCCACAGATTAAAAAGTGATCATCTTCTCTGCATTCTAGTTCTTACTTAATTCTTCCAATATCCACCAAGTCTCTCAGGCCAAAGACCTCTAGATTCCTCTTCCCCATCTCTCCAAATCTAGTCTCCAAACTCTTCCTCCTAAAACAATGTCCACAACAGACTTCACTATAGCATGCTCTTTCCCACTGAACCCAGACACTCCTTGACAGTGTACCATTCAGCTACAACCCAACAGAACTGGGACTCTGGGAAACTCATCCTTCTTCCACCAGTTCATCATGCTCTAATTATAATACCAAATGGTTTATAGTTCCCTGAATACACCATTTATCCTTCCCACTGGAAGATTTATGAGTCCAATGGGTTGAACAGAAAGTCTTCCCTGAACCCCCAACTCAGGTCCAGTCCCTTTCCCTCTTCACAACGCCCTATTCATCCCCTTATCCATTATAACAAAGAACTATTTCTTTAATTCCTCCCTATGACTAGTCTAAGTTCTTCAAGACCATTTCTTATTAAATTTCTAATGTTTGTGAGCAGAGTTCTTGGAGATAAATAAGACTTTTGACAGAGTGAGCCTTCAGTTTCTTAGATGGTAACCTCAGAAGAGTCTATTTTCCAATGTTTGGCCATTTTCAAGACTAATTTCAAAAACAAATTGAGAGCTACGCTTCCACATCAATTCATTCTGCAAGTCTCATTCCATAAATTATTTCAAATTTGCACTGCCTTCACTGCACCACTGGTCAAACCATGAGTGACATTCCCAGACACTCTGCTTAGTCTTGGTTTTCTTGTAGCTGGCAGTTCCCTAATCTCCCAACATTTCACAAAGGCCAGGAAGGCAGCCAAGAAGCTGGATGCAGCTTCCCATTGTGATGCCAGAAAGATGACTGCAAGGGCAGACACATCTGAGT